ATAGTTGGTTACCCATAAAGTGTGAGTGGTACTCTTGTTATTTCAACAGCTTGTTTTGTGATCTGGCGGGCAAACAGTTTTCGGGGAGTTGCTGAACAAACAACACAAAATATGTTTAACCAATAATTAAGTAGCATCAAAATCTGCTCCAGGGAATGCATATTCAAATGAATAATGAAATGGACTGCGTTCCAACATCGCCTGGACGCCAATGGCAAATCCCGGCCCGCGGTAGCTCTTGCATGAAGAATTGCTGGGGCGCATCGGTACAAAGAGCCAAGTACTGACAGCACACTAAAAAAGTGGAAATCATCTTCACATTCGGCGTTAAATGTTTTGCGCTGCTTTACAAATCTCCGGCAATTTGCCTGGCCTCTCAAACAAATTGAGTTCCATTTAAGCCTAGGCAGATGAATGCGCTCGAAGCTTCGCTCTCAATGGGCGGTCGGATTCGAATTCCGAGTTGGCCGAGAGCCAAGTGTGAAACGGTTGACAGGCGGCTGCCACGACGCGTCAGAGTGACTTTTGCTATGCCTCTGGCTGCCAGAGTATTTCGGTTTTTTCTTCTTGTTTTTTATATTTTTTTTGTATTCCCCAATTCTCAGCCCACAGCCAAACAGCCATGCAAATTGCAAATGAGCAGCAACAGACAGAAAAAACCCTGCACGGAAATGCACAAGAATTCTTGGGCAAAAAAGTGGCCGAAAATTGTATCAAAGGTGGAAAAAATGGCCGGCAGCGGCGGCAACCAAAAACGATTGCATTTGACCTCAAAATCTATTAGCACGTCGAACTCTGGCGGCTATGCGATGCAACCGATGTGGCAGCCGCCCAGCCTCAGGCCCAAAAACTGTGAAGTTGCCGCAAGAATAACAGCAATAATTGCTACTTAGAGTTGTGTACACCCATGTCTGGGTGCATCAGCGACACGTAGGTCAATGCATCAACACTAAATACCAAAAAAACAAAATAACAGCATCTTCGGACACAGACGCAGTCGTCTGGCTGCCTTTCCCGCATATCTGAATCTTAAAAGTTGCAGCTTAGCGAATATACACAAACCCAACAAAATAACAAACAAATGTTTAACAAAAAGTCTTGTTATTGCAAAATTTACATGTTTTGTCTGACGCACAATCACACTTCAAGGAAATTTTAAACAACTCACAGATGGAAACTCCATCTTTATGATTAATTGCCAACACAACCGAGTGTCACACAAAACAATTTGTGTCATAAATTTTATGACTGATTTTCTACAAAAAATAACTAGAGTACAAATGGTGATTGATGATATGTTTGTAGAGCAAACCCCGAAAAAAATGTATTTGATCAATCTGAAACTGCTCAGCTTCCGACCCATTTCTGGTACAGGTACCGAAATTAATCACGGATAATATATGTTTGGTAATCCAATTAAAAGCATTATTGTACAAATACTAAAACGCATATCATAGGAATGATTTATGGCTAGGAGAGTCCAAGAAAGAGGTGAAATAAATCCAAAATTGCGTCTCACAATGGGGATTCATTGTGGACTCCCCAGAAAAGCGATCTTTATCGCAGGGGATGTGCCAATATAAAATACACATTTAATTGCCTACCACCGGGACGGTCTTTATTAAAAACAAAAACAAAGAAACACCAAATCCAAATGTTTGGACTGCTTGCCAAATCTGGGGTAAAATAAATATAAACAAAATCCACAATGGGCGGGAGCAGAGCACTTTCAAAACATTTTGCTTGGGAAACCTAGAGTGATTTGCTCAGCTTGGAGTTTTATGCATTTATAATGACATTTTTCACACAGTTTGTTTCCCAAATCTGAAGCCAAAACACAACATTGCTCTGCCATTTAAAATGTTTAACGTTTTAATTAGTTTTTGTTTTGGAAGAAGTAGTAGAATTCTGTTTCGAGGTATAGCAGTTTTTTGACGGCATTTCGGTGATTAATTATGAGAAATTTGCATAACATTTGCTTGTGTCAAAGATTAGCACTGAAAAGCAAATGAGTATGTCAGAAAACAGGAATTAAGAAATGACTTTATCGGAGTCCTAATTGGTGGAATTTCCAGAACATTAAAGTTCCCGAAAAAAAATCTTGATCATAGATTCAATCGATTTATTCCCAACGATGGCAAAGGCTTAATTTCGTGAGCAGGTAATTTCTCTCCCACCATTAGCCAAATGACCAGCATATCTATCCGCACCTGCATGGCACTCCCAATCGCCAGGCCAAAAAACAAACAAAAAGCACCAATCAAGTTTCGAACTGGAGGGGGTATAGACATCGATTGAAGATGAGCTGACTTTATGCAATTTTCCGCACCAGGAATGGCCGGCAAGGAAAAGCAAGCCAAGTCAGCAAAGTTTCATAATGAATTTCGGTAAAGGTGAAATTTTTCCTGCACTCGATGTACAAATAAAATAAAATAAATACTATCCGCGTTACCTTTGTCAGAGAAGGCCACACAAGAGTGTCAGTGCAAGGCAACAAGCCAGATAAGCCAGCCCAGTCACAATCGAGCAACACGAAGAGCCAAAACAAATAAATCAAATCTTCAAATAACACGTATACGACATGTGGTCGACGGAGAAGAAAAAGAAGGCTGCAGCAGCAGCAGCAGACGCCGCAGTGGCTGCAAATACTTTGAATCTTTGGGTTGGCGTTGCCTTAGTTTCTATGCTCTCTGCACTGTGCGGGTTTCAACACTTTGCCACAATACAATGCGGCAAAAAGCGCAAAAACAACCTGAAGAGCTCAGCTGAGGGGAAAAAAAAACAAATGCTTCCTTCATGTCAGCTCAGCAACCGTAAAAGGTTAAGCGGCAACTTGACAAAAAGGTTAAAACGATTTAACAGACATTTGGCTGCAGTCTGCAGAGCCTCTCCAGCTCCAGCTCCAGCTCCTCCAGGCAGCCACCAGCAAAAAAAAAAACTTAAAAACCGACCCAGGCAATCTTTGAATCCATCGACTGCGTCCTTAGCATATCCATCTGAAGTACACCCCCCATTGCCTGCAAAACTCCCAATCTCCTCGAGGTGTGCGCGTGTGTTGAAGGCGGAACCAAATTTTGATTACAGAGACCCTCAGCATGGCGAGGAAAATGCAACCTCAGGTTTTAACAGTTAACTGGCGCTAGCTTATTATTTTTGTTGTAGTTGGTTCGTTGTAGTTGGTAGCTGGCAATGATGGTGCCGAGATCGCTGTAGCCACAAACACCTGCTATTGCCATGGCCCGCGTTGACATTTTTTTCGCTGATAATGATTCAGCAGTGTGACTTCCTTATTTGTCATTGTTGTCGTTGCCAATTTTTCACTTTTCACTTGGTTTTTTTGTTGTAGTTTTTTGGCGGCAAGTTTTCCGTCTCCAGACATGCTCTCTTATGAATGATTGGGCAAAAGCCTTTGATTAATGTCATCCAATGAATCCGATGAATGGAAGAAGCATAATTTGGTGCTGTAGCTAATTTATTGATCGCAATTTATACAAATTCTCAAATAATCCCAGCTATCCGGTACGACCTTCGCAAAACCAATCACCATTTAAGGCAATTGAATTGAATTCGGCTTAAGCCTTGACAATGACAAACTCTTTATCCGTGTAATTGCAAATCGAGAATCGTGAATTGAAATTAAGATTCGGCAGGCCCAGACCCAGCCAGTGCAACTCTTGAACTTTAACAAAGTGTTTGGCTAATCGACTTAATTTACAATTTTTATTAAATTTTAATGCCAGCCCATTTGTTGCAGCGGCAAAGCAATTTCATTTTGTGTACATTACGTTATTTTGATGAAATAAAATTTAGGTGTGAGAATATTTTATGCAAACATCCACGACGAGAACCCCGCCAAGGCAATCAACTAATTTTAATACAAAAAGCAATTTCGGCAACCGAATCCAACGCCAAAGAATCCCCTTTGCCGAGACAATGCAGAGAAACAGAATCTTCATCAACTGCAGCTAATTTCAATTTAAATTTATGTTCGCATCAAATGAAATTTCGAGATTCGGTTCGATTTTGCATTGTTATTGAAAATAGTCATTACGTAAACAGCAAACAAATGTATTGTCTCTGGACGTCGGATACCCAAACCATTGAAAATTATTTAATTGAAAGAGTGTCACTAAGCAAGCCGGTTGGTGTTGATCTCTCCCTCTCTGGGACCTGCTGGCCAGTATCTGGTCTCTAGTAGTGGCTCCCAAAGATTTGATATTGTTTGCTGTTGTGCAAATTAAAACAATTATATGAAATTATGCAAAGTACGCAAAGAAACTACGGGAACAGCAGCGACAACAACAGCTGCAAAACGGTCTGACGGAAGCGAGCTGGTGAATGTCTCGACTGGATTGACTGACTGACTGACTGACTAACTGAATGCCTTACTGACTGACCGACTAACTAACTGCCTCGATGGGTGTATGACTCCTGGTCGACGCCTGCAGCTGTTCCTGGGCCGTCTTAGCTAGCAAATAAAATTCGATTTTACTCTTTGGGGAAGCCGGCCTAAAATGTAATAATTTATTGCGCATACTACCCGTGGTACCCGGTCCCAAAGTTTGCAACTTTGAATCTGCATATCTGGCTATCTGCATTACTTTGTATCTCTATATGGACAAGGGGAGGATGGATATATCTAACGATCTGCCGTAAATTTCTGTATGCGTCTGTGGGCGTCTACGAAAGTTATGTAATCGCTGAGAGCCTTTTGGGCTTTGTTGTCTTCTTCGGCACATTGACATCTCGACTGCTGCGTTGATTTGTGCAAGCCCAGAGTTCATTTATTATTTCTGTTTGTTTTTCGTATTGTTTCTTATAATTTCTATTACCCAATCTGACGGCTTGTTGCTGGGTGTACGTGTTTTATTTGCGCCACTAATTATATTTTCGTTTTTTTCCCAATTTTATTTTTGGCGAATCTCCCACGCGATTGCGTAATAAATATTCATAATTTTGTTAACAAGCTAAATATTTGTTTCCCCCTCTTTCCATTTTAGGCGATTCCAACAACAAAATGCGGAGAACTCAGCTTAATTTGTTTTGCGGTAAGAATTTAAGTTAGAACAGTTTATTTTCTGAACTTTTTAAATTAAAAACAAGAAAGGAAAGCTAACTTCGGGCGGAGCCGAAGTTTATATACCCTTGCAGTTAAAACCGGATATATATCGCAAACATCGGATATAGTTGGCCGATCCTTATGGGAATAGGAATATATAATCCAATTTATTACAATACAAAATCTAAAAAAAGTCCCAAACTTCTATCTTTAAAAATACGAAAGTTGATATTTCTACCAAATACCATTTCCGATCGTTCAGTTATATGGCAGCTATGGGATATAGTCGGCCGATCCTAATGAAATTTGGTAGGTTGGATCAAATGACCAAGAATTAAATCTGTACTAAGTTCCAGCTTTCTATCTTCAAAAACACGAAAGTTGGGTCATTTCCGATCGTTCAGTTATATGGCAGCTATAGGATATAGTCGGCCGATCCTTATGAAATTTGGCATGTCGTATTATTTTGCCAAAAATAGCTCTCATGTCAAATTTGAACTCTCTAACTCTAAAAACACCAAAGTTATACCATTTCCGATCAATCAGTTATATGGCAGCTATAGGATATAGTCGGCCGATCCGGGCCGTTCCGACTTATATACTGCGTGCAAAGGAAAGAAGGGTGTGTGCAAAGTTTCAAGACGATAGCTTTAAAACTGAGAGACTAGTTCGCGTAGAAACAGACAGACGGACAGACAGACGGACAGACGGACATGCTCATATCAACTCAGGAGGTGATCCTGATCAAGAATATATATACTTTATAGGGTCGGAGATGTCTCCTTCACTGCGTTGCACACTTTTGACCAAAATTATAATACCCTCTGCAAGGGTATAATAAATGGTTTATTGAAGCCCTAAGTTAATGGAAGCCCTATTATTTTACATATTATTCAAATAATATTTAAATACCGGGGTGCCCCTGAAAAATATGAAAAAGTAAAAAGCATTCTCCATCATGGCAGCATCCTTGACCTTGTCAGTATATAATTTTCCCATCATTCGTCTCCGGCTAACGGCGCATCTATGCGGCACATGACGCATTCCGGCCATGCGTGCGCCACAAAGCGTGGACTGCAAAATGGCCAAGATTGCGTTAATGCCCCTTTGTCTCAGCCGGGTTGCGTGAGGCGGATGGAGTTATCGGGCCGCGATGGCGTGCGACAAAAAAGAGAGACTGAAAATCCAAAAAAAAAAAAGCATACACTCTGTTCAGATTTAGATTAAATGTGACTTTGATTTGAATTAATGGATTGGTCAAAAGGCTGGGAAATGCAATTTTTAACGGCTCATTAGGAGGGTCATGTTGGCCGAGACCCAAATGCCGGTACTGAGCAGAAGTGACAGCTCATCTCGCGTCTTGCGAGTAAAACCAACAAAGGCCAGTCTTTTCTATTATTTTTGGTGCTTTTTGTGATTTTTTTGGCCGGCTGTGAGTAATTACGCGCCCATCGACAGCGCCTCTCAATTAAGTTGGCAAGACCATCCCGCTGTGAGTGGCACGAACTATTGAATCGAATGGCCAGATATTCGGCTCCAGATGCGAGTACAACACGGCGTATGCTCGATTTGAGTCCGCTTGCCAATCAGCGGGCATAAATTATGGGCAATTGTTTAATTTGAATAAGGCAGCAACACCCGCCAGCAAAGTCCCCAAAGACACCGCATCGTCTTCATCATCATCGGCGCATCTTCTTCGATGATTCACTTAATCGCAGTGATTATGCAGCAAGTGGGCCTTGAATCTTGTGGCTATTTTGGTTATTTTGGTTATTCAATAACCTCCTCCTCCACCACCTATTCCGTGGCGGGGCTTTTCAGAAGACCACTTTGCCACTTATGCCGCAGTTCATCATGACTTTTTTTTATGTTTGTGTATGTCTTTCTTTAATTGTTTTTATGCTTTAAAATTTAATTATTGCATTTCGGGGGGGCCTGAGGTCAAACGCCGGCTTCCAGCCCCAGTCGTACGCTTCTTGCGTAATTTGACAATATCTGACAAGCGAGTTAAATGGAAAAGTCAAGGTCCGCGGTCCCGCCATCGAGAAGACATTCTAAACTGGAGAATCCATACCTGAAAAGTTGATTCTACCAGTATGAGGAAACAGCCAAAAAAAAATGCACAAAGCTAAATAATTACAGTGGAGCAAGAGAAGTTTCGTTTAATGATTTCCTTTTTAAATGTAAACGTGACTATAATTTTGTTTGATGAGCAAAGAAGAATTTAATGATCAAAGAAATAAGGTAGTCCCATTATAAGTTCTTGAATGGGATTTAAAATTAATAAGTTTCTATAAAAAAGAGTTTAAAAAGTCATTGATTTCTACTTTTTTTCTTCCTACAGCTCTCCTAGTAATGGCAATCTTTGGCCTTACAAATGCCGAAACAAAGGTAAGGTTATAGACCCTTATGGTGAATATTATAAAATACTAATCTAATTTTATTTACAGTATCGAACCCCTGCTCGGATATTAGCCAAACAGACTGGAGCTACGCAATTCGAGGAGGAACGCTATGAGACGCATACTAACTGCAATGAACACAAACACCATCTGAAGAAGCGTGCCTCGGATGAGGATGTGGACTACGAGGTGTACCAGGGTGTAGTCGGGCGACCGGGCATTGATTTTCCCATATACCCACGTATCCCAAGGACCTCGTTTAGCTGTCGCTCGTATGGGAATGGCTACTTTGCCGATATGGAAACTGATTGTCAGGTGAAATATTAGGAAATAGTGGTAGCTTATGGGATATATCTAATTCTATTTTCACTACAGGTCTTTCACATTTGCGAAGAGGGTCGTAAGATCTCGTTCCTCTGCCCCAATGGCACCATCTTCCAGCAGAGCGAGCTTACCTGCGACTGGTGGTTCAAGGTAAACTGCCTTGGATCTTCCGGATATTACGCCGAGAGTGCCGAGATCCTCAACAAGCAGCGTGTGCACCGAGTTCGTCCTTCAGTTCCAGTGCAGGGCTTCAATATTGTGGGAGGCGGACTAAATATTAAGCCCAAAGTAACACCAGTTGTTGGACAGGGCAGATCTGGACCTCGCTCCAATTCCGATAGGCGCATTGATTCCACCGAAGATGTACCCGCCTCTGTGGAGAGTGTGGACTTTGACGACGTTTCTGGGGAGAAGCAGCGAAAAGTCCTTCCCAGTACTGACAATAACAGTAATGACCACGAAACCCAAATAACGGCGGAGAGTTCATCCTTTGTGAGTGGATCCGGAAAGAGACGAGCCAACAAGGAAGCCAGTCCCAGTCGGAACAGCAACGATGACACCACACTTCTGAAACCTTCGCGCAATAGGGCACCTGCGGCTTCCCAGGAAAGAGGAGCTTCCACTGAAAGGGCCAGGAATGGGCAACGAGGACAACAGCGTTACAAGGACAGCGGCAGCGAGGAACTCAGCAAGGAAAAGGAGAAGCCAGCCAAGGACACCAAGCCCGAGTTCTTTGAGGCGCACTCTACCAGATCCGTTCAGCAGACCACTCCCCACTACTCTGCCGGAAGTTACTCCACCGTTCGTCGTTTGGAGCCCAGCAAGTCCACGCCCTTCTATACGCCCACTGTGCCCAGTTTGGTCAAGACGAAGTCCACGGATGGAAAACTCAACTATATCAAGGGCGGTCTTGCGGCTACCACACCGAATCCCAATCGCTTTGTGGGCAACACGGGCCTCTTCCTGGAATCCTCGGCAGCCCCAAAGGTCAAACCCACTGCCAGTGGCAGCATTGAGTTGGACAGCACCTACAAGCCTGTGGTGATTGGCATGCGACACCACTACGACGTGGCCAGCTCCGGAGAATTCCGGCTGCCGGTAAAGTCCAGCGAAAGTCGTGACTACTTGCCCACAACTCCTGCTCCATCGGCTACCAGCAGTGGACCCACTTATCTGCCCAAGAGCGCCAAATCGCCCAGAGGAAATGCTGCAGCGGCCGCTGGAGAGGATGCCGTCTTGTTCGCGCCCAATCCCATCAAGGATGAGTCTGTCTACCGCAATGTGCAGGAGATGCTCAAGACAATGAATCTACTCAAGGATCAGTTTGAGGATGTTGAGCTGAATGCTGCGGCAGCGGCACCCGCCAGGGTTGGACTGGAGATACCACCTTCCTCGGGACCTGATGCCCTCGTTTCACTGGCCAAGTACTTTGCCCAGGAGCACAATGAAACCGGCAACGCCTTGGGTAAGCCAGAAAAGTCCGAGAAAACCGACAAGAATGGGGTAAAGACCAAGCTCTCCGTCAAACCGCCACCACTGCCCACTGTGAAGCCCTCGGACACCACTGCTTTGCTGACCACCTCCGAAAATCCTCCAGCCATTAGCGAAAATGCGGATGACATTAAGAAGAGTCTCCTAAGCGACAACACTGTTCAGAAGTACAGTACTCTCTTTGGTCTTAAGGCCGCTGAAGGTCGCGGAGTAGCCAATGGAGATATAAGTTCTGGTCTTCTGTCCAACCAACCAAACGGAACCCAATCCGAGTCTGGCTCCAAGTACCAGCCATTCCCGCAAATCGGCAGTACGGGATCCACTATTGGCGCTCTGGCCGAAAAGCCCGAGTCTCGCAAGATTGCCCAGATCTTCTCGAATGCTTTGTCCAGCTACTTGGATAACCCAGCAACCTTCAGAGCGGAATTAGCTGCCCGGGCTCGTCCTACTGAGCCACCAAGTACGCCCAACTTCCGTCCCGTGACCACAACAGATCCCTCACTTTTCAGCGACGGCACGGCCAAATACTATCTGCCCACCAAGGGATTACCCGAGGTGACCACGCCAACGCCAAACAGCATAGCTGCGGAGATCAATCACAAGTTTGATTCAACTCCGTCCCCGGATTATTCCACTACTACGGAGCTGTACGAAGCCAGTACCATAAGGGGTCAGGATCTGGAGTTGTCGGCTGAGCTTTCGCCACCAAGTCCCGATTCTGGAGAAGGCGAGGAGATCTTGCAGCAGCAGCACACCCAATCCTTTGTCAAATCCCGCAATGATCTGCTGAAGGAAGCCAGACCACAGAAGCTAGTGACTACCCACAAGCCCACTGAGCACCCGTGGGCTCTGAAATCGCAGACCGACTTCCTGGATCCCCTGACCATCAACGATGGTCTGATGAAGGAGCAGAGGACATCGACGACCAGTAGCACGACCACCACGACACCGAAAACAACGACAACTGGAACTCCGTTTGCATACAGGGTGACCACGCCCACGCCATCGCGGTACGAGTGGGAGGATATTTTCCGGAGTTATGACATTCCCAGGGATGCGCTGCCGTCGAGCAGCGGCCTGCAGAGGATTGCCAATAAGTTGTTCGGAGGCCTCAACGAGCAGGAGGCACTGCATCTGCGCAATGTGATGGCCAAGGCGGAGCACGACCGCCAGGTGCTGAGCCTATTGCTGCTGCTCATCCAGACCTGCGATGACCACAATGGACAGGCGCTGGAGCGGAGTAGGAAGCATCTGCTTAATGCCCTTATCGACATCGACAGCAAGAAGTTGGCAGTGGGGGGCAAGAGCTCCAGGCAGCGGGTGGCGACCACCACCAACCGCGTTCCAGTGACCACCTTCCGACGGGGAAGCGAATACGTAACCAGCACCACGCCGGGCTACACGACGACCACGGACGTGCCCACCACAACGGGAGCGGGCAGCTACGAGGAGACAACCAAGTTCGAGATCCGGGTCGAGGAGCTGGACGATGTCAATCTGACGACGACGGCGGCGCCTCTGCTGCTCGAAGGAAACTCAGACCGACGCGCCCTGGAGCTGCTCAAGTCATTATATTCGCTGGCCTCGAAGTTCAGCAGCCGGCGGTAGAGCCAGGACGGTTCCTAGTGGTGCACGAAACCTAACTTTAGTCAACTCCACTACACTTTCTTCCTTTTACTTCCTAAACTTTTGATTTAGTTCCATTTAAAATTAATGCATGCCCCCCTATTTTTGATTTTGTTAATTGACTTCGTTTAGCCAATGCAATTTGCGCAATTAGTTTGTAAATATGTAAACGAAATACTCGAGGATCGAGGTAGAGAGAGCCCTGAAATACTCCCAGGCCCGAAACAGGCATAGATTTGGTTGTTCCTGATGCCCAGCCAAGCAGTTTCCAGTTTAAGATAATCAAGTTGTATTAAATTAGTTTCTTACTGCTTAGTCTTACGAACGAGAACACACCACTTTCCATAATATCCAATATCGAACAATCTGTACGTCTTGCTGTCTGTTTTGTAAATATTTATTTAAACTTAATAAAGTACATATAAAATAAATACAAAAAAATTCAAATGAACTTATTACTGGTTAGAGTTTTGAGATCTTCAACAAGTCAAGAGGTTAGATGTGGCCTTGACACAAATTCGATGGCTTTTGAGTTCCGCAGCTCCTAATATAAATCTTCAAAAGTAAGGTCGCATCTAGCCCCTAAAACCCATAAAGCGCTCATGTAATCAACCGAAATTTAAATATTTTTGTCATTTGCAAGAATATTGGATTCAAGCCGCACTCAAGGACAAGACGAATCAGATTGAAATTGCATTGCACTTGAAATGGCAATAATATTAAATTGATGATCGTGTAATACGTAACTTATATTACGTATACGTCATGTTTAGGGTCTGGCTGATGTATGAATTCTGATAACTGGCCAAAACAATGGATAATCCAGAGTCGTAAATCTGCTAAAGCGCAAGCACAAACGAACTGACGAACTGTCATGGGTCCCAGTGGGGGCAGCTGCCACATAAATATGGCAAAGATGCCGCCGACTCCAAATTGGTATAAATTTCTAAAAGCGTTCTAGTCTGCCCGGCAGTTGTTCCTCAAGTGCTGACCAGTTCACAGGTCGTGGATTACCCAAAGGACTCGAAGGATATCTCATTAAGGGAATAAAACCTACTAGCACCACCACTATTGGCATGATGCAAGACGGCTCGTGCGTCTTGGCAGGTAAGTTGGCCAATAAGCCAGGCCGGAGCTGACCCAGACCCAACCCAACTCAAGAGTGACGAGCGATCGGCTGTCCGCCTCATCACTATTACCACTTCCTTTGGAGGGGCGTCTGTCTGTCTAAGTTTTTGCTACCTTGCATATTTACGAGGCATGCGTCTTGCCTTTGGCCCACCAGCTGCCGCAATTCTTGGCAGCCAATTGATGTTGCAGTGCGTTATTTTTGCAATTGGCACAGTGGTGAAGGGCTAAAGTCAAAGTTGCAACTTAAATTTGCGAAATTATAATACAAAATTAATATCAAATTAATTAAAAGGACAAAACCTCTTCATTAATCAACTAAAGTTAGAAATATTTTTATATTTGGAACAAAATTTCCAAAAATAACTCCACTGTGCCCCGCGGCATAGGAGTAGGAAGCTGATAAATAAAGATCGCATTGCAGAAACGTCTAAGACGCTTTATCAGCGCCCAGAATCGCGACGTACTTGGCCTTAATATGGGCCAACAAAACTCTCGGCTGCCGCCGATGCCATCAATAGCTTCTGGCCTGGCGTTCATTTCGATTTGGTGCGTCGGCGTGTCCACAGCTCGGAGCTGATCTTCGTCAGGTTTCTGCTCTTGGTTCGAGAATTCTAATGTTGGCTCGCCTGTTTCTTTCAGTTTTTGTGCTGCTCTGCAGTGGTGGCCTGGCCCAGTTGCAGGTTCAGGTAAGATCTTTTGGACACCAGATTCTGCACCTTTTAATCCCTTTATCCGACAGGCTCAGAGTGGCTATAATTATGGGCGACCCGAGGTGGCTAATGTAGGCGGAGTGACTGCCGGAGGGCGCCTGACCCCTGGTCCATATCCGACAGCAGCTGCTCTTCCTCTGACCCCGGCTCCCGCTACTACTGCCTACGGAGCGGGCTTGTTTCCCTCACCCGCCGTGGGATTCACACCCAGTGGACAGGCCACAACCGCTTTCGGAGCACCTGCCGCCGTTGGAGCCAGTAGTCCGGCTAGGAGGCTACCGACTCCCGCAGGCATTCCCGCCACGTCATCTCGCTCCGGACCTTATGGACCCCAGACGCCGCAGTATGGAAATGCACCTGGATCGGGTGTGATTTCCTCCCGAACTCAAAGTGGAAGTGGCGACGGCAGGGATTACAGCGAAGATGCCGACGGCGATTACTCCGCCATTCCGGGTGTGCCAGGGGTGGACTACCCCATCTATGCCCAAGTGCCACGGACCAATTTCGACTGCTCCCAGCAGGCCCTCCCCGGATACTACGCCGACATCGAGGCCCAGTGCCAGGTTTTCCACATCTGCGCCCTGAATCGAACATATTCCTTCTTGTGCCCCAACGGGACGGTTTTCAGTCAGGAGACTCTGGTCTGTGTTTGGTGGAATCAGTACGACTGTGTTTCTGCTCCCAGCCTGTATGCAAACAATGCCTACATCTACGACTACTCTGGAGGAAGTGGCTCTAATGTGAACGGAAATGTGAATGCCAACGCCTATCGTCCGGCTGCAGCTACAACGACCGCCTTTGGGGCACCAGTAGCCACCACCGGAACTCTTCGGGCAACTGGAATACCTCCTGGCTACAGCTCTGGACGCACCGGTTCCTATCCATCAGCCACACCAACTCCTGCTGCCCAAGCCCAGAGTCCATATGGTGCTGGCGCTGTACTGCGTCCCGCAATCGTTCCAGGAGCTGTGGTTCCGTCGTCCACCAATCGCCTGGTTCCCACTGCAGCGGCAGCCGGACTTCTTGCCACAGCCGCCGGAGCTATTCCCGATAACCAGGTGGCCGGAGGTTTCGGACAACAACAGCAGTCTCAGATCGTGGCAAGTGGCAACCGAGAGTACCTGCCACCGGCCTCGGCTGGACAGCAACGGCAGCGTGGCTCCACCAACGCATAGTTGGAGAGTCCGGCGAAACCTGCAACCTTGGCAACTGCACCCGGTTTTATGGCATTAGTATTAGCGACCCTAGGCTTAGCATCTTCTTAGGTTGTTAGGAGCTCCAAACACACTTCTGTACAATTAGTTATAAAATCCATTTGAAATATACTCGTACCAGTAATCTTTTATATATTTTTATAAGACGCCCTAATTTCAACTTAAAAGCTTCAAGTTTATTATGTTATCTATTGAAGTGCACTATGAAAGTCAAGATTTAGTTTATGCCTATCCCCAGATCTTGAAGATTGCGCTTCTCTCAATAGCGTTCTGTATTCCTGCTTGAATCCAGGCCGAATATACATTTGCCTGCCCTTTTTGAGCTTTGGTTGCCCAGCTTTCGGAAGTGGTATTGTTGGATTAAAAGCCATCTGTGAGCTGTCGTACTGGGTAAACAAGTCGTGTGAGGTGCTGAAACAATAGTTTTGTCTTAATCATATATTATAGTAGTCCATTACTTTACTTACAGCTTTCCGATGTCTGTGGGCAGAGCGCCTTCGCCGGATGCGGGTACTCCGTTGGCAATGTGCACCGCCATGCGGCGCACTGTCGGATGATAGTGGCGGGCCAGAAGACTCAGCTCATACAAGGCTGTGCTGGATGCGTTACAGTACTCGGGGTCCTCCAGTTCAGGATCATACCGACCGGATCCTATGGTGGTGTCAGTGTCCAGCAAGGCGTCCAACACGGAGGTAAGTTGGAAGGTCTGTTTGATTGTGCCCAGGGTAGCCAAGGTACCATTATGCAGAAGATGCAAGCTGCCACTTAATAACCGTTTTATAAATGCCATCAAACGTTGCTGGCTCATGTTCCGCCGCCGTTTCACCAGAACCTCATCCAGGGTGCGCAATATAATGGCAAAGTCCTCGTGGTTCTTGCCCGCAGTCACAGCCAACATGTTGCGATAGAAGTGCTGGTAGAATCGTATGGGATCGATGTTCAAAACTTCGCCTTGACCGGAAAGAATCACAAAAATAGTCTGAATGCAGTGCAGGCGCTCGCGGTAGCCCAGCTCTTCCTGATCCTCCAATATCCGGTTGAGAACATCGATAAGATCGGCAAAGAAATCCAGATTGATGACATGAGCGAATCTTGAAAGAAAAATAAAGTTGAAAAAATATTAAGCCTTAAAAACAGGGTCCACTACTCACTCTGCCAAGCCTTCAAGAATGGCGCTCAGAATTCGCGATGTGGGATCATTTTTAAGGATGCGGAAGTAAATGGTGAACACCATCTTGATGATCTCGGTAAGCTTCAGATGCTTGGCTTGCTTGTTCTCCTCGGCTTTGGTCTCCTCCAACTCCCGGTTTACTTCGGTGAGCTTCTTCCGACGCTTCCGCTCTTTTTTGGACAAACTCAAGAGCCTCTGGCGATGGGACTCCAGTTTCTTTTGCTTCAACTCGTTCTCCTTTTCGGCGTCTAGGTTCACGTTCTTGATCTTCAGGCCCATAAGGCAGGTAATGCACTCCACGTGGACATTGTTTTGTTTAGTTTTAATCAGGTGATTGATGCGTCGCACGATGAAAAGGGTTATTTCAAATCGCTTGTCGTTGGCGAAGACTGTGCGGAAACACTGGTTAATGGCCGTTCGCATTTCCGCGTAGTTGCAGTTGAGCATATAGACCAGCAGTTGGGCAATGTTTTGGACGTAATTGAAATACGGATGGGCTACCAGAAGATCGCACATGCACTGCACGGCTACAGTTGCCATTTTTATGGTCTGTGGAGTCCGTTGGCCTCCTCTCTTGTTCACCTGTCCCGTAAGCTGCTCTAGTTTCTGGAGGAACTTCTTGAATTGCTGCAGCAGGGCATTCTCAAAGGTAACACGTTCCAGCGTAGCCTTGCGTAGTGTCTGCATTTTGGTATCAACCTGACCCACTCGATACTCCGGCAGAATGTCTTTGAATATCTCAGTGGCGGAAATCATGGCCAGCTTCCGGACAGGCATCAGATTGGGCAGCCTGGTAGTAGGGTTTATTTCATCCATCAGCTCATAGAGGGCATGGAAGTGACGCATCTTATCCTCGGGCTTCTCCAGCAGGCCGGAACAGATGATACCAATGCGGTACTTCTGTCGTTCGATCTCTTGCTCACGGACAAGCATTAGATCTGTGGTGGAAAGCATTTTCTGGCTGGGAAGTTCCTGTGGAGCGTCTACATCGTTCACAATATCGTCGTCACTGTCCTCGTAAACCGATTCACCATCTTCGTCGTCATCCTCTTCCTCCTCGTCCTCCGCGTCCCCTTGTTTCTTAACTTTGGGCTTGGGCACATAGTCTACTTCTGTGGTGCGGGTAATAATCTGGCCATCCCTGGACTTAATAGGCAGCAAATCCACCTTGATTTTCTTGGCAGCTTCCTCTTTTTTGCTGGCTGTCGCGTACTCCATTTCTAAGCCCACCGCCTGCAGTTGTTCCTCGTGATCTTCGTCGGCTGCTTTGGCCTTTCGCTTGCGTTTGTTGGCCTGAAGCAACGCCAGGTCGTCGCCGTCGAGCATATCAGCCACATTGTCCAGATCCAAATCGTCGTCATCATCGTTGCCTTCCAGTTCCAAGGGGTCTACACCTAAGGAAGCCAGTTTGTTGTGCTTCTTTCTCTGGGCCAGGTTATCCTTCTTCCTGGCCTTCTGTGAGAATATATTTTGGCCCTGTTCCCGCTTGGAGTGCAATTGATCGCGTTTCTGCTTCTGTTTCTGTTGTTGTTGCTTCGTCAGCGGTGTTTTCTTGGATTTCAAGTGAGCCGCCCGCTTAACGGAGCTAATCTTCACCTTTTTCTAAAGATTTTATAATAGAATTTTATTAATACTAGTAGTTTTTGCTAATTTAAGTTACTTACAGTTCCCATTTTGACTTTTTTAATTAATAAAAAGTAGATTTACAAAATGTTGACTCCAAGTGCCGAGCACATGGGAAGCTAATGAAACTGTCCACTTGTTATCATACAGCAACAGCTGGTTGGGAGGCTGCCAACCTGTTTCAGTAGGTGATTCCCCTTGATCTGGTCCCACTGGCTCCGCACTGTAAATATAAACAAATGTCAGACGAGGAGGAAGATTATATGTCTGATAAGTTCCTGGCTGGGTAAGGATTATTTTTAACTCAGTGACCACCTTATAATCGTATCCACTTTTTCCCAAACAGACTGCAAGATGTGCGACCCAGTCTGGTGCAGAACCGCGGCAAGAAACGTCAAATTGAAGTTCAGAGCAAGCAGGAGGAACACAAGAAGCGACAACGCGAAGCTTCTTCATCAGGAAACGTTAACAATGAGCGCTTGCAACAGTCTCTTAGCCAGCCGCTAACATCGGAAAACAAAGGCTTCCAACTGCTAGCTAAGATGGGCTACAAGGCGGGGACTGGACTGGGAAAACAGCCAGATGCCCGCATCGAACCTGTAGGAATTTCCATAAAAAGCGGACGAGGCGGCTTGGGACGCGAAGCAGCGGTGGCCGAGTTGAAGGCCAAACGCCAAGAGCTGCGAAGAGCTCATCTCCTGCAAAAGGCGGGAATACAACCTGGCGAGGAAATAAGTACGGAAGCTTATAGAAGGCGCGCCACCCAGAAGGCAGAGGAAAGGAAACTCATGTACGACATTAAACGATGCCAGCAAACCTGCGAGTCGTTGGATTTAAAAGAGGGCATTGCAGAGCCGGATATGGAATTCTTTTGGCCACCCAAACCAAAGGAGGAAGTAGAAGAAACCGAGGATGGAGAAGAGCAGCCAGAGGAGGAGGAAGAGCAAGCCGAAGAGGATGCCTATACGCCTTCAGAGCAGCTGGAAATGCTTACCAGCTACCTTCGCACGGCTTACACCTTTTGCTACTGGTGTGGAACACATTATACGAGTAAAGACGACCTGGACTCCAATTGTCCGGGACTAACTCGTGATGACCATTAAAATACAAATTACTTTATAAATTACACATTATTTTCACAAATTCGCAGCAATTTTAAAAATTATTTTACAATAATACATAGTCAAAAACGGGTACAATGAAATGCCTTTAGACGAGGTGGAATCCAGTGAGTTAGCAACCTTGTGTCCTTGCTGGGCGGAGCTACAATCGACCCTCCAGCTTTTGTATCAAGTCGTGGGTTCGTTCAATGACGCTAAAAATGAATGGTCTTTCCATGGGATCGGTGCGCAGCATGTAGTTTATCAGTTCATGCATGTCCTATAAGAAATAGTTGAAAATATATATGAAGCTTTATAATGTTCCCGCCATTTCTCTACCTCTGTGTAAATTGAATCCTCTGGAATGTTTATATTTCCGCTAAGTACAGCCAATGCCACGCTGTCTCCCCGCTCGTAGATGGGATCAAAAGGCGAATGAAAGTAGCACATTGCGTACAAAACACAACCAAGACTCTGAAATTGAGGAAAATTTTAAATTCAGCAAGCTAATTTTAGTCTTTTAAGTTATTTTCTTACCCATATATCTGTTCGTTCATCTATGGTGCAGTACGTCTTCACAGTAAACAGTTCGGGAGCCCGATATACAATGGAACTCCGCTCCTCAGCTTCGTCTTGCAGTCGTTGGGCATCCGACTGACCTACTATTTGAAGGCGCGCCTCTGTCATTGAGCCCAGATCCACGATAATGGGCTCGAATGAGTCCGAGAGACATATATTGGCGGTCTTTAAGTCCCGATGAGCCAGCGGCACTGGCTTGGCTTCGTGTATGGCCTTGAGACCTTCGCAGACGCCCAGGAAGATCTGCAGGATCTGAGCCTCGGGCATGTGGTCCTGTTTTCGAGCCCGCAATTGCAAATGATCCGCCAAAGCGCCATGCTTGTAGTAAGGCAGTACAATGAACAGCGTACTGGTGGTGTTTATGACAATGTCAGCCTGACCCTTTAGTTCGTAGTCCACCACTCGGATGACGTTTTCCGAATCGATCTTGCGGCAGTTTTCGATTTCGCGTAGCGCTATATTCTGGTCGTCGATGCTGTGGCAGGTGATGCGCTTAATCGCGTAGCTCCGGCGTGTGATGGTATTTTCCCCAAGGTCGATGAGACTGAAGCCCCTGCTCCGAGAGACACCCAGAGATTAGATATTTTATAGATAATGGTGAGGAATTTATAAAAACAAACCCTTGGGCCAGCCTGTCGCGAATTGTGTAGCGGGATCCGTTGATATTTAGTGTCTCCTTGCGGCAGAAGCAGCCGCGTTTCATGATTAGCGTCCAACCGAGGCTCTGCATTTTGTTACTATTAAGCTACGAACTTTTAACTTTAAGCCTAACAACTAGTTTAATTCATATACAAAACTAAATAGAAAACAGAAAGCGGAACTGCAAGGTTTATGCAGTGATTGAATTCCGATTGGTACTGATTGTGAAAACTAAATATATATAATGGTGTTTGTTAAATATAGATTTTTTTTTTTAATTTAATAATTCTTAGGGTGTCTGTTTTTATCAAAACCTTTCTTTAGGGCTTAAAGTTTTCTTAATTTAAATAAATAAACACTCGAATATAAACAATCACAAACTTATAACCGTAAAACTGCAGATTTCCCTCCGCGGCTCACAGCTGATCCACGGACAGGGTGTTTCAATTGCCATGTGGCGGCCAGCGTTGCCACCTGGAGACAGATGTTTCCTATCGCGGATATCATTGGGTGGATTTCTTTTGTTAATTCTAATTTAATCAATGACAAACATCGAGGATGAAGCCTGGCAGGATCTCGTGGGCATTGGTGCCGATCCGCCTATCAGACGCGACAAGTGCGAGCAGTGCAAGTGAGTGGTAAAGCAGGGAAATCCCTTAGTATCTCAAGACTCCAATAACACAGATCTTTTTCAGACGTCCAGCGGTCGTTTGCTGGTGTCCCGCCCTTCCTAGTCCCCCGGAGGCGGTAGCCTCGCAAATTGTGATCCTTCAGCATCCCGCCGAGGAGAAGCGTTCCCTCCGCACAGCTCTGATGCTTCAGCTGGGCCTGGAGCCTGGAAAATGTGTGGTGTACAAGGGAAAACGATTCCCGAACCACAAAAACCATGCTGAACTGCAAAGGATTCTGGAGTCCCCGCAAACGCTATTGCTTTATCCTAGCCGAGATTCAGTGCCCTTGGAGGAGGTGGACCGCAGTGCAGGTCCTTACACGCTGCTTCTCATAGACGGCACTTGGCCGCAGGCCAAAGCCATTTACGCTAGCAGTCCAGCCTTACATCGTCTCCGTCAAGTTAAGCTCATTGCTGTGGGCATAAGTGACTATATCATTCGGACCCAGCCCACGGAGGGTTGCCTCAGTACCCTGGAGACAGCGGCCCAGTGCTTGGCTGTGCTCGAATCCCGACCAGAATTGAGGCAAACCCTTGTCCGGCCTCTGCACACTCTCTGCAAGTACCAACTGGATAATGGGGCAGTGGAGCATCAGTCTAAGGAGTTTCTATTAAAAAATAACCAGTACCCCAAACCCATTGGCAAGCGGCTGAGCCGTCTGCTCAACTACAGCAACACTGTCTGCGGTGGCGGTCTTGATAAGGATTTGGAAACGTGATAAGAGAATTTAGACACTGGAGGATTTGTGGATGCTTATTTTTATAACGAACTCGGTGCTCGGCCGTAGCAATATATATAGTTTTGTAACACAAACAACTTAATTTGAATTATTAAAGCTTAAACGGTGGGCTTGTTCCTGGCATCAGTGAGGGATCTGGTAAAGACACACTTGACAATGGCGTAGCCTCTCTCGCAGGCATTGGCATCTTCCTCTGGAAAATAGAACCTATGATTTTATAGCTCAAAAGCAAAACAAACAACTTACTTCCTTCTTTTTCGCAAACCTCGAGGGAGTCTCCAGTTGCTGGCCAAACATATTTACGCACCAAGTCCGCATTTAGCTTATAGTCTGTCATCAGGCCAGATTTCTCAAAGAAGCAGTGAAAGTAGCACTATAATAAATCATTAAGGTTCAGAAACAGCTCTAAAGAACTCTTTAAAAGTACCAACCATGCTCGTTTTATCCTTTTCGTCTGGCAGGGTACCAGTGTTATTAAAAGTCAACACATTGGCTGAAAGATGTAATCAATTAGTATTAACTACATCCATTATCCTTTAAGATAAATCCCCCAGGACTCACACATCGGAGTTATGAAACTAGCATTGCAGTTACGAACGACATCGTCAAAATCTACATAGTCTGCTTCCTTGGGAGCTGGCGTAGTCGTGGATATATCATCCACATCGCCATCGAAGCTGTCATAGTTTATAATGAATATATCGCCATTATCCTTGGCTTGATCCTGAAGGGCCAAGCTCAAGTTTAACAGAGCAAAAATAAAACAGATTTTAAACAAACCGGAAACCATTTTGAACCAACTGAATGCTCTCGTTGCTCGAAGGCTCCCTTTTATAGTTGAAGTCCGGAATGAATTAAAATTCGTCCAGATCATGCAATGCACAGTTACAATAATTTCGAATAATATTTACAGAAATTGAGCGCCAATTAGTAAAGCTTTTCACACAAAAGAATCTAATTTCGAAACTGATTGGACATTTAATGATTAAGTAACCGCGTCTAGTTTAATCCGAGCTTTCAACTCACCATACGGAACTAAATTTTCATCCGCACAGGCCACCCTAGCCTTGTAGAACATCTGGTGCATTTCCTTCTGCACTTCAGGATCATCGGGGACGATATCCTGCCCAGCAACAAAAACTAGATACAACAACGAAATAACACATACGTTTCGAAACATTTTTGACACTATGACTGGTGATTGGTTTAACGCCTTTTATATATACCGACAGTAATCGGGATTCATGTGCTAAGTGTTGACAAATTAATAAGCCCATTAAGTATTTAAACTAAATAGTTGCACTTTAATCGAACAATAAATACATGCAATATACGCGTATACAGAAGTACAGGCCATCGCTCATAGTTGGTATTGCAAATGGACGATAAACGAAATTTACATTGTCAATGGGTTAACAAGAGTTACATAGTTTAAATATAGTTATTTCAAAGACCCATTCAAATCTAACGATAAACTGAACTTACATGCTTAATGTATTCATGTCAATTACATTTTTTCGGTTTTACAGTGGTTTTTAATGGAAAACTTAAAGTCAATTAAAAAAAGTGAACGTTAATCGAAATTATACAGTCGAATTTCGCAAATGCAGATTTTAGACACTTTTAAAAAAATATATTTTCATTTTTTATTTTAGGAAATCTATAAATGTTTTGGAAAAAAATAAATTATACATATTATTATCTTTGAAAAACTTTTAAATAAAATCTTTAAGGAAACTTGCTTAAACTTTGAACTTTAAACTTTTAAACTTTTTTAAAAATTGACATTTTTTATAGTTCGACTGTATTGCCAGTGGGTTACAGAAGTAGGTTTTAAAATAGTCTATAGGTTTACTTATCGAAGACATTAGTGGAGTTTGCGCAACGCGGTGTGCCTAGAGTGAGATTGGATTTAGGGTCAAAATTGTTAAAAAATAGAACATAGATCGGTATGTAAGGTTTTTGGAATCAAGGGGCCTTAATTGTAATTTCGTTTAAATTTTTATTCGCAATCATATTTGCTTGGATTCTGATTAAATTACTCTATGCAACGTCCACGTCGCATCCACGCGTCAGACCTTGGCGCCCCATGCCCGCTTCAGCAGGTAGGCGCCCCGCTCGGCGATCATTACGGCGGGAGCATGGGTATTGCCGGCCGTCACCTTCGGCATTATGCTGGTGTCCATAACGCGCAGTCCCCGGATGCCATGCACCCGCAGCTCGTGATTCACAACGGCCATAGGATCGTGGCTGGGACCCATTTTGCAGGAGCCCGCCTGGTGGTTCTCCGGTCCGGTGTTCTGCCTGACGGCGCACTCCCAGTAGGCATCGCTGCCAAACGTATGCGACTCACATCCCTTCACCACCGTCTTGTCCAGCCGCATGCCGTACTGCTTCAGAGGAGAGGTCTGCGACAGCCTGATGGCGAACTTGATGCCCTCTACCAGGGTCTTCACATCCCGCTCGTCGGTCAGGTAGTTGGCAAAGATACGCGGCGGCTCCAGTGGGTCTGCTGAACGCAGGGCTATGTAGCCGCGTGATCGGGGATTCAGGACAGCTGGGAAGATCTGTATGGCTCGTGAGTTGTTTGAAAGCAGCTCACCCACCTGACCGGTGCGAGCACAGCTGGCCAGATAGCCGCCAAAGTACAGCTGCAGATCGGGAAGATCCGGTCGATCCGACCAGCGTGTGGACAGTTTGGCAGTCACGTCAGAGATGCCAGTGCCTGACATGAGTCCGTCCCGGAACAGTAGATACTCCATGGCCGTGGCCCAGTTCAAGGGTGCCGTGTCCGCATCGTCAATAAAGAAGTTTGTGAAGTAGGCCACATGATTGTGGAGGTTCTTGCCCACGCCCGGTAAATTGTGGACAGTTCGAACATTAACCTGCTGCAGTTCATCCTTTGGCCCGACGCCACTCAAAAGCAGAATCTGCGGAGAGTTGACTGCACCAGCGCTGAGAACCACTTCCTTCTTGACCAAGATTTTACGCATGCTGCCAAACTGATCGCTCACCTCCACGCCTAGGACATTCTTGGTGTGCGGGTGGATCAGGATCTTGGTCACCGTGGTGTTCAGCAGAATGTGGAGATTGGTGCGCATGCGGGCTGGGCGCAGGAAGGCCCTAGCGGAGCTATACCGGATGCCATTTCGCGCCGTCATCTGAGCAATCATGAACCCGGTGGAATTCTGTCCATTAAGATCCTGCACAGAGAAGCCAAGTTCTTCGCCAGCCTTCAGGATGGCATAGGAAAGTGGGGGATTGTAAGGGAACTTTCCAACGGGCAGGAGTCCACCCTTGGCGTGGTATTCTGTGCCCACGGCATCCAGCTCCAGGTTATCCTCAGACTTTTTAAAGAACGGCAGGACGTCGTTGAATGCCCAGCCAGGATTTCCCTGGGCTGCCCAATCGTCGTAGTCCTCCCGATTGCCGCGAATGTACATCATGCCGTTCATTACCGAGGTGCCTCCCAGGACCTTGCCTCGGGGCCAATAGCATCGCTGCTCCATGGAGGACAAGCAAGCCATACGCTCCGGCTCCGTATTGTAACGATAGTCAATATCGCTGCCGATGAAGTTCAGGAACATGGAAGGAATCTGGGCGCCCACTGGTTCATCTCCACCTGAAAGAAAAAAGAGTCTTTAAAAAACCACGGTCTAAGTATAGCTTCTAGTTCTAACGACTCTAATCAACTACATTTTCAATAAACTATCTATCAGACAGTATCTCAATACCTCAATACCTCTCAGTATCTGTTAAATTCTTTCAAACCAAACAATATAATTGGTCATTTAAATTGGTTACCAATATTCGTACACCGGTACCCATAATCCAAGACTATAACTAGTCGTGACACTTGGCTAATAGCAGCAAACTGTCTATTAAGAAGCCGTTCAAACAAACCCCAATTTAACCTTCGGGCAGCTTGGGTGGGCATTTCAATTAGAGTTTGGGACATCTGAGGCACGCTTTGGTTAACCCATGGCAACCTATTAGTAATTAGTATATTGGCCCAATCAGCGTTCTAGAATTTCCGTTTCATCGAGCCCACGACTCCAGTTAATTAAATCGATTCAAGTGGAATCTTTGATTGCCAGCCATAGCGTGGGAGCCGAACAAAATTTTACCGCAAAATCCTGCAGTAATAATTTAACTTGGTATTTCAACAAAAGAAAATTAAGCAAAATAGCTTAAAAAATTGGAGACTATCAGAAATACCGGCTCTGATTCATTGAGTACAAGCGTTATATATGTTCCCATATTGCTTATAACTTGTTCTCCAAAAAAACATTCAACATATGTATGTGTCAAGCAAATAAAAACAAATGCGTTTTGCTGTGCTGTTTACGCTTTTAAATAAGAGAAAACAATTAGCACCAGAACGTCGCATTCTAATTAGTTTAGAATGAAAGTCAAAGCCGTCGAGCATCTTTGCATAAATAATACCATTATAAATCCCCTAAACTACATAGTATTGCCGAAAAAATGTTTTAGCCGAGTGCAACAAACCATTTGCGGGAACTTAAAAAATAGAATAAAGCTTAAAGTACAAAATCGAGTTAGGATTCAAATTTAGAACACGTGGTTGTCCGAATAAGTGGTGCTATTAACCTAACCCGAGGGTCACTCCAGGGGTCAGTGTACCAGGCACCAGGTTAACTTCTTAAATTCTCTAGATATCGTTAATTTACTTTCCGGCATGCTTTTGGCATTGGCTAAATGTGACGAGTTGCATGTCTAATGTCAAGCAAGACCGAATTATGACTTCGTCGGCTTGGCCGAAACAAAAGCCACTTAAGACGGGGAGTTATCTGCTCATACTGATATATAATAAGCCAGGTAGGTAATAGCCACAGCTAATTGCAAACCAGCCTCAGGCATTGTTGTATAATTAACGCCAACGCATTGGCCACATCGAAGTGTGTCTCTTTCGCGGCTTTTGGCTTTTAATTGGTGTAATTAGTGACAAGGCGTAAAAATTGTCACAATATAATTGCAATTATTTTGCGCAAATCTGCCAATGAGGGAGACGAGACCCAGAAAGTAACCCAACCAACGATGAGAATGCTGATAGGGCATTTTTAATGGAGACATTAGAATGTTTTCCCATGCCTAAGTGATTTTCCATAGTCTTGGGTGACTAATAAAGACATTAGTCAAAGATGAGAAAAAATTATGATTGATAGCTCTGCGAATACTGAAAGATATCTTTTCAAAGAGCTGACTGTCTTGTTTGGCGGCATTTAGTAGATAAGCACTTATTATGTTTAAAAATGCTATTTACTTTAAAATATTTCATTAGGAACCAGTCTTAGTAAATGTATTCGAGATTGACAAAAATTATAAATTCAAATCGATTATTTGCATTAAATGAAATCAAATAATTTGGCCCGAATTTCATTGTTCACAAAACCATAAAATTCGAGTTTGCTTTAAAATTTGGATTGCTTTATAATGAAATATAAATTATGCAGTGCTAAAAAGGCTCTTAAGCACAGTTTGCCGCATATTTGCCTTTAATTATGGCAAAGTGAATGCACTGCATTGAAAATCAACAAAAACGAGTACATCCAAAAGCCACCCACACTCTCAAAGCACAAATTCACGTGTTGTTTATGCATCGTAATTCATTCATAAAAAAAAGGCTGTGAACAACAACAATTATCCAATGCAAAAAATGAAGTCAACCGAAACGAAAAAAAAGGTCTTCAGGCTGTGAAACGGCTCCAACCGGAGCAAAATCCAATAAAATGAGGGAAGATATTTGCATGGGCTTAGATTGCCTTCGGGCCGAGGTGGCAGCTCGTTTAGTTTACATAATGCTCGTGGCAGTTGCGGTGGCTTCTTTGCCGCAGTGTTGCCCAAGTGGCATTAGTGTTTCTGCGGTTTCTGCTGCTGCTGTTGCGGTTTGCTATTGTTGCCGCTGTTAAGCTTCAATTACTTCTAAACAAATGCCATATAACGTGCCTCTAATTGCCTGAGCCGCTTGAGCTGGCCATGTTGCTGGCAACATGTTGCTCCTAAAAGACCCACTTACCGGCTTCGATCAGCAACACCTTCCACTGGGGCACCTCGGAGAGGCGAGAGGCAACCACAGAGCCCGCTGAGCCACCGCCAATGACAATGAAATCGTACTCGTAATCCGGCTCCGAACGAAACTGCAATAAGAATGGAAACCATTGGAAGGTGATATTGTTGGCCACAAAAATGTTGGCCATGATTGTCAACTAACCCGTGAGCTGGCTCTTCCGCAGGGGTCCTCCAGGTCGCATTGGGAGCGGATGAAAACTTCCAGAAGGCCCATGAACAGCATGAAGGCACTGCCGCCGCAGGTGGAAGCCAATGTGGGTCCAGTGGGCACGCCCACTAAACAATCGCAGGCTGAGGGGCTGGCGGACATGATAATTTACTGCAACATTATAAAAAAAAGTGGAATTAAAGCTTTAAGTTTGAGAAACGGCAGCTTAATATTGATGGAAATCAAAAGACTTAGAAAACAAACTTCACATTTTCAATGTTGGATTTAGCTTTTACTGGGTTAAGGTATTCAGTTTATGAATCAGATAGGTTATGGTGAAGATATGGTCTTCGGAGGGTCCCATATGGTCGTTCCGTGCATACGCCCCATTTTTGATGGGGACCCTCCACACAATTTGACAAAAAATCGAAAAAATATTGCGTTGCTAGATTTTGATGCAGATTGATGGGGAACCGATCTACAAATCGTTTAAGGTATTCCGTTTAAAAATCGGATAGGTTTTGGTGAAGATATGGCCATCGGAGGGGCCATGGTGTCGTTCCATGCATATTCCTCATTTTTGAGGGGACCCTTCAGAAAATTTGACAAAAAATCCAAAAAATATTTCGTTGCTAGATTTTGATGCAGATTGATGGAGAATCAATCTACAAATCATTTAAGGTAATCCGTTTAAGCATCGGATAGGTTTTGGTGAAGATATGGCCATCGGAGGGGCCCATGTGGTCGTTCCATGCATATGCCTCATTTTTGAAGGGAATCCTCCAGAAAATTTGACCAAAAATCCAAAAAATATTTCGTTGCTAGATTTTGATGCAGATTGATGGAGAATCAATCTAAAAATCATTTGAGGTAATCCGTTTAAGAATCGGATAGGTTTTGGTGAAGATATGGCCATCGGAGGGGCCCATGTGGTCGTTCCATGCATATGCCTCATTTTTTAAGGGAATCCTCCAGAAAATTTGACCAAAAATCCAAAAAATATTTCGTTGCTAGATTTTGATGCAGATTGATGGAGAATCAATCTACAAAGCATTTAAGGTAATCCGTTTAAGAATCGGATAGGTTTTGGTGAAGATATGGCCATCCAAGGGGCCCATGTGGCCGTTCCATGCCTATACCTCATTTTTGAAGGGGACCCTCCAGAATATTTGACAAAAAATCGAAAAAATATTTCGTTGGTAGATTTTGATGCAGATTGATGGAGAATCAATCTACAAATCATTTAAGGTAATCCGTTTAAGAATCGGATAGGTTTTGGTGAAGATATGGCCATCGGAGGGGCCCATGTGATCGTTCCATGCATATGCCTCATTTTTAAAGGGAATCCTCCAGAAAATTTTGACCAAAAATCCAAAAAATATTACGTTGCTAGATTTTGATGCAGATTGATGGAGAATCAATCTACAAATCATTTAAGGTATTCCGTTTTAGAATCGGATTGGTTTTGGTAAAGATATGGCCTTTAACTAACAAGAAAGGAAAGCCTACTTCGGGCGAAGCTGAAGTTCAATACCCATGAGTCAACATCTAAACATTATACAAAATTAATATTTTTAATTTTTCCATTCTATAAATAATTGTTTTAATTGGCTATCGGGCTGTTTAATTTTAGTTTTTAATCATTTCCAGTTGATTAAGCACAAAGCCATAGGGCAAAGTCATAAAATTTTGAAAACCCACAACTTGAACTTCTATTTAACCTTGCCGACTCTGACAAAGACTAAAAATTATCAAAGTAATGCTCCAGCAGCAGCACTGTAATTAATAAGAGTACCCACCGAAACAATGGGCGTCGTCGGTGGTGATTTCAATGCACACCGAAAAACAACGGAAAAAACAAAGCCCAAATGAAATTGAAATCAAAAAAGATACTTTTTATATCTTGGCCATTTGGCAAACAAAACGGCAACTGCCGCCAGCATTGGCAATTACCGAAAGGCCAAACAGACAGATAGACGGAGATTTAGGCAGACAGAAGTCATAGCTCATCATCCAAGAGCTTAGCTTTTGTGTGCTTCTGCTGCATAGTTTCACATGACCTTAGCCCCAAGCCCCAGCCAAAAATGCCTGGCTGGCTTCTCGTTTTCTTTCCTATTTGGGATTTCGAAACCATCTCTTGGTCTGTGCCTAAAACAGAAGCACTGAGTCGGGCTCAAATTACATTACAGTAGCCAGCTCCGATTGAGTAACGTGCATTAAATTATGTCATTTGTTTTTCGTCGGTGGACCGATGATGACCGCTGGGGATCAGGGAGACTTTAAGGCGATTTGAAGGCAGGGGAACCTGATCTGTTTCATGTTCCTTGTATGGGACACAGAAAAATGTTAATTGCACATCAATAACATTGCTGTTCACACTCCTTACTAGGGCGTTGAATTAGCACCCAAATTAAAACCAAACCCATCCCCGAAATCAGTGCATTTTTGGACGACACAAAGCTGACTACGTTTTTGACCTCAATCAACTCGAACAGCTTGAGGCAATTAAATTGCAATTTGCGCCCAGCCAAAAACAGAAAACCGAAACAAAAAATAAAACAAGAAACAAAGCAAAAACCTAATTGAAACAAAAACTGAAACTAAAACCAAAACTAACACTGAAACCGAAAGTAAAACAAGAGAATCAACTAAACAGAGATCGAGAAGATCAAGCAATTGCTACAGTTCGTCTGTTTTTGGTTGCCACAATGGTGGTGCTCGCATCTGACATTTCGAACACGATTTTTCATTCATTTCAATTGCATTTTGGTGTCTTTCGCTTTTAAAGTTGAAGGATGCCATGAAAGTGAGGCAAAGGCAAAGGCAACATCAACGGCAACGGCAAAAAGGCAGTCGGAGAACATACGCAACTCACGCGAGCGTGGAAAATCAAAAAGAGAGGCGGTTGACCTCGCAGCCAGTTTTCCACCAGGCTTGTAAAACTCTGCAACAACCAACAACAATAAAGGTTTCAACAGGCGAACTTCAAACGCCAAGAAAAACGCGTGCAAAAGTCGTGCAGCGATCTGAAAAATTAAAAGTTGTTCGGGACAACTTTTGTTGGCCCAAAAGAGTTTCGACCACTTTTGCGTAGCCCGATGGTATGGAAATTTTGGTAGAGAAATCCTTATCCGAAATTTAAATAGTAAATGTTTTACAATAAAATAGGGTCAAAAAAATAGGCAGAAATATCTGATGCACAATATATCCTTTAATCAAAAGACTTAGGACACGAACTCGACCACAAAACATGAAAATTTTTTTGTTAGATATAAGAGTCTGTATTTTTTATGAAATCTAATGTAAATCCTAATCGCACAATCTTATATGCATGCTTGTTTTTATGTTTATAATTACTCAATTAATAAGCGACAATTGTTAATACTTCCTCTGATTGCAGCGTAATTTCGCCCGGACAATACTATCTTTGGGGCTGCCATAATGACAGCTTGTTTTTGTATTAACAACTTTATCGGATAGGAGGCATGGTGCATAATATCTAGCGCACTGAAGCGATCCGGGTGTCGATTATAACCAACCCGAGCTGCAGTTGTCTTCTGGCGGTTTTTATTGTACCCGTACGATAACTTCATTGATATTGCTTGGCATTGTCTTAGTCGCTGCATTGCATTTGAAGGTTTCTTTCAACTGTCAGTCAGTCAATCAGGCAGACAGTCAGTCAGTCAGTCGGTCGGTTAGAGCAAACTCGTGCTCATTGGTGTGAACAACACCGCAACTCGGTTTTGGGCCTTGTTATTTGGTTATCTTGTTGCTGCTTCTGCCATATGTTTAGGCTTTGTTTTTCGGGTGCTTATTAATGTGGGAACCGTGCATTTATTAGAATAATAACCATAAAGTAATGCAATTTATGCGTGCCACTACAAAGACGCCAGATAAAGGCATGTGATTTTGAGTGAATTGTGTAAGTTTTAGTTTGGGGATGGGGTGGGATTTTGCCCAGTCTCTGTCAGAAGTTTCGAGTTCCACCTGTCAAATCAGTTAACATATCAATCTAACAAAGTCGAACACTTTCTCAAGGCTTTTAAAAAATGTCATTAATCAGCCCATAACAATCTCACATAATTTCAAAAATTTCACATCGATTTTAAGTTAATTTGACTCACCAATTTCCCCAACTTACCTGGCTGAGTAAGCTACGTAAAACTATAACAAATTTAATGGTCAAAACATAGCGGCAAATTGAAGTCATTAATTTGGCCAATGGACCTCCGACTATGAAAACTGGAACGGGTTTACTTTTGATTTCGTGGTTTAACTTCTTTCTTAAAATCAACAAATAACGGTAAACGCGTTAAAGAGTGGCAAAATATATAGAAATATATACATATATATGAAATAAAAATGAAGCATAAAGTTTTCACGTTCGGGCGGTAATTTGACAAGCGGGAGCTAGATGGCAAGGTGTATGAATAATTTAATGAAAAGTCCGGCTAAGCGAAGCAAAACGCAAAATGCAGTAATGCAAATAGATTTGGTCGAAAAAGTTCATAAATAAAACCGGCCACGTATGAGTGTCCAGGTAACCTGGGGAGACCATAAATTAACACCAACCATATCCCCTGCTGGCGAGGATAACGAGCCGGCAAAAGCAAACATTGGCCCCGGACCCGGGTTTCCCCTCTCTGATATTACGCAGACATCGCTCTGGCTCTGGCTCTGGCCATTAGAAATTGGCCAAGAAATCAACGAGTGTGGCAAAATAAAACAACTGGAACTGGAACTGGGGCTAAAGCTGAAGCTGAAGCTAGAGCTGGAAACAGCAACCTGCAACCTGCAACTGTCGGCAATTGCATTTGCAGCAAAACTAGAGGAAACTGCAGCGCAATGTCTGGCCAACTTGGCCAATGTCTGACTCAAAGTCTGAGTAGCTGTTGGTGTTGCTGTTGTTTCTTATGTTGCCGGTCTCATGGCTCTTTGGGCATCTCTTGACTTCCTATTTTCACTTTCGTTCGTCATGAGCGTGTCAGCAACTAGAAATGCAACAACACAACACCACCAAAGACCCACTTTAGGTTTTCCTTTTTTTTTTTTTAATTTATATACCCTTTTTTGGGTCTAGACTCTAGACTAGTTTCTCCTGAATTTGGTTCTAATTAAAATGAAAAATACAAAAATTAACTTGTCCATTTACTCTACAAAATATTAAATGTTATTAAATATCATTTCTTGTTTAGTTAGGGTATAAAAAATGTTTTCTTATGAAAATAAATTTCTATTTATATATTTTGTAATTTTTTCTTGTTACTTTTGCGTACTTTGTGTTGAATTCAGATCTGCATCTGCCTCTAACTTAGCCAGTTGTCAACGCGACATCAACAATGTGCGAATGTTTTGTGTGAGAATTTGCCGGCCGTTGTTGTGTTGCTTGTTGCTGCTGTTGTGTTTTCATCCTGTCATGCTTCATCACGTAATTGTTAACATTTTTTTAGGCAATATTTAGTTAATGCACTTCTGCTGACGCTGTTAAGTTTAGCGGATTGACGTATTTGCTTAGCAACTTTTATTGGATAAATATTTAATCAAAGATTCTTAAAATGGGGATTTCCTCAAGCAATATTTTTATAACAATTGCCAGTTAAGCCCTTGGTAGTCATGATAAAAATCTGTAAGGCCTGAATACAATAAAATCGAAACTCGTGTATTGGTGATTGCATTTTTATTTGTTTTTTTTTCGTCGTTATTATTTCCAGAGAATTGCAATGTATAATTTATTGAGATGGCATTGGCCGGCACGACTAACGATGGATGTTTTTCACCAGAAACCAGAAACGGAAATTCCAACTAAGCTTTAAATTTTTATTTTTCTTCATGTTTGGTGGAAAGGCAGAAAAATAGCCAAAAACAAAACAGTTTTACATAATTTATTTAAATTTTGTTTTTCGGACGTCTTGGGCCGGCTATTGTTGCACGAACTACGTGATTGAATATTTACAACATTTTGTTGCATTTCGCTGGGCAAAATGTTGCTGCAACCGCATGTAATACCCTTGGAGTTGCCAATTACGTGGCACCGCTGTACTGCCACACAATTAAGCTTCGAGTGAAATTCTGCAATTGCGATGCGCATCATTCCGGCGATTGTCAAAGACCCCAGATGAGAGTTGAGCTAACTTGGCTGAGATGGGCTTTGTGCCTTGATTGATCGCTGGTTACGTGCTGGATAAGGCAAAAAGCGGCAGCAACATCAGATGCTACACCAACAACAACAACACTTTGTTGGCCCCCAAGGCGGATGCAAAAACAAAAAAAAAAAAAATAGAAAGAAAAAAAATAAGATAAAAAAGTGGGCAGCTTAGAGCAACGAACAACGTTGTTCAGGAGCTGCCTGTCAACTGGGTTGCCATTTCATGAGTTCGGTTTCGGGGCCTGCAGACAGTAACAACACTTTTAGTTTCATTGCTAAATGAGTGAATTTGTTAACAGGGTTGTGCTATAATTGAAGTCTTGCCGGGATTTCTCACGCTTGTCGCTAGGATAATGTTTTCAGAGACGCCCAGAGGCCACCGATTGTCGATAATGAGCTGGCCGCTCAAGTTGGATAATCTCGGACCGTCTCCGGCAGAATTCATGGAGCGATTTCGTAAACTTTTTCAATCGTCTCAAATATTGCCTATTGCCAATATGCTAATCCCTCTTCTTGGAAAAAAGTCCCGCATAGCATTCATAAATTTGTCCCAATTTTTGGGGAGATTTTTGTCAGTTCACCGTTCGTGGTCGACTTGGCCTGGCAATGTGCCATAACGAATTGTAAACAAATGAAGCCAAAGCCAAAGACCATTTAAATGGCAAATGGCAGAGGCACACAATGGTGGCAAGTGAGAGGTGACTGAGGTACTGGGGGAACGGCAACATACTGAAGATCAATTCAATGCTCAATGCGACCCAAAAGGGGAGCATACAATCGCAAGGCAAACAAACAACAATCGATGGCACTGGAAGAGGAGCAACAAAGCATCCATGCAACAACTATAAACTGTTTTTCGTATTTTCTCTCACTTTTTCACCAATTCAACAAAATGTTGGCAGCAGATAAAGCAGCGACAGCACGCTCCCAAAAACATGGAGACATACAAATTTTTATCTGCCGCTGACATTTGAACATGACTCTAAAAAATCTGGGGGACTCGTGTGCAAACAGCAGTTGTTGTGGGGTCTTGAAGTTTGTACATATTGTATATATATATTTTTTTTTATTTTGGCCAACTACAGAAAAGAAAGCTAAGCGTGGGTGTCATTCGGTCAAAGCACTCTGTTCCATGCCCAATTAATTCCATTGCCCCCCAAACGATCATTCCTAGATATTGATACCTTTTTATTTATTCGCCGGCCACTGTTTGCCCTCAATAAAATTTGATGGATCATCGCCGCCGCCTACTTTAATTTGCAGTGAACAATAAAAAGAAGTACAGAAAACAAACAAGCGAAATTAAAAGACCCTAAACCGAACATCGAGTCTGATATGCAAATCGAGAAACAATCTTGGCTGACGAACTCTTTTTTAATGAGTTCATGCGTAAAAATGTGAGCACGTTTGGGGTGAAATAATTTTTGATTAGCGATTTGCTTGGGAGACATGATTTGTTTTTTTTCGTTTGTGTTTTTTTTTTATATTACTAATATTTATATTTTTTGGGTATTTGGGAAGCACATTTCGATGCAATATTTTGATATCCTTGTGATGAGTAATTTTTTGGTAATGTTTCCCGGAATGTAGGCTTTCATCATCGTTTTAATATCTTTGATGAAAGTGGATTTTCTTTGGGCACTTTATCTTTAATTGGTCAGTGATAACCTCATCCTCAATTTATTTCATAATGTGTTTATGTCTCTCTTGAAAAGAAAAGATACAACCTAACGGATACTCCCATTCAATTCGGATGAAAAGACGAAATGTACTCACCATAAATAAGCGTAAGTGGTTTATATTTTACAATACCACGAGCTTCCGCCGAATTGAGGTGGCGGCTTCGACGAGGGTGGCCGGCTGAAACCGGGTTAATTTCCTATTACTGTAATGCACGTTTAATGAACTGGCATACTGAAACACCCTAGTCTGGTTTGAATGTAATTGAGTACAAAAATCGAACAGATTAGTGGCCAAATGGCTGACAATGGGTGACCGTTTTGATGTGTGTGGAAAATGGAAAAGAAACCAGTAACTAAAATTAGAAACGTGTCTAGAGCACAAATCGTGAGACACATATTGTTGTCAGCGTCAGCCAGCAAAACAAACGAATCGAATTGGAGCTGTTGGTCTATGAAATGGTCTATTGCAAAAAAAAGTGCAACACAATTTATCGCCATGAGCCATCAGAAGACCGAACAGAGTTCCGTTTCTTGGGCTTATGACAATGGCAAATTTTCCAACAGATTTCGAACCCCACGGCTGGCAAATCTTTTGAGCTTCCTCAATGCCAAAAACGGACATGACGAATTTTTGGTTGTGAAAAAAAACCGAATAAATAGAAATAAATGCGATTGCATCAACTTACATTTTCTGCGTCCAGTGGTTGGGTGTCTGGTTTCCTTTTATGCCTTTGATTTTGAATTAATTGTTTATTCCTTATTGAAAATGCCTCGAGAAAATTGCTCAATGGCCCGAAGATGCTACAATGCTTGCCAGTCTTTAAGCTTTAAATTTTTATTTAGCAGCAAATATTTGCAAACACAAACACTTTGGTCAGTTTCTGGCTTGCAATAGTCTTATGCCACTGCCTTTGGGTTTTTATAATATCTATTTTTTATGAGTTAACCTCTGGATCACTGCACTAAAATGGTTTGTATTCTGAGGTCTCTTGATTTTAGTGAACTGCGCGCAGACGCAGAAATTTACCGACTCAGCTATGGGGAGACAAGCGCGAGACTTTTTAAATGTCGAGCGCGAGACAAGTTTCGAGCTTGAACCTGACGAAGCCGAGCTTTAAGTTGGTCTAAAGTTTGATTGTGGCCTAAAGCTAAAGCTTTTGGGGTTTTGGCTTGATCAGAGAGTGGTTTGTCGCGGCTAAGTGTTTGATTTTATACTTAACGAAACATAAATATTTTCGTTTTAGATTAAGCTTTGTTTGCTTAAATCGTTATTTCTTTTTTAATCTTTGTTATTTTTAAAGAGTAGTGTTGGGAAACATTAAAAAACCTTCTAACCCACCCCTATTTTTGGCCAAGACGTCACAGGTTTCTTCAACCACCGCTTTCAGCTAACTAGCAGCCCACACAAAAAGCTGCAAAAACTTCAGCTCCAGAGCGCAGGCGCAGGTTTAACGATTTCCAAGTCAAGAAGTCATTGGCAAAATAAAGTACAACGGCAGCGGAACTACGTTGTAGTATTTTTTTGAAACCAAACGTTAACTCGAAAAAAAATATTAAATACTTAAACATAATATCAGCGGTTTTTTTTTTTTGAACAAAAGTAAGAGAGTTAAAATACTAAACTAAACAATATTGACTTGAAAAGGATAAAATGAAAAAACATTTAAGACACTAGGGAGCTCAAAATAAAAGCTTTCAGATGCTGCAAAAATACCTTGGCTGAAAAATAAAACAATGACTAGCAACTGGAACACTTAAATCATTAAATTTTCTAATATTGTGACTATAGTTGCCCTTTAGTTCTTGGGTTTTTGGAATCCCAGAAGCAAAAAAAAAACAATTTTGTGTGTGCGGGGGTTGTGATGATTCATACAACCCAGGCGAGCACCCGCAGCTCCTCTGGGTATGCATGTATGTATGTGTATTTGCTTCAGAGTGTGTCTGTGTAGATGTATGGGTTCTCAAAGTAATGCAAATAACAACAAAAGCAAATCGTTAGCATAACCTGAGCATCTGCTACCCACGGAAAAAAAGCCTCTAGCATACATTTGTGCGCAAAATCGATTGTACGAAAATTTTTCACGTGCCACGGAAAGTTGCAAACAGCCAGAAAAGACAGTTGCACAAGTTTCGCCTCCCTCATCATCTATTACAAATTGTGACTAATTGTTATTCCACTCACAGCTACGAGGAAAATCGAGAAGGAACGTGCTGAGAGGGGCCCGAGCCAAAACCATTAAAAATGGCTGAAGAGTATATACCAGATGTTAGCGTCATGGACACAAGTAAGTAACATATTGCAGCATCAAATGTAACCTTTGTGGTAGATCTCTTCAATTTGCTCATTAAGAAGTTGCCGAAAATGTGACAGAGAAGTTTTCCAAAACTTTTTCCTCTTGCCATGAATAATTAATTCGGGTTTTGGTGCCAAAGGAAGCCTGGAAGTGCTTACTGCATGTGTCATGTACTTAAGGGCTTATTATTTATTGGGATTTTTTTATGGCATGATGTTAAAGAAGTTAATGTTTCTTTACTGTGGCGCCTTATTTGTAGGCTTAAGTTTTATTAAAAAATATATAAAAAGGAAAGAACTATTTTGTGGTTTCGAAAACTTTTTCTTTGACATTGTATGTGCGAACTATGATGACTAAGCGCTGTGAAAAAGCCTATTAATTCTCTTCAGAGGCTTAGATCTTGATTACCTTCCTATTGGTTTCTTTCAGATGTTTAATTCAAGGTTTAATTGGCTTTAAATTATCAATAAATAAAACATAATTATAATTAATAACCCTACTCTTTTTCACCCACAGTTGTGCCCGCCATCCTGGGATTGACGGCAGCTGCTGTCCTCTCCTCGGTGGCCTGCATCTGCGCCAAGCAGATGCGCATCCGGAACAAGAAGCAGAACCAACATGACGCCTCGTTCCCGTTCCAGCCGACGCGACGTCCGACAGCAGTTCGATCGCCAAGCGGCCAGCCGCCTCACTACTTGAAGAAGTCCCCCTCGCCCACCGGCGGCAAGCAGATGAGTCTCCTTTCCCCCATGCAGGATCAGTCCACCTCTCCGATCGCTCAGCCGAACGCCAAGTACAGTGAGGAGGACGAGGCCCCCCAACTGAATCCGGAGCACCAGCACAACGGCAACAAACTTACTGTGGTCGATGGAAATGGGATAAAGCAATCGCTGCACCACAATAACCACCACCACCACCAAAACCACCACTCGCCGGTGGAGACGATTGCCAATGGAAATGTTACCATCACCCTGGACGACCAAGCACTGTCTAATGGCAAGGAGTTGACTGTCACCGATCAGTACGGCAAACTGGGCACCATATACTTCAAGTTGCGCTTTTTGGCCGAGAGGAACGCTCTAATGGTCTCCATCATTCGTTGCCGGGGGTTGCCTTGCAAGGGCGGTTCGAGCGGTACAGGCGACATACCCACTGGCATGAACGGACGCACTCAGGCGGCCACTGATCCGTATGTGAAGCTCCAACTTCTGCCCGACAAGCAGCACAAGGTCAAGACCCGTGTCGTGCGAAACACCCGAAATCCTGTCTACGATGAGGACTTCACCTTCTACGGTCTGAACATGAACGACCTTCAAAATATGTCCCTGCACTTTGTCATCCTTAGCTTCGATCGGTATTCGCGCGACGACGTCATCGGCGAGGTGGTCTGCCCGCTTTCATCCATTGAGATCGGAGACATTTCCAAGGAGGCTCTGTCCATCAGCAAGGAGATCCAGCCGCGCAGCCTGAAGATTCGCGCCCAGGGCCGGGGTGAGCTCCTCATCTCGCTCTGCTGGCAACCGGCAGCCGGACGTCTGACTGTGGTCCTCCTGAAGGCCCGCAACCTACCGCGCATGGACGTGACCGGTCTGGCTGATCCGTACGTCAAGATATATCTGCTCTACAATGGCCAACGCATAGCCAAGAAGAAGACCCACGTGAAGAAGCGCACTCTTAGCCCGGTTTTCAACGAGAGTTTTGCCTTTGATATTCCCGCTGCCGAGGTGAGAAATATTTTACCAGTCATTTAAATTCAAAAATATAAAATTAATCAAATATATTTTAAATAATATTCTAGGGCACTGGCGCCACTCTTGAGGGTGTTTCTTTGGAGCTGATGCTGCTTGACTGGGATCGCGTGACCAAGAACGAGGTAGGTTCAACTTAATGGACGACTATTAACGCACCACTAATGGTATGGTTGACATTCCCATAGGTTATTGGACGCCTAGAGCTGGGAGGACCCAACTCCACCAGCACCGCTCTGAACCACTGGAATGAGGTGTGCAACTCGCCCCGACGGCAGATCGCCGAGTGGCACAAGCTGAACGAGTAGGCGGGCAAGGGGAGGCTTTTAATGCCACCACGTGGGCGCTGGCACCGTTAGCGAGAAGAAACCGAAGCAGGAACCGGAACCGGAAACGGCAACGGACACGGAAATGGGAGTCGTACGGTTCATGAGTATGAGCTCGTTCCCAGTCTTAATTTGTATTCATTTTTGGTATATACTTTAGATTATTTTTATGAATTTGTATCGATTTAATTTTTTATTTTTGATATGTTATTTTAACGATGTGCTATGCGTGGCATTAAACCCAGAGGGCGACTGTGGTCCCATGCGGAAATATATAATTACCACACCAACCACTAAGTAAATTAAATGTATTAGAAAATGTTTAGGACGTAAAAGATGCATGTAAGTGTAAGATAATTCAGAAAACATCATATAAATGCTTGAAAAATTCAAAATAGAAAACTGCAGAAAAAGACACAACTTACATATAGTGGACACCGATTTTGTTGCTGTATAGAAGAAGAATTATACGCTTTTGTGTTGTTTGAATGTCTATATATTTTTTCATATCAAGGATTAGAAGTACCATTTAATGTGCCCACCACAATGGATGAAAATATTTGATTTTCAAAACCAAACCAAAGGAAATATATTAACCATGCATATGTATAAAATATTTATTATGATATTAAATCTTAAGCATAATGTTTGCGTTGGTTTGATGGAATAAAACTGTTTTAGGCATTTTTCGTTTTGTAAAGCAAACATAAAAAAGTTAAGTACCATGATCCCACAGCCGATGGAAAGTAGCTTACTGCTTCACAATTTATACGTACTCCTTAAAATAACCAAAAATGAAAATAAAACGAAAACCAAATTGAATCTAGAGAGACACGCAGCAGAATGCTTAGCACCAAAAAGCTACAAAACCACACACAAATCGAACGAAAGTCAGAAAAAAATAATGATTCGGAGGAGATAACAAACACAAAATCATATTGTAAGCAGCATAGTAAATGTAGAAACAAAATACCCATGAAAACTGTAGAGTATAAAAACTCACGCATAGCTCAAACCGATCTCAATAAGCACTCCACGTAGTAGACACTACTCATAAAGCAGGATAATGCAATCCCGAGGAGCGGAGCTTTAAGCTGGAGCCCAACAATTATCCATAAACTGATACCGAGTGTACTGATCGCAATTGTATTGTAACAGACCTAAATATATAGACACCAGCCCGCTTCTAAGTATATTTTGTGAACTGAATGTTAGAACATAATACTTCATTGAATGACTACGTATGAACGTACAACCATAAGAATATATATAGAAGCAACTATATACACGTTCCAAAGAATGGTAATCCACTACAATTTGTGTCCAATCAAAACTTCAATTCGTCTAATGAAAAACAATAATATTGAGTAATGCAATCTCAAAAGAAGGCACTCGAATCAACCAATTACGCATGTGGTTTAGGTATTGCAAACGAACCCAACATTGTATGAGATGTGTATAATTCTACATTATATATAAAATTAATTGTAAGCTACATCAAATGGTTAATTTCAGTAATAAAAAGTATAATACAACATAAACTCTGGTGTTTTTGTAATTTACCAACCACCCGTCTAGATCCCGCTTTAAAAGTCAAACATTTTCTTTAAGTGTTTAAGATTACCTATTGCAAGATGATCCTCTCTTAACTGATAAGCAGTATCACATAGAGCACATCAAAAAGCTTGAATCAATCTTGTAGAAAGCCTCAGTACAGGCTTAGCACTCTATCGTGACGGTATACTGCTCGTGGGAAAATTTCGCGTCTCAATTTATTAAAATATTACCTTATTTATTGAGCTATGATATCGAAAAAAAATTTAATATGTATTATAACTCTAGTTTTGTGTGTTGTTGGTGAGATGGAAAATTTTGAATATTAATTAATTTTTTTTAAAAGAGCAAGGGCAATAACCTATTATATTTGCTGATAACGAATTGGAAGTGAGGAATGTGTGTCTGAAAATAAATAAGTAAATGTATTTTTGCTAAATCAAGGCCATTAGATTCTTATGTCTAGGCAAAGATTAGAAAAAAAAAGATTATAAAAATGTACTTTATATTTTTTGGTCTAGGTTTCTTATGTGCTAGGTATATAAAATGCCTTATACGATAAATGTGCATATATGTATGTCATGACTTGGTCAGTTAAGTCAATACAGCCATTTTTGTGTGCCGGACCGTCCGTCTGTCCAATTACCGCGTGGATCTCCGCAACTATAAGAGTTACAGCTACAATATTTGGCATGTACTTAGACTCTTTTAGTACCCACGAAGCTCAAGTATGTTTTAAATTTGTAGCCCCCTCCCCATAAATGACATCTTTTTATAGCGCTCGTCCAGATAAGTAGCTAAGTCGGCCGTCTTCTGAGAATATATAAAGAATATATAAAAAGAATATATAAAAAAAAGCACGCAGATTAGGTACGCATCTTACTTCTAGTACTCTTAGTAGCCACGTAAAAATTTTGATACCCCACGATTTTAAAGAAAAAAAAACAACAAAAAAACAATTCAGCCATTGATTTTAATTATTCTTCACTAAAAACGCCAACAGATCTTTCCGTTGCAAGCTATATAGAAAAGGATGCGACTGATTGCAATGGAGTTAAGGAACAAAATGACGGCTTGGACGAATCATTTCAAAAATGCTATAACCATAGGTGTAATGACACGACACATTTTCGGTGTGTGTATGGAGGCTGCATACCCATGAATCAAATATGTAATGGAAACAAAGATTGTTGGGACGGCAGTGACGAAAACGAACTACTATGCTTAGAAGGCGAGGATCTGGAACAAAAGTATACGGAAATCGCCGGAGATTGCGAGTGAGTCGACTTCTATTTAGAAAAATATTGATCATTAATTAGAAAATATAGGGATTTTGAGTGCCAAAATGAGGGGGCTCGAGTCGGAAACAAGTGCCTTACCTGGGATAGGGTCTGCGATGGAAAAAGCGACTGCAAGGACAGTCTTGATGAAAATATAGATATTTGTTCATATATGGAATGCCCGCCGCCGCACTTTAGATGCAAATATGGTGCCTGCATCTCTCAAAATGCTCTGTGCAATCATATCGCTGATTGTTTGGACGGTTCTGATGAGCTTGCCGAAATTTGTGATTTGTATTTAATTGACACGGATTTAGAGGGAATAAGACCCACACCCCAAGGTCTCTCAAAGTGGACTGTAAATCAGTGCAACCTAAACGACTCGAGGTTGGTGGCAGAGGATTTTGCTTTAGGAATTACCTATCGTGGAGCCGATGGCAACGTTCCCGAAAAACGCCACGTCATGCTGCGTTGTGCCGACGGTTACAGCCTGGACGGGGAGGAAAATAACATTTGCGACGGCGACAAATGGCGATATGAATTGGCCAAGTGCTTACCACAATGCCAACACTTTGGTAGCAACGTCCTCTTCACACAGTGCTTCCGCAATGATAATCTGGTGGACTGCGAACAGCCTTACCTTGTGATGGGTACCGAAATGAACGTTGCCTGCGCTCAAGGGTATACTGGTAAGTGGAATCCATAGGCTCTTACTCAGGAGATAGCCCAAATATAACACTTACCCTACGTATTACTTTCGTTTGCAGGAGATGATTATGGAACGCAGGTTTGTGGCAATGGTGCTGAATGGAAAGTGATTAGGACTTTGCCCACGTGCAGGCCTATGTGCGGCTTCAAGCAGCTTAAGGATCAAGACCACCCGGACCCGTGGGAGATGAGTGTGTTCCAGCGCGGCCACGAGCCGGTCTTCTACTATGTCGGTAGGGCCATTGTTTTGTCGCCGTTTATCCTTCTGGCCCCTTACAGTAGTTTCCGGAATACCACCATTGGAAGCGTTAACCCCGATGAGCCATTGCTCTATACGGTTGCCCAGGGTCCCAGGTATAGTGACACCTTTAAGGCCCACGAATTGCACCCTTATAAGTTGCACAACGTCTCGGCGATTTACAATGTTACGTAAGAATATTGAAAGATATTTAAAATTTGATATTTTATAGTTTTATTAACTTGTATGATGATTTGCAGCGAAAAGTTTAAAAACGTAGATTATCCCCTGGTCTTGGTGCAGCTGATCCAGCCCTTGGAGTTTGATGTTCTTTTCAGTCCATTGTGCCTCCCCGTCGCGGAAAAGTCAGGAAATTGGATAACTCATGGTGACTTCAAAGAACATCTTGGCGAGCCGATAACCTCAATGAAATCAAATGAACTCTACATGCTGGAGGCCTTCATCGGAAGCGATTCGGAGAAATATCAAATCAGCGCCTTCGTGGAGAAAATCCAAAATCATATACAACTTGCCCAGAAGGCGGGAAACATTTAATTCACTTTATTACGGGATGAGTTTTGTGGTTAATCGAAAATCAATGTACATCAACTGAGGAATCACACATCTACTATTGACAATTATATAATTATGTATGCGTATTCAGTTGGACGGGGTATCCGCAACGTTACTGGATCGCACGCCGTTCGGGAACTATCTGCCATTTGAATAGTACTGTAAACTTTAATCTGTTTTTTAAAACAATAATTATTTAGCTCGATTATCAGAATACCCCAATTGTTTCTATTTAATGCATGTGTGGGTGGTGTGTGTTGTGTGTCTAGTTCAGTGTTCATTTTGCTATATACTTTACTTAACTGTAGGTATTTTGTTTGTTCGGTTTTGTCTTTACATAGAGATTGCATTCTGGAGTTAAACACTATCTATGGATTACTTTAATTTTATTTTAGATTTAAATTTAAATTTAAATTAAAATTACTTTATTTAATAATACATTACATTTGATGTTGTTATACTGGAATTTACGTTTAGGTTTAGTTTCTGCCGTTTAGTACGAAATTTTATAGGACACATTCAGTTTGCTTAGTAACTGCGATAAAAACGTTCTTTAAAATGTTAAATTTTAATCATTTTTATATCTTGCTCGTATAGTGTTTTATTTTTCGTTAATTTTGAATCACTTCAGTCTTTCCAAAAAGTAATACACCATCTCTGATCGCGGCTTTGTTTGTTCATTTATCATCGTTCTGTTTACCAACTGCTAACATTAAGAAATTTTTTTTTTCAAAATAGTTTTGTTTTCCGTCGCATAGTTTCTTCTAACATTTATGCTTCTTACAGAAGTGTCTGTATTTAATACGATACATTTAAACAACTATAAATGTGGAAAATTGAGTGTAAATTACGTTTTCCGGTTAGTTATTTTAGGTTGATGTATATATACCTATGTACAGATATAAATTTTTAAGTTTGCAGCTCTTTTGAACTTTGCTATTGCTTCACGACTGCGAGATCCGTTTGTGCACCGAAAATAAATACATTTTAATTATAAGTATTTACACTATGCAATAGACCGAATAGAGGTTCAGGATAATTGAGGATTACTTGTCAAGCAATCCTTGTCACAAACACTACTGAAATTCTGTTTCCAGGAGCTAGCATTAACATAAGCATGGACGGTGTTGGTCAAAATAGAATACGTATCGTTAGCCATTTACAGTTTGCTTATTGAGTGCGATGGAACTCATTAACTAAACCGAAACGAGACCTACAAAAATACCCACTGCCCCCCCTCGGGGGCTACGACTAACTACAAAAGTAATACTGTACAGGATGCACGCCTCGACTCCGCTTGGATAAATAACAAGTTGACCGACAACTTAGAAGTAGGACCCTAGCTATCCTTTGTCCTTCCCGGGACCCACACTGACGCCCAACAGGTGCTCCCCCGCCATCAGACCCGCCGGCTGGTGGGCGTAGTTCCGGATCTGGTGGAGCGAGATCAGCTGGTTGGGAAAAGCATTGGCGTTGTTCTGGTTCACGTTCTTGTTCGGAAAGCTGATGGCATCGTAGAGATAAGGACGCTGTGCCATCGGGTGGTGGCTCAGCGAGTTCAAGTGCGGCGGCATGGAGTTGATCGGTGTGAAGGCCGAGTTGCTGCTAGTTTTTGTTATGGATGCGGCGTCGTAGGGACCCACAGTGCTTGGTGTCGAAACTATAAAATTTAATTGAGGAAACAAAATTCATTGGTAAATACAAAACTTTTCAAAAGATGCCCCAAATGATAGAAAATCCAAAGTTAAAGATTTTATCCTTTACCTATATCCTCTCGAACCGGATCAGGCATCCTGTGGTGGGACTGTAGCTCCGGTCCATGTCCATTGCTCTGCGCGCTGTTGGGCGCCGATGGCTGGGCATAGTGGGCCTCCATGCCGTGCTGAGGTGGGGGCTGCTGCTGCGGATGGTGGTGTTGCTGTTGTTGTTGCTGTTGCTGCTGCTGTTGGGGCGGGACATGCTGCTGGGGGGGTACACCATGCTGCGGATGGTGATGGTGGGGTTGCTGCTGCTGCTGTTGTTGCTGCTGCTGTTGCTGTTGCTGCTGCTGGTGCATCACCTCCATGGCATTGGCTGCGGCAGCCGAATCGGGACTCACCTTTGGCCAATAGCCATTGTCACTGGGCGCAATGGAGACTGGTGGCAGGCCCAGGCTATTGCGCTGGTGCTGGGCGGGGTTGGCGGGAGGTGGCGGATTACCAGAGCCGCCGGTGGCAGAGCCAGATGCCGCTGCTGAAGCAGCGGCTGCTGCTGCAATAGCAGCTGCACTACCCGGCGCGATCGGCGGCCGCTTGTCCGTGCGCTCCGCGTGCTTCTGCATGTGCTTGGTCAGGTAGGTCTCCTGGGTGTAGGACTTGCCACAGTACTGGCAGATGTGCGTCTTCAGGTGCTTGGACTCCTTGTGCTTCGGGATGTGCTCTAGCAGCGAGGGCTCGTCCGAGAAACATTTGTAGCAGGAGTTGCACTTAAAGGGCTTGTCCGTCTGGTGGCAGCGCGAGTGCGACTGCAGGTTCGAGAGCTGCGAGAAGGCCTTCTGACAGCCGGGGTGACGACATTTGTACGGCTTGTCCCCCGTGTGCGTTCGGATGTGCTGCTGCAGGTGCGAGAGCTGCGTGAACTTCCTCTGGCAGATCTCGCAACGGTACGGTTTGATTCCCAGGTGAATGCGCGTGTGCTGCGATAGATATGAGGAGTTGGCAAAAGCCTTGGAGCACTGGGTGCACTTGTACGGCTTAGCCTCCCGCATGTGGATCTGGGTGTGAAGCTGGAGATCGGCCTTTGAACTAAAGATCTGTGGAAAAGAAATGCGGATTTGTTAGGAGAGGTCAGGTTTGGTTAAGAAACTATCATCTTCCTGACAGCTGCCTGACGCTGGTAGGGCTGGTAACTTTCGCAAAACTATTCCTAACTTAATACTGAAATGACACCCTATTTTATAAATGTAAACTCTATCCGTAATGAAGAAATATATATGTATGATATATGAACTATAACTGGGCCTTCAATTTTCTAGTTTCCTTCTGAATTTGAAGTTGGACCATAAAATACACTCCCAAGATCGGAGTTTAAAAATATTTGACAATAATTTCGTTTGACGTTATCTATTTTTGTATCCCTCTTCACCTTGGTGTCCTTTACATCCATCTGGGTCATGTGATGCGGCGAGCTGGTGGAGGAGGAGATGCCGTTGCCCGATGAACCGGTGGCTGAGACTCCGCCTCCCCCACCTGAGGAGCCAGCTGCCGGGTTCTGGCCATTCCTCTCGTTAAGCGTAGCATTTAGCATCCGGATGCCGCCATTGTCCACGCTATTGCTCGTGACGATGATGTGCTGGTTGGGATTGGGATAGATGCGGGACTTGCGACCCCTGGTTGATCCGGTGGGTGCGCTTCCCGAGGAGGCTGTGGTGGTGCTGCCGCTGCTGCTGCTCACCACCGGATCGTTGACATGCTTCTGCTGGCTGCTGTTGACCGATCCACTCACCGCCGAGGAGGCTACACTGCTCTCCAGGTTCGTGATGCTAGGCTTGGGTTCCGGCACTAGCTGATACTGATGTTGCTGCTGCGGATGCTGCTGCTGTTGCTGCTGCTGTGGAGGTGGCTGGGGCTGTTGTTGGGGCTGCTGGCTATAGGTGAGCACGGAGTTTCGAAGATCGGCCGTGTTTGAAAAGACACTCAGAGGACCCAGCGCCACCCGTTCATTCAAACTGTTCCGCAGGTGATCAATGGACCGATGCACCGCATGTGAGTAATCTCCGCCAGCTGGCGGGATCTCTCCAATAAGCGGCGAGTTGTGATGGTAGTCCAGGCCGCCGCCAATCGGCCGATATTCGATCAGTCGGCCTTCCATGTGGTTGATTATTAAATCAATTTTTGAAAACTTTACTTTCACTTAAAGTTTGATGTTGTGATATTTTTAATATATTTTTAAAGTTTATTCCTAAAATGTAATCACTTGTTAAATATAATTCTTTTGAATTAAATTATGCACTTTTGTTTAATTTAGTTTTTATATAGTATTGTATCAATTGTATTGTTGGTTTTAAATCATACACGGCGTATGAGTAATCTTGTCCAAATATATTGGATTTGTTTTATTGAAAAATGGCTTGTATTTTGTGTTTATGGTTAATGTTTCACTGTATAATAAGATTAAAGTAATATATTGAATACAAATTGGCAGGCGTCTGAATCATGAGACAGGTACTACCTGTTGTATGAGTAATATTTTTTAAAATCACTAAAATCATTTTTTGTTTTGTCAACTGATAAAAGAAATAGATTCGGAGAACTAAACAAATTAGGGACTCAAAAAGGTCCTTATAACCAGTTAAACCATAAACCTTTAAGTAAAACTATCTTTAGTACTAAACCTCTCTAAATACCAATTTGTTTCATTGCCATGGAATTCTATTCTATGGAAGAGCAACATTTCGTAAAATAGAATAAAAATGTTAAATTCCAGTTAGTTCTTTGTTGACATTCTGCCACAACTGCCAAAGCCAATATTAAATAAAGGCGAAATAACAAAAAAGAAGCTGAACGGAAAACCTGCGCGACGAGACCGCAAAAACGCTTTGGTCTCGACTGGCTGCACCGCCAAGCCGGAAAAGCTATTTTTTGTCTTTGCTTTTATTGTCCTAAATCTAACGCCATTTTTTTCCACGGCTCCCTTTTTATTTTGCATTTTCAATTGGTACGCCTGTTTCACATTTTTTTCTTATATCATTCACGTTTTTACGCGACAGGAATATTTTTTTCGCACGAATCTGAATTTTTTTTGGTTTTTATTTGTGCCTTTTTTCAAAGCAAAGCCCGATTTTTCTATTTTCTATGCATTTCTCTTTTTTTTGACTGCCTTCGATTAGATTTTTTCTATATATTTGTATAAATGCTTGCCTCTCTTTTTTCGCTTTGGCTCGTATATCTGGCTCCCCCACTTTGTTGATTTTTTCCGGTGAGCTAGGCATTTGGACGCAGACACGCCGCAGACATCCTGTGGAATTTACCAGGTGAAAGTCCTCAATAGTATTTCTATTTCTGTATTTTTTTGCTGTATGCTAAATGCTCCAATTTTAGACTTTCTAGTTCTAAACGCGACAAATTATTCATTCATAAAGCGTGAACGTTTCGTGTTGGATTTATTGTCCTGAATCGTTTTTTGCCATCTTGTTTTTATTAGTTTTATTAGATTTGAATTGTAGCAGATTTTTTGTGTCCATAGCATTGACCTTGAATGCAGTTTTTGTGGGTTAGATTTTTGCCAATTCAAAAATGAGAAATTGATTTGTCAACGCATCGCCTGTTGACACCCAGATTCGAATTGTGGCCTTGCCTCAATTATTGCAAGTGTTAATTCTCGATTAACGAATTATTTATGGAAATGGAATGCTATGGCCGAGAGCCTCTCTGAGATTTAATTGACACGACAATAAGTTGTGGAATGCCAGCGAGCAAAATATGAAATGTGAAATGAATTTAAATTAATTTTGCGACCCGAACTAACTGTTCGAAATGGATACCTACCGTAAACAGATTATTCTTTTTAATGTACGTTTAATTAAATTGATTTCAATCTCTTGAAATTATTCACGTTGTGCTAAGGTATCCGTAACCCCTATCGGACTGATCTATGGTCACCGTGAAATACATGTTTCACGCATTATTCCGCACAAAAAAGTACATAAATCAAGGCCCACACCACCTACTGCCAGTTAGGCAGTCTGATTTCTTTTATTGGTTAGCTAAATATTGACTTTTTTTGACATAAGCATTTAAATTATATAGGAAAATATATAAGAACATTGTACATAATATAATGCAGTCTGAAAAAAATGGAAAAAAATCTCAAACAAAAAGCGTAAAAAAAATGAAAAACTGGGGAAAATATGATGCTCTGTCTGTGTTTGAATTTGCAGAAGGTTTGAGTTTGTTTGTGCCACGGGTTGGGATTTGGTGGGTTTCCGTTTGTGTTAATGCGTAGTTTGGGCTTTTAACTAATTAACATTTAGCGGTTTGGCCATATTTTCACCCGGTTCCCCATTCACGTACAGATTCCGGGGGATGTTATTAATTGAAAAATGTGTAAAAAGTTTTGCACGCTCCTTTATTATTCATAATTCGTTGTTGTTGGCATTTTTTTGTTAATTCTGATTAATGCATTTTTCACACTACTCTCTAGGTTTTGTATTAACTTGTGCAGAATCACAAAAATATTTCCGCTTGTTTTTTCGCTCTTTTTTGTCAGTTGATGAAAAATGCATTGCCCGATGTTATGCGATTTAATTTTTTTCTTTACGGTTAACCCTTTTTTACATAGCCGATTTCTTATTCATTTTAATGATATATAATTTCACATTGCACCATTGGAGTTTGTTTTGTCTGCTTGTTTGCACTAATCATTAATTAATTTCACATCACTTAAAATATGCAATTAATATTATGTGTGTTCGCTTAATTAAAAATAATGTTTCAGCTTATTAGAAGCGTACGCCGCAGGCTCAGATCCGAAACCCGAAAAAACGATGTTGGTGCAGCGCTAGTCTTTGATTAACTGATCGCTCCGACCACTCGCAAGCCCCAGATTTCTGGCCCAAAACATCTCAATGCCATGCCAGCTGGCCAAACGGTTCGATTAACGGCTCATCCCCAGCCAGAATCTCACAGCTCTCTGCCCTGGCGGTGGCCCAGCGATCTTCTCAGCATATCAAATGTCAAATACCCAAAAATTGTCCTGGACCAGCTCCGAATCAGGTGTTTTTCGGTGCCCAATTTGTTTAAGCTTGATTGGGTCACAAACGAACTCGAGGCTCAAATCAGTGAAGTCGACTGAAAAATTTTTGGTCATCGAGCTTTTTGGACTGGGACAGTGATTCTGACAAGCCAACGAGTCTTGTGACTTTGGTTAAGATTTCAAATCGTAACATATGACAGCCCAACGAGTTTTTAAGGATAAAGCCATGGTATAAAAAATGAAATCAGTAGAAGGATATCTTTTCGTTGAATAGAGGTATTTGTTTGAAAAAGTACTTTCCATTAGTTTATATAGTGGAGTTTAAGCGACAAGAGGCAATGGTATACAAAATTCAAGATAGTTTTAACAAGAAGTACAATACCAGAAATACAAGACACAATGCATGATTTATTATATTTGGGAATAATTCAAGCTTTAAATAGAGATCAATAATTTTACAAGGAATCCCTTAAAGATATCCGGCAGAATTTTTTTCAAGTCCTCAAATCCCTCAGAATTTCTACTAACAGTTATAATTTCTATAAAAAAGAACAAAGTCTCTGAATTATCGCAAAGCTTAGCTTCGCATTAAAGAAGCTGGTTTTATAATAGTTATACAATAATGCTATCATACACTAAATGGTACATATTTTCAGGAACAAATCTTCTTGTTCAATTTTCATCTTAAGTGGCCGATCAACCAATAAATCAATCTCTGTAGATCGGCCAAGGTATGGCTCCTAACGATCGTCCAAACACTCTCATTTTTATGATTGGCCTATCCTAGTGTTACGATCTTGGCCAAGATTTCGGTATATGATATTAGCATCCGATGCTCAGATAATTATGGATCTTTAATTGGCCAATTTTAATTTTTTGTATAGGTATCGAAGGTTGACATACCCTTTTTAAAATACAGGATTCCTCTAACAAAGTAGAAGGCAGGTATCATGGATTTTTGTACATTATTTTTAAGACTTAATTTTTGCAAAAAAACAAAGTTTCTGCATTGTAACACGTTAGAAATTAATAACACAAGTTACGAACGATATGTATTACCATAGAACACCTTTGATTTTAAACAATAATAAAGAATGTTGATTATCCCCAACTTAGAGATTGCTTTAATATTTTCATTCATGTTATGAGTCATTTTTCACTTCCAATATTATTTCTTTTGTATAATATTCAATATTTAATATAACAGTTTTTCTGAATAATTTGTCAAGCAAACCGTTTGTTTACACGCACTCCCAAGGAGAAGGACGACTTTCGACCTTGATATTGAACCCAAGGAACAGCTGATACGTTGTGCAAACACACCAATACATGGGAAGAGACCGGCGAAGAACATTTATTATTTATATGTAAGCTCGCCAGCTTCCCCCTACTCACTACCACACACACTCTCGGAGCAAAACAAAGCCAGCGCTTTCTTCAGAGTATCTGCACGTGACCAAGGACCCGCGTATCCTTAAGATACACCCATACACACACGCCCTGAGTTGGAGGGAAAGCCACACAGACGTTTGATATTTTTTCTTGGCCGACAATAAATAAACACACACTGGGAGGAGCAAATCGAACGGAGCGAAGAAGTGGCGGAAGAGCCGGAAAATGTCTAAAAACGCGCTCACGTACTACCGGAAACGGAAACCGAAACCAAGTCAAGAAAAAACCCACTTTTGTGTATGTGTGTGAGTTGTGTTTTCTTTTTTTTTCCCCCGTGTCCTTTCGCTCTTCTTGCGGCTGAGATACTTTTTCTTGACGGAGGAGGCGAAGGAGTTTTTCCGAAGACGTTTTTCGTGGTGTTGCTTTTATTTTTTTGTTGTTGTCGTGACTGCGACTGTGACCGATGCTATTGTTGTTGCTGTTGTTGTGGTTATTTCACTTGGTGCGACTGTAGTAGTTGTATCTTTTGTTGATATCGCGTCTCGGGCTCAAGGAACATGTTGCGCACGGAGAAAAAACACGGAGCAGACTGAACGGAACGGAACGTAACGAAACGGAAGGCCGAGCTTAGCGAGCGAGCCGCTGCCGAGAGCACGATCCGTCACCAATGTAAAAACTCAACTAAAGCGATGATGAAAAAATCTGAAACAATATATTTTTGGGGGGCGCCAGAACACACACAGCCACACACACAGATACACGACGCAGCGCTGGGGCATCGACAGGCAGACAGACAAAACGCGCACTAACACCACTGCAGCTTTTCAAAACGCAGCAGCAGCAGCAGCGACAGTATCTGTGTGGGTGTGGGTGGGTATGGGGCAGTGGTAGTGGTTGTGGGAGTGGGCCTGGCTTACTAAAGGCCGCCGCCGGTCGACACAGACAACAACAACATCATCATCAGTCGCAGCAGCAGCCCCACTCACACACACACAGATACAAACTGGCGGTAACTTCGAAAAAAAGCAGCGGCCGCAGCAGCAGCAGCAGCGCCAACTAAGCGAACTCAAAAAAAAAGGGAAATACAAAAACAAAAATGGTAAAAAACCGAAAAAATATTCCACGCACACAGAGAAAAAAAAAGTTTTGGTTGCATAGGCAGCGGCAACGTCGCAGTCGGCTTCTCTGTCGGCGCTATTCAAATGCTGCGACGTCGACAGCGCTGCCACCTGCCAACAGAGAGCGCCAACATTGACCCAAACTCAAAGGATGGCAGGGGGATGGGGTATGGACGGCAGCTGGGGCAGGGGCAGGGACAGGAGCCCCCGAGGAGTGGGGACTCTAAAAAACGCGGAAAAAAATTGTGTAAAAAAATAAAGGGGAATTTTTGCGCCGGCGACAAACCCACGCACAGACACACACACATACACACTTGTACAGAATCACAACACTCGCAAACACACACACTCTCACAGCAATGGCCATGCCAATACACTCACACAGACGCACAGGAAATTTTTTCGCTGTTAGCCTTTGCCGCCCCAAATATCCTGTCTGCCCACCTCCACCTCATTGCCCCCCCTCCCGGTTTTTTGCATTTTGTTTTGTTCGACTTTGATGCGAGCGTACTTTTTTTTTATTGCCCGACAGGGACAGCAGGACGCGAAGAGCGAGATGGCGAGTACACGCTTTCCATTTGACTTTGCCGGCTGTGTTTTTGTTTTTGTCTTTGCCTTTACTTTTCCCGGCTTTGTTTGCATTTTTTTTTTATTTTGCTTTTTATTTTTGTTTATTTTAATTTGTCATTGGTCAACAGTTAACGAAATCATTAGTATTTTAGCCCGTATCCCAGGCGATATTTTAGCCAGAGCGCCAGCTTAATCAAAGGCGCCGGGAAGTAGGCAACTGTTTTCATTTGCCTCAGTTCTGTGGTTGCGCTTTCTAGCACTCAATCAGTCTGACATGGGGCGGCATAAAAAAAAGCTCTGTTCTCCCCAAAAAAAAAAAATTTAGACAGCAGAAGGGGGGAGAAGCATAAGAGCACCTCAGGCAGTCGCAGCATCAGCAGGGGAAGCAGCAAAGCCAGCAGCCTCCGCCCTGACCTAAGCCACCGAGCTGGCTTAACTGCTGTAGCAGCAACCACCTCACAATCAGCTACCCCACCTCCCACATACGCGCCCCACTCCTCCCACCACCAATGCCGGCGTCGACGCTGGTCTTCTGCTGCCGTCGTTGCCGATGTTTCTAAGTTCTTTTTTTCGCATTGCAACCTTGCCTCAGCTTCTTGTTCAACACCCCTTCCTCAACTTTTCACATCCCCCCCTTTTTTTTTAGCAGTTTTTTCCATTTCCATTCGCTGTGCATTTTTTTCTCTCGGCCGCCCCTATTTTTTTTCCAATTTTTTTTCCTGCCACAGGAAATAAATTTTTTCCTTTGGATAGCTGCATCTCGCTCGGGCACGCTGCAAGGATTCTTTGTGCATTTTGACCCCCCCGTTTGCAAAACACAATCATTTTTTTTTTTTGCAGACATTTCCCCACCACCCACTGGTGTTGCTGTTGCTGTTGCATTTGATGTTGTATTTTCGCTTTTAGATTTTGTTTTTTTTTTTTAGGAAAGTTTCCAAAGAGAATTGGAGTGAACGAGAGAGAGTCTTAAAAAATAGCAGAGTTGCCATTGAAAAATACAATTTATTATAAATTTGTTGTTTTTTAGTGGGAAACTAGAATTGGGTTAGACAGTTCAACGATAGCGGAGGAAGTCTTTAACAGGTTGTTGTTGTACTTTCGAGTATGTTGTTCGTTCGGAGAAGCGAAAGCTATTTTTTATGATCAGATCGGATTTTAAAAGAAAATGGATTAATATCCTCAAAAATTGCCATTTTCCAGAAACTTATTCTTTAATATTTTTCTCCATAAAATGCATTTTTCCTATACATATGCAACACAGTTGGGGAAAAAAAACGTTTTGATCAACTTTTGTGTGTGGAAAATTAATTATCACCACGTGGCAACACTGTCAACGTGCTTTGATGCCATTTTTTCGCACTCGTTTTTGCCCAAGCTCGCTGTACAGTTCGTTTCTGTATGTTTTGTATCCTTTTTTTGTGCATATTTTGTTGGATGTCCAAACATTTTTTATGCTGTTTTGTTTTTGTTTTTTTTTCTGTCTTTTTTTTTGCGCACGCAGCGCTGGACCACACACGTATATCCACCCATACAGTTGTACATCATCGGAAAAAGTACAAAAAAGTATTTGGGAAAAAAATGGAGTGGGCCATACATTTGCTAGGGCTGCCTGCCTGCATGGGCTTATGGCTATGCGTGACTCGCATTTGTGGACTTTGAATACAAACAAAACAACAGTCGCACAAATACACCCGACCACCCACCCACACACACACTAACACGGGCAGATAGGAACGCACACAAGTGCAATTATGAATACTACACCAAACACACTCCGGGGCACACTCTCACTCACATCGGCTATATACGTGCATTTCAATACGCATTAATAACTACGAATTCAATGTGGCAACCATTCCAAGCCTCTCAGCCCCAATCGCCTCACTCACACAGACACACAAACAGAGGCCCAACTCACTCACACAGACACAGGCCGGCGTCACTGCAGCTGACGCCTAAAAAACGACTACAAAAAGTAGAAAAATCAAATTCCCCGCCCTGTTCGTTAATTTTGCTGCTGCTGCTGCTGCTCTTCAATTCGCAACCCAAATTGAAAAGCGCCGCGATTATTTTCCGTTTTCAGGCTTCCGGTTCCAGGTTCTATCAACTTTACAATGCACATTCAGATGCTAACGTGATTACCCATTATAACAGCCTGAATATCCCGTTTAGTGAACCTTTCTAGGTTTCTAATTGCTTTGGTGGTAGGTATTTTTTTTTGTACACAATATCACTATATAGACTTTACATTCTCGCTGTTTGATGTGCTCACTTCACATGAAGTGTGGAATTTTTCCATAGAACATTTTTGCTTTTCGCATTTTTTCCTGGTGGCCGCAAAACGTTTTGAATTTTCCATGAATTTTTCATCCATTTAGCCACGCTGTTGAGCCATTTTCAGGACGCTTAGAATTCATTGATACATTGATTTTTTCCCCATCAGTTCTATTTTTTTAGAATCTTCTCTTTTTCAAGTTTTTTTTTCTTGTTTCCACCGTGACATTGAATATCCCCATGATATAGAATTTTAACGGGCACCAGCGTTTCATTGCTTGTTTAGTCACCTTTTGTTTATAGTACCGGGTGCTTATCTGCCTGGAATGCGTTATGGGATCTTTTTGTTTACATTTGGCCCGTAATTTAAACCAAAAATAACGCCATGGGGATAGAAAATCTTTTAATAAAAGTGGCATTTTTATCATGGTTTGGAATCCAAACATTGGATGTACTTAATAAAAGAGTGATGGACAATTTTAATATAAAGCTACCCTCATGGGCATCTAGTATCTAAAGAAGGAAAGCCTTTATTAGATTTGTCAAAACTCTTCTTAGTTTTCCAACGATTAATAAACTAATTAAATTATTTGAAACCTAATTAATTTAAAAATATTTTTCCTATTTAAAAACTTTGTCGCATCTAGTCGCCTTTCAAAACTATCTTATTTCATCTTTAGAATTCGATTCCAGGCCAAACGAAGGCCTAAATAAACAGTCCAGTTCAGCAAGTATTCGGAGAAACGAGGCGAGAGCTCTTGGACAGCTGACTCAGTCCGAAGTAGTGGGTTTTCGGAAATCGCCACCACCCCACACCCCTCTCAGATAGCGGACTTGCAACAGAACAGCTAAATAAATAGGCGGCGGGACGCGATAGTCGGCTTGGGGACTTGGGAGCCAGCTTGATGGCTTTCAGTTGTCGTCCGATCGCCCAGCCATGCAGAGGAGAAGTAGACTGATGCGGGAGTACAACTCCTACGATGACCTGAACGAGCCCTTTCGCATGTTCGGGTCGCAGTCCCTGGACTCGATCCAGACTCGGGTGACAATGAATCCCAGTGGAAGTGATGGCCTGTCTACGGATGGCTTGGATTTCTATCCCAGCTGCTCACAATCGCATTCTGGACTTCTGAGGGAGCACAATTTCAAGGTAAAGTCGTACTACTACAACGTAGGCCATTGCGTTCATTGCAGGAAACGGTAAGGCCTCCACAAAACTTTGATCCATAAGCTATATCAACTACTATTTAAGAATCCGCTTTGCTATGGCCTGTTTGCGTTGCCGGGCCTGTCCTTTACGCTGCCACATAGCCTGCTGCCGCCAACTGACGGTTAACTGCATCCCACAGCCCCAGATGGGCACCAAAAGTGGAAGCCTGAGTGATTACGCCCCCCAGGTAGCCCCAATGGTGCCGGCCCTGATAGTCCACTGCGTGACTGAAATAGAGGCGCGTGGCTTGCAGCAGGAAGGCCTCTACCGCGTGTCCTCCACCCGGGAAAAGTGCAAACGCCTCCGGCAGAAGCTTTTGCGTGGCAAGTCGACTCCCCACCTGGGAAATAAGGATACCCACACGTTGTGTTGCTGTGTGAAGGAGTTCCTGCGGCTGCTCATCCACCCGCTGATACCCATTTACCACAGACGCTATTTCGAGGAAGCCACGCAGTTGAGTGATCCGCTGGCCGTGGAGGAGGCTGTCTATATGGCGGTGCAAGATCTACCACAGGCCCACAGGGACACGTTGGCCTACCTAATGCTTCACTGGCAGAGGGTAGCCGATAGTCCACCCGTCCGGATGACTGTCAGCAATCTAGCCGTGATATTTGCTCCAACTTTGTTCGGAGATTTGGATTTGACGCTGGTGAATGTGGTCGTATGGCAAAAGGTGTTGCAAGTCCTGCTGCTCTTGCCTTCCGATTTCTGGGGCCAGTTCCTGGAAGTCCATCCCCTGCCCTTCCCGATGCCCAGCAGCTACGACTATGATGATCGTCCTTGGGACCAATCGTCTTATCTACGCTGGAGCTCTGTCAAGACATACTTCAGATCAATGGTAAGCATACCAGAATACCTGTCAGGATAACAAGTAAGTTCCTTTATTTCAGGTGAATCTCAGCAGCGTCAACAGTTAGTCAAGGTCAGTTGTCTGATAGGGAAGCTAATTGGTAGCTTTTTAATTGATCAGAGGGTTGGGAAAACGGTCTTAATTTAAATACCATAATTTCGATGAATTATTCATTACTGATGAATAAGAGCTAATAAACAAGGATCTCAAAAGGGCTTCTGGGATTTTAGGTTTCTTCTTTTTATATATTTGAAATCCATTTTGGGAAAGTAAGCTCTACGTGGTTAATTGTTAAATATTTAAAAGTATGGATTATATTAATCACTGTATAAACAAATTATAAAAAATATTTGTTGGTACAACACTTCAAAAATTATTAATTAAAAAACATCCTAGGGCGCAGATAAACACTTTTTCAATTACAAGCGTAATCTTCAGAAAAAGTTGTACCCCGGATGAACAAGGTTTTTGCCTATTTCAATATAATTTTTTCCTAAATGTAATAAACTCCTGGTTGTAAAACCTTTTGCCACTAAATAAATAATACAACGTAGCTTAAAGCAATGTAATAGTATCGCCATATATTCCGAATATTGAAACATTAATACACATTTATAATTGAATTTCCAATTTTTTCCGGCAAACTTTGATTAATTCCCAATCGTCGAATAACATGTAAAAAATTAATAATTTCCATTTCCCATATTTATGTTTCTTTGGAGCGTAAACCAAAACACAAAGTAAAATATTTTGCCACATATAAATAAGTTAAAGCTCTAAGAAAAAATTAGCATTTTAAAAACAATTTGGTGAGTGCTAGTAGTGTGTGCAAAAAATGCATGTTGCCCATTAAATGCAAAATAAAACATTAAAAAAAATATTATTAAAATAAAATACAAGCAAAGCAATGCAAAATACTCGAGTGCAGAGGACGAGTGCATAAATAGACCCACACCTGCACCGATAGCACACCAATACATGGCCGCGGTAATGTATAATGCAATTGAAAATAAACGCAAAGCGAGACGGCAGCTGTGTGCGAGGAGAGCCGCGTGCTGCAGCGATTGCAGGCCTCTGTTGCTAACCGCTAAAAATTGCAAGTGGGCTGGCAATTGTTGCAGGAGCGGGCGAATTGTTAACCGTTAACCAAATGCTAATGCCAAAAGGCCGTATGAGACACACACACTATTGCCGCGACGCACCAATACCAGAACAGAAAAATGCACCGGAAAGAGGGCGAAAAAATGCAAAAATATATAGGCAAAACAAAAATAAAAATAGTTTACATAATTCATGTATTATATCGGATCAAATTTTAATGCCCGCTGTGCTCTGCCACCCGTACAAACATATAGTTGTGCGTGCTCCTGAGCGAGTGCGAGTGCGTGTGTGTGTGCGCGCTCGAAAACATTGCCTACTTGGGGGCGCGCGTTAAAATTGTTTAACAAATGGCATGCCTGCAATGTGCGCGAGTGTGTGTGTGTCGTGCATAATTCGCGTGCAGTTTTTGCCTTTTTTGAAGACTTTTTAGCCTATTTTTATTGTTAATTAAATGAGGGGAATAACAGACACAGTCCAGTGAAGTCCTGTTGGCTTGTGTGTGTTTCACATACACACAGGTCCTGGCAGTAAGTGTGTGTGTGTTTTGATGCGCGCAACAAATTTTTGCAATTTTTCTATTTTCTCGACAGCACTTTTTTTCCAGCACTTTTGCCTGTTTGGGTCCTGTTGGGTGGCGTGCATTTTCCGCTCGTTGTTCGCATGTAATTCACTAATTGATAGTGTGAGCACCCCTCCTCCAACCTCCTCCCACTCTTAACACCCCACTGACCACTTGCATCATTGTGTTAGTGTCCGCCCACACACGGCGTGCGCACACATACGCAGGCAAGAGGTTGAGGGTAAAGCATATAAAAAATAAAAGCAAATGTCAAACAAAACTAAAAAAAAGGGTTCGGTTAAAAATAATAAAAGCGTATTATGCGTTGCACTTATACTCTTTAAAAATACACCCATAAAGGCGCAGCGTGGTGATAATAACAACATAGGGTAAAAAACGCCACATACTCGCGCTTTTATGCTTATTTTAGTTTTTTTTTTAGTTATTTTCCTAGGCGTGTTCTATAATTTTATGTAAGCGCTGTTGCTGTTTCCCCAAACAAGTGGGCGCGGCATTTGGTCTACAAAAGAGAGTTCGCTTTTTGTTGGATAAGATAAATATTTTGTTGAAAAGAAAATAACAAAAAAACGCATGCCGTGATTAATTTTATTTTTAAAGGATTAACATTACAACAAGGACTTTCGTAACGCCAGAAAATATTTATTTTGCAGTTCAAAGTTAAAAATATAAGTGAATTCTCAAAGAGATGTTAAGAATTTTATTGAATTTTAAGTTATTATAAAATTCTTATCAACTTTTGCAGCCTTTCCATTCAATCAGGAAATTCATTTACGTATTTGTAAATTTAAATAAAAATTAAGTGTATTTTTTAGTTTTTTTTTTTTTTGGGGAAAATGGCCAAGTGAAGAGCCTGACATGCGCCCCAAAATGGTGAACATAATTTTTTGGTCAGCGGCAAAAAACTGGTGGGAAATAACGGTGGCAACACGACCTCACCCCACCCTTACAAAAAGGATGCAAAGAAAGTGCCGGAGCAGAGCACACTAACATGATAGGCTGGCCGAATCATCCACAAGCACACACCTACTCACACACGGAATACGAATATGTGGCCAGTGCCAGTTCCAGCTCAAAAGGTACAAAAAAAAAAAATACAAAAAAAGAAAAGTTAAAAGTAAAGAGAAGAGGCGCTGCTGCAGCTTTTTGTTGGCCTGCCGGCGTACATATGAAAGTGCCAAGTGTAGTAATTCCAATTGAGGCACTGAGTCCGGGTGTGGGGCAGCATTGGCAACAACAAACCGACTGCCAAAGTCCTGCTGCAAGACCAGAATGGCAAAAAACAAAAGTGTGGGTAATTAAAAAAGTAGCAGCAGCCGCTTTTGAGCGTAGAAACGCACTAATTTCCAGTAGTGCTGCAGCTCGGGCGCCCCAAACGCATAGTACATGGATGTTTCCGTAAAAAAAGAAATACAAAATGGAGCCACCCACTCATTCACACGCACACAGATGCACTTCGAGTAGATGGCAAGAAAAAATCGGGGTATAGCATACTTTTAGGCATGCTGCTATTTCACTTTGTCCCGCACAAATGAACACCTCCCACCCACAATGGCCTTTCCTTCCCCACCCTTTCTATCCATTTTTCTCCTGGATGTGCTACTCGTCTGTATGTGTGTGTGCCGCTCATGAGTGCTGCAAATGCTGTTAGCCCCGCACCGCAATTTGTGGGCATTGTGGGTGTGGCATATCAGCCTCTTCCATCATTCGTCCAAAATTTTTGCTGTCAATGCTGCAACACGAAACGAAACACGTATTTCTTCTCCAAAGAGAAAGCTTTCATTGTTTTTTAGGGTCATATCTTTCAAAAATTACTATAAGCTTTACTGAAAGATAATTATTATAATAATTAAAAATCCCCTTTCCATAAAGATTTTGGACCACCAAGATTAAGGTCCCACGCATATCGTTGGCCCACAAAGTATCGCAGGCTGACAGCTGGCACCTGCCCCGATTCTGGCCACAAATAACCGTTAAAAAACAATAAGCTCAATTAGCAGCTATCAACACAGGCCGAGGATGTTGCATAATTGACATTTTACGTGCAACTGCAGCTGTTGGTTCTGGGGAACGGCTTGAGTGTCATGGCAAGTGCGTGGGTAGCCGCCAACGAATGTGAGAAAACGCAGCAATACGATACCATTCGAGGTATTGTACACTGAGAAGGATATTTAAATCACTTTATGGCTAAACATAAAAGTGGCACGTACTTGGTACTATAAAAGACTTATATTAATTTTATAATATAATTCTTAAAACTATCTTAAATTAAATCAAAAGATTTAAGTTTGGGCTTAAAACAAATCACCACTTTTTTCCCAAGTGTCCTTGAAATTCGATACTTTTGTGAGGCTTAATCAACTGAAAAATTGTAAACAAAAGCTGTTGCCTTGCCGCATCCTCGAATCCGATTGCGTCTCTCGGTCAACTGACCGATGCAACGCCCTGGGCAGCGGCATAATTTAACAGTGAACACCCTTAAGCTTTAAGTTCCAGCGCCAGTGGCAACAGTCAGGGAATCGAAAAAAAGAAACAAACGAATGCACTCACCTGGGGGCACATTTTGCACTGATACTTGCGTCCACTGCCACCGCCAGTGGCATGTCCGCCGGCTACGGAAGCGACTCCGCCGGGTCCGCCCATTTTGCTGGCGTTGATCGGCTGGGGCACAACCAACAGGGCTGCAGCGGAGGCAGCTGCCACTGCCGAGCTGTGATGATGGGCAGCGGCGGCGGCATGGTGTGATGTGGCGCCAAGACTGGGATTCCCAGCGCCAGAAGACGCCCCACCACCTCCTCCATTGGCAGCTCCGCCCAGTCCTCCCAGGCCACCTGAAAGACGGAGACATTGATGAGTCAAAGTTCCGGAAGGCAGACAATTGGTTTACAGAGTAGAAAATTATTAGATAATTAGAGATTTATTTGAAGAAATTCTATATTTTTTAATTAGAATTAGAAGAAATTAGAAAAATTCTAATTAGAAAAGTAGATTTTAAAAGATCTTCTTAGCTTAGCAAGTGTGAACTTTTCTTCAGTGAACATGAGTCACCTTTTGGCAGAAACTCACCTTGTCCCGAGACCGCATGATGCTCCAGCCGATTGTCATCCAGAAAGTGACCTGCAATGACGATTGAGATGTTGCATTTAGTTCAGTTATGTCGTGAGCAGGCTGTGGCGCCACGGTCTAGCGTAGCCCCACGGTTGTCCATCAAGTCACAGTCAGGTTTTCGGTTGCAGTTGAAGTTGCCGCCGCTGACGTTCACTCACGTTGACCACGTCGCCACCTGACCAACTCCTGGCCAGTTGCTTCTGGCCAGACCTGCTCATTTTTTTTTTCTAATTAAACTGAGACATTAGCCGGCTTCGTTGATTGCCACTGGGAAATCGTCCGAGTTATGTGAAAATAGTTTCGCATTAGCTTGGGCTTTAGAATTTTTTTAAGCCCAGTGGTTGCCTGGTTAACCCATTTGCGTGCAAAAATTGTGTGAATCCGCTAATGAGCTTGTCTGTCCGACTCCCCGCAAAAGGGTTTAGCTGCCCAGGATTTTTGAGGGTAAACATCAAGTTATTAACAATAAGCACAATAAAAGCCGTGGAAATTCCCTTGTAAGCCGGCTTAGGAACTTTCTGAGTGCTGGGCGCCCCGCAGCTATGTCAAAAGCATTTCTCCAATAAAACATTTGCAGACAATTACTGGGCCGTGTCCTTTCTCCACCAGCTTGCCGCGTTAATTACAAGAGCTGCTTGGCCAGCCAGTGGCGCCGGCCAGAAAGTTCAGCTAACGAACAGTGGCAACTAAGTAGCTGCGGCGTTTCAGATGGACGTCCCGGCAATATGAGCCTGGGCACCAGCTAAAGTCGCCTTATTGTTAATTTGTACAGGCCGATCGAGTTGCCGATCCGATCCGATGCGATTCAAGCCCGAGTCTACATCTACATCGATGCTAACAATGTGGCCGATCGCTATCGCAGCAGTGGGAGCAGCAACAACAACCTTATTGGCCAATTGCCTAGCGTTGACATTATCGGTCCGTGATCATTGCCGCCAACGTCAACGCCAACAAGCTCTGGGGGTCCGACTGGGTCCAGCTCCGACTCCAGTCCCAGCTTCAGCAACAGGAGCGTGTTGCTGTCAATGTTGCCAGTGGCAACAACAGAAGCAACAAGACCAGCAGCAACAGCAACAATGCCGGTTGGTAGAAGGTCCAACTAAAATGTTGTTTGCATTTTAGGAATTTATGTAAACATCTTGTAAGTATCTAGCAACAGTTGTTGCTGTTGCTACTGTTAAAGGTCAATTTTTGGATTACACAAAGAAAAATCTGTAAATGATGAATATTGAAAAGATTAAGATCTATTTATGATACTTTTTATTTTTATGAGAAAAGTCTAAAGCATTTATTATTGGAAAAATTTGTAATCTTTGAGGATAATAAGATGAATTAAATATCTCTTTGTAATCTGCTTTATTGATGTAAAAATTTCTTTTCTCTGGCTTTTATCCGTGGGAGTTTAATATCGGATCACATTGTCTTGGCGGCTTTTGTTCGTCGGCCCGCACGCGTTTTCCAATTTAGCTTTTGCATTCTTGGTCGAGTGAGTTAAGATCGGTATCTGGGAGATCTGTGGTTCGCGCGCCGCGATCTGAATCTTCGAATCTGGAAATTCGTGATTATCGGTCGGGTATGTTTTTGTGAGCAATTAATTAACAAGCGCATTGTTGTCCGTCAGGTTGCCCCGGGGTAGGTCAAACGATCGGTTCGTTCTTGGGATAGGTTCGAGAAGTTGGCTGAAGCTGACTCACCTTTCTGAAGATTGCTGTGGTGGTGATCGTTCATTTTGGCCTGAAAGTGAGAGGGAAATGTGTGGCTGGCATTAGTCGCTGAATTTTGTGCATAAATCTAAAAGCTAATTAATTAATTAATTTAACAATTGCCTCTTGTAATCTGACCAATCTCTACCAATTACCTGCTTTCTAATGTCAATTCATAATTATTCCGCACACATTTAATTGACCTCATCAACCTAACATTAGCATCAAATATTCATTCACAAATATACGACTATGACCCACCAAACAAACGGTCATAAAACAATTTACGAAAGCCGTCAAACTATTTAAACAAATTCTCTAATGCATCTCCCTCTCCCAGTTGACAAATCGCATCAGCATGCCCCATGAAAGCCCAAATGCAATTTACATACAAAGTGCAAATAACAAATGTTTTCGCCAGCTGTCAGTGCAAGTCAAAGCTAAACAAGCGATAAATAAATTGAAAGGAAAATCGAATGCGTGACAAAGCCAACGGATCGGACACATCAAGTCGGATGACAGTTGCCCGGATTCCCGGCTAGAAAATATAAATAAAAATTCTAACCGCCGCGGCTACCACCCACCAGCGAGAGTGATAGGTGGGCCCTTCAAAAAAAAAAAGCGTTAAAAAGAGGAGACAATCTAGTCTAAAAAGTGACACGCTTTCGATTGCATGTAAATTCTGTATGTGGGTTAAAATACTCCAGCCAGACATGACCTAGGACAATTTCGCGCCATCGATGCCAACAAAATAGAAATCGAATAAAATAAAGTTCTCCCCGCCACTGGCTATATAAAAAAAAATATATATGACAGTCGGCTTTTTTCTAAACAATATTCACATGCTTAGGCGGGGGCGGCGGACAAGTTTCGAATGCAACAAGAAAATATAAATACAAATATGCAACAAAACAAAACCAATGTCGGTCTGGTTTTGGCCAGACACAGTCGGCTATAAAAGTAAATAAACCGGCGAATGGGTATTAGGTGGGCTGAAAAATGGGCGGCTGGGGTGCTTACCCAACCAAGGTGTGGGGTTGGTTGGGTGGATAGGTAGCTCGGTGTCTAGGTGTCCGGGAGGAGACAGTGGAGGCCCGGAGGAGGAGAGAAAAATAAATCCAAAGCCATGGCGGCACGCGAGCTTAGAATTTGTTTTTGTTCTCGCCCCCGCTATTTTGCGCGCCATAAAGTTATGCCAGTTTGTTTTAGCTGGTGTTTGGATACGTATCTATAGATAAACATTTTGTGCATTTAGCCAGCCACTTACCTCGTACTCCTGTTTCAGGGACATGGGATGATGTTCGCTGGCATGTTGATGACTGCGCGGCGTTGGCGGCCAAAGATTGTAATCGCCAATGTCTTTGGCATGCTGTGGTTGTTGGTTTTCCGTTGAGTGTATGGTTTTGGCCAGTTTTTGGTCGGTCAATTTGAGGTGATGTGTGAAATAGAAAAGATTAAAATAGAAATGCTTTAAATTTCCAATAATTGGTAAAAGATATATTCCCCAAAAGGGGAAATCTAAACCCTCCTTCATATTGATCAAAAATTTTTTTTAAATATTTTGCCATTTAATAAATATCCTTTACCATTCAAAAATTTCATACTGGTCATGTTTTAAAGGGTTGTTCAATAAAATCCTTTTTTTTAATGGGTCGAACAAAAATGTTTCATTTAGCGGATCATTCAAATACCTTTCCGCGGCAAACATCAAATCTCAAATTGCTCAATCATTAAATAGTGACAGCAAATAACCCCCTAAAAAAGGGTCTATTCAAAAACTGGAAACCGCCAAGGAAAGTCACACAAAAAATGATTAAAAAAGTAACAAAAATGGCCAAAAGGCTTGAAACACTAATACAAATAAATGTGAGTGTCAATTGAAATAGAAAACCGCTCTCCACACAATCGAGGTGTCAAAGCGACGGCAATGGAAAAAGCTATGTCGAGGAGAGCGACAAAAGTGCGGCGGCTTTCGGTGTTGGTTGCACGCAAAACGCAAAAAAATCGGAGCAAAACAAAGACTGGCCAAAACACAACTAAAAAGTGTTGCATAGCGCAAGGGGAGTTGGCCAATGTGTGATAGGCCCACATATGCGTGTGGATGAGGATGTGGGTGTTTGGATGTGTGGGTGTGAACCGCCAAGCGTTAGCACTGTTATTTTAGTTTCTTTTGTGGCTCCCTGTATCCGTCTCCCTCTCTCACTGGCTGGCATGCCGTTTTTTAATCTCCCTCCCCCCTGCCGGCCAGCGAGGACTGTCGGGACTAGTTAGTAGGTGGGCTAGCTGAAAAGTAAAAGATACAAAAAACGACAGCGACAGACACACGCACACGCAGCTGCTGATGAAGATGACCAAAGCCAGAGAGCTGGGGCTGGAGCAGGGGCAGGAACAGGACCAGGACCAGGAGCTGGAGATTGGAGACGAGAGACTGGAGCTGGACTGGACATGGTTGTGGACATGGACGGAAGTCCTCTCTAACCAACATAGCAGGAGCAGCCAAAAAAAAAAAAAACAACAACTACATCTGGCCAGGAAGGCGTCGCTCGGCCCACTCCCATTTCCCCCTTCCTCGACCCCCCTTTACCAAGTTTCGTTTGCTGCACGCAGCGAAAATGAACGGGAAAAAAAAGGGAAGAAAAGGGGGATTTTTGAAAAGAAAGAAAAAAGTGGCACAGCGCAGCAGCAGCTTTCTCCCTTTCTCGGTGGAGCCATCGCACTTCCTGTCTCGTTCGCGCCGAAGCTCCAAAATAGCGAAAACATAAAAAAATGTCTAAAGGAAAAAAATCAAAACAAATTTTTTAACCCCTTCACTTGGGGGCAGGAGCAGGAGCCGGGCGTCAGGACACAGGAGGCATGAGGCAGGAGCAGCAGCAGCAACAGCAAAGTCAGCGTCGAGTTGCTGGCCAAGTTGGCGGCAGTAGAGGGTGGCGGTTTTTTAGCCACCTCTAAAAAAGTGCAAAAAATTAGGCGGAAAACGTTAAAAACATTTTTTTCCCTTTTTGCAATTGCACGTCCTGACCATCGAACCTCGTCCACAGACCCAGACCCGGTGAAGTCCCAGTTCCAGTCCCAGTCCCCAAAACGCGTTTTGCACAATGTAGCAACCTTTGCCAGGGGGCTTTGGTCCAGAGTCTGGACCGCTGCCTCATTCCCTTAAGACGAACTACGGACCATGGACCACGGAGTCCAGCATACCGGATTCCTGCCCCCCCATCACCTTGGCTTAGCTGACGCTATTCTTTTTGGATTTTTTTTTTATTTTATCCTTGTGCATTTCATTTTTATTTAGCTCCTTTTGGCCTCACATCTTTTTAGTCATGTTGCCACTGTCTGCTTCTATTGATTTTTTTCGCATTTAGTCAAAAAGACTAAAAAAATGCTACTACAATTTCGTTTTTTCCTGTTCAAATGTTTGACCATCCGCACTTGTGTTTCATCTTCCTAGGGAGCTCCTATTCATGCACTTTCTATGAGGTATTATGTTTCCATGGATATACTATTATACACCAACTATAATTGTACAAAATAATATCCAACTTTTTATGAAAATTGTTTGCCATATGTATGATATTTTATAAGCTTTTCTACAAAAGATTTATATAGAAAGAGTATCATTAAATTCGTTTCTTCAGGACAACCCTTTCTCTTTCTTCTTATATATTTTATTTTATTTTTTTGTCGCGAAAGTCCAGCTTTGAGGTCTGAGGTTAGAATAGGTTGTCTCTGGCTCTTGTTGATTTTGTTGCCACACACAAATGGTGTCCAACTTTGTTGCAATTACTTTAAAAAATTAAAGTTGCTTGCGGTTTTGGCGGTTCTCCTTTCCATTCTGTCTATTATTTTTTTTTCGATGGAACTCCGTTCCCTGTCTGAACTCCGTGACTGGCCCCATTAGTAAGCTTTAGCCATAGAATCGGAATCCGAGTTAGACTCGGACCGTGGCTTGTTTCCCTTCGCGTTTCAATTTCCCTTTTTTTGGCATCACGTTGACGGGTTTTCCCTAATTGAAGCGTAAGTATTAATTGCAAAGCTTTGTTTTTGCTACGTGTCGCGGTCAGAGGTTCACTTTTCAGTTTCAGTTTAGACAGGAACGTGATATTCAAAAAAAAATAACTTGGACTTCATTCATTTAAAATTAATTCAATCTGAATTGGGGTTCGCGACTAACTAATCTATTCTATCGCAGTACTCTAGTGGAAATTAAGTGCAAAATTAATTAATGAGCTCCTTTGCCAACTTTGCGCTGCTTGTCTCGGCTAACTAATTTCGCTAATGCAAGTGACAAAAACAATATAAAAAAAAAAATATCTTGATTGTTGACTCAGAGAGGAGTAGGGGGAGGGACGAGCCGGAAGGACCATTGTTAAACTTTAAAAATTAATTAACTACGAATATCCTTTAAGAATCATGCGGGTGTAGCAAAGTTTTAAATGGGTTTTCCGAGGACTCGCTAACGAGTCCATTCAACGAAAGATTCAGGTGCCGTGAGGAGGTTGGGTGGAAAGCGAAGGTGAACCTTTCTGCCTGGACACGTCGTCGTCGTCCTTGGCGACAATCACTCTCCATTCAAAACAATAATTTCTCTGCTCCTTGGCAAAAAAAAAAAACAAAAAATAAATGTTAGGAAACTCGCTCAACTCGATAAAAAGCCAAAAGGAAAAAGGGAAAAAACAAAGAAAAGCCCTGGAAAAAAACTGAGGGGAGGGTGATACAACAACAAGGCCAAAAACAAACCAATGTTTAACGCGTCGCGCAAAGAAAAACTTGTTTACATCTTGAAAAACGCACAAAAAATTCAAAGAAAAAATTGTAAGATTTTTTTACACGCCGTGGCACGCGAGCGGAGAGCCAAGCGTTTTGCTGCAAAATCGCAGAAGGAGTAGCGGGCCAAAACCAAACGGGCAAAAAAAAAACACGGCTAAAATAAAAGGAAAAAAATGCGAAAGGAGGGGAAATCGTCTCTCTTTTGAAAAAGGATTTTTTTCACCGTCGCGTCTGCTTGGTACAAAAACTGGAAAGGGGTTAAGGGTTTCCGAGGTATGGAGTTGGCTTAGCTTGGCCATCAGACAGCGAGTGGTTTGAGGAGGTGGTCCAAAGTTTTTCGCAGTGAAAGTGCAGCATCCCAAGGCTGAGGATGGGACTTGGGAGGGTCAAAGGTGGTGGGCGGTGGATTTCTCATTTCCACTCAACTCTTTCCGTTGTCGGCGTAACGAATCGTCGCAAATGAGGTCCTGGAATTGAAAAAGGGTTGCTGGCTGCTAGTCACTGGAAATGGAGGTTGCTATGCGTTGACCCCAAGCAGTAAGCAAGGGTTAAGGTCGCTGTCTTTGGCAACTGAACTTTGGTCAACTTTTGGGCAGCATTTTCGAGGAGTCTACTTCAGGCCTAGTTGATAAAAATCTTAAAAAAATTTTATTGTAGAAAAGAATATTTTTTTGATGGCAATCCAATTAGGAGTCTCTCTTAGTTTTCACAGCCACCCGTCACTCATTTAATTCACTTAGCTAGGCAAGTTTGCTTGCATATTAATTATAGCGCAGCTCTATTGGTCGGGGGCCAGTTTTATCTAGTGGTTGCAACTGCCAGTTGCAGAGTCAAGTGGAAAAGTTTTACCCGCCTCACTTTTCACAGTCGGCTACCGCCCTCAACTCTTTATCTATCTGGAGAAAAGTTGGTCCTTCAAAAAGGAGAATCGCCAAGAAAAAGTTCGGTGACAAGTCGAAAGTTGCAACACTGGCGCGAATAATTATTTTTTCAATTTAGATCTTATTATTACTTTGTTTTAAGTAAGCATGACTTTTAATATGGGTTGTGTTTACTAAGATAATTACTTCATAATAAATGTTTTAGCTTCATAGAGTCTAAGACTTGGATGGATAAAATTCTTGCTTTTAGTGTAGTTTCTATAGTGATAGTTTAATGTGGCAAGTAACACTCTCCCCCATATAAGCCTGGCTTACTCACATCAACGTTGCCGTTCCACATATAGTGCATTCCCACCGCGGCACTGGGATCGTGGTGCGTCTGACCGGTCATGTGCTCGGCCATCACAGCGCTCATCCAGTGCACCAGTCCCTGAGTGGGATTCTGGCCCTGGACACCGCCGATCGGCATGTTGCTAGTGGCTGTGGCAGAGACAGCAGCGGCAGAAGCAGCAGCGGCGGCAGCAGCGGCCACACCGGCGGCTGACGAGCTGGAATTGGGGTCTTGATTGGCGTCGGTGGTGGTGTGGTGGGCGCTCGTATGGGGATTCGGACAGGAGCTGCTCTCCTGACTTTTGCACGAGGTGGCTGTGACCGCGTCCTGCTCGGACGGTGGTGACTTTATGGAGCTGCCAAAGTTTGGACGCGTCTGTGATGCGGGTTGGGTTTGATTCAAATTAATTGCGGACACTGAAGTCGCTTGGGTGGCGCTGCCCTCGATGGTCGGAGTGGGTGATGTCGTCGAATGATTGTTGTTGTTGTTGTTATTACCCCCGACCTCACTTTGCTGACCGTTGTCGTTGGTGTTGTTGCTGCTGGCGGACCAGGAGTAACTGTTGTTATTATTGTTGCTGTTGTTGTGGGGCTTCTGCAATGAAAAATGGTTTTCGGTTATTTTTTTTTTTGTTAAAAGGGTTTCGTCAAACATTTGGAAATTTCGTTGGTTAATGTTATGTCCGCCACCAAAATCACCAAAAAACGAAAAAAAGAAATGATTTTTTAATGGCATTCCCCGTATAACGAGAACCAGTCAGTTTAGGAATGGTAATGGGTTTTATTATATGGAAGATCTTAATTTAAATTCGACCTGGGGATTTTAATTCCAATTAGACCTCTATTCAAATTTTATTCTGAAATACCTAGGACTTCAATTAGAACCAAATATATGTATTACTATTCATTTGAAAGACTTCAAAAATTTTGGAAAAATTAAAAACCCATGTACCCTTTAAAAACAGCTTAAACTTTACAAAGATTACATCAAAATGTTGACATGACTTGCTCAATATAATTTGTATACAAATCAAATTTATATCCCTAATTGTCTGAGACATAAGAAGTGCTTAAGGGTTACTATCCGTATGTAAATATACCCAATTTTAATTGTTCAGGAAGTGAGGCGTAGACACAGGAAGGTTGTGTTTTATTTTTATTCATCCTGGCCGAAATAATCAGAAATAAACCCCTTGAAATGCCCATTTATGACCCTTCATTAACTGCCCCCACCACCCCGATTGCCATACTAACACTTGTGACAGGGTTAGCTTCGAGGATGGGCTTTCGGTCCTTATGTCCGGGATCTTCCTGCGTCTCCTGCACCTGGTCCATGTCCTGATCCGTATCCGGATCCGGCTCTGTCTTCACCTGACCGTGCTCCGTTTCAGCCGCAATACAAACAGATACCGCAGCTGCCGAGGAGAATAACAAATTGCTTTGAGGATGTGACCGTAGAGGAGGCGGCGGCGAGCTGGGATGAGGGCTGGCTGGAGGGGTTCCCATATAGAATTTCTTCACTTGCTGATGCTGATGTTGTTGCTGCTGTTGGAATACGGCGCTGGCCAGGAGGCTTTTGTAAAACTCCGCTGGCATCAGAAAGGGCGAGGGGGCCGAGGTGGATACTAAGCCACCCGGAGTGGGTGGTCCAAGAGCGCCCATGTAGCTACCGCGCTTCAGTTGATCCTTTAGCATCTCCATATCCGGATGGTTGTGTTTTCCCATGAGTTCGTGCATGACGTACCAGGCAGCGCCCAAATGTGGGCAATGCTTTTTTTTTGTCTTTTCCCGCTCGACAATTTCACTTTCAGAATACTCGTTGGGCAAGGCTTACAGCAATTTATCTAACTGAAGCACAGTTTGTTTGATTTTTGCCACACAGCCACACATCTACACATCCACACGCGATGAAGGCAAACAAAAAGTTTCCAACCAAATCGTGATGTCTTTTTATTTTCGCTTAACTTTTATTTTATTTTAGATGGCTCGGGCATCGCACTTCAAAACTTTTTCCGTTCCCCCCTCTTTTTTTAGATGCACACAAAATTGAAACAAATAGAAATGATTTGCCACCAAAAACTTGCCGCGAACGACCTTGAAAAAGTTTTTCCGGATGGCAGTTTCCTTTTTGTTTTTTGTTCGAAATTTTATGGTTTTATTCGTGATGGACATGTGTAGGGATCCGCTTTTACTTGCATATGTTATCCTTATTTTTTTTATGGCTATGGTTTGACGGTTGATGGTTTGTTTATTGTTTAGTAAACACTTGGTTGGCTAGGCTTTTCCCTCTCGCCGAGAGTGTGATTTGATTTATTTTCACAGCCGGTTGGTGTTTGTTTACTTTCCGTTCATGATTGTTTCATTTTGTGGCCGAAGCTTAGGGTTTATTTAGTTGGTTTAAAGTTTCAGTTGGTGGGGTATTAAAAGCGTTGAAATATTTTATACGTTGTATATTTTATTAAACTTTATTTAATTTTAAAGGTATTTCTTGTAAATTATTAATAGGAATCGTTGATTTATCTTATATTTATGTAGTTTGCACTAGTTAGTAGGAACTTTGCGTTACGTTTTTTGTATTTTGGTACGGTTTATGGGTTTACATATTTAATATTCTTGGTGGTTTTCCATTGCGATGACACTGCGAATTGAAATTAAAGAGTAAGTTTCCGTCTCTATGGCGTTTTATCACGTATACGCCATGTTGAACCGGTAGATTACTAGTCCTAATAAGATAGGAGTTGTGCTGTCCCTAAGAAAGCCTGTTTGGCTTTTCTATCCAGGTGTCCTTGTGTCCGTGTGTCCGTTTGTCCGTCTCTGTCCGTCAGCGTGCTTGGGATAACCTGCAACAACTGAGAAAACCAACTAGAACTCAAAGTGCAGCAGCTGAAGGCATAAAGCTGAGCTGCCGCACAAGAAATTGCGAGCGCGCGCGAACCAACTGTTCCATATATACAAAAAAAAAACACACACACACACATACTAGTAGAATCCATAGAGGGTGCCACACAATGTGTGTATGTGTGTGTATATGTTGTGAATGTTTTGTTGGTTCTCGTAACCTTCCTTCAAGCCCCGCTAGTCCTGTTGATGCTTTTTTCTGCTTATTCTGGCCCTTTTTTATTTTATAATTCCCCCCTGCTCCTTTTTTTATGCACACAGCCCGTTATAAAGACATACATTTGCAGTTTCAGCGCGCACTGCAGCATTTTCTTATAAGAAAAGCGAAGAATGGGGAAAAAATGAAAAATAAAGCTGAAATTGCGCGACGAGGCTGGGAGCTCGAGGGGGATTGATTTTCTTTCATACCGCTTGTCCATGTTTGTGATTTTTATTATTTTGATTTTTCTACTCAACCTTCAGGTTATGTTTGTATGTGCCACCATGCTACACTCTTCTTGGGAGGTCCTGTGTGTGTGCCTGATTTTCAGGAAAAAATTGTTACTGGCCGTAGGCGCAGACAAGAATAACAGCATTTGGAATTTCTTTTCATGTTCGACAGGACTTGAACGACTGCCAAAAATCTGAAGTGTACATGTACTTATGGAAAGCTACTCGAGAAGCTATAGAGTCCATAAGGGAACTCCAATCAGGCATACTGTGGAGGTCTTTTTAGAAAAATATGTATGTAGCTATATTATATTTGTATATCTGGAAGCTAGAATGCCTATTAAGTTAGTCCAGACTACAAAAATGTAAAGCCTAAGGATGAATTAGAGAACTTGCTCTAATGTTAGAGTAAGCTACCTTCCCCCCTGTCTTAAGTCCAATTTCTAAGCAATTCTAATTGCAACCTCAAGCAACCGCCTATAGTGTGTGTGGCGCCATCTGGCGTGTAGTGGCCGCAGCCGTTGACCGCGAAAGGACACGGAAGCGGACACGGACGCGAACGCGGCACCGCGACCAATAGATTTGGCCAAACCCAAGCGAACTGAAGACAACGACAGTTGCAGCCCGCCAAAGGCAACCAACCGACCCAGGCCACATGCAACAATCGCTGCCACTGCGCAGCTGGCAGCGACGTCGGCGGCGACCGAGGCAGAGGCAGAGCTGCTGGGAAAAAGGAAAACAGACAGCGGAAGCGAGCTATTTGGTTCGGAGCCGGGGACTCCGGCGACTTATGGCCATGTTTGTTGTACGGGTAAGTAGCAGCAGTACTAGGACCAAGTGGAGGACCAGGACCAGGAGTGGAGCGGGAACAAGAGCCGGAGCAGCGAAATGGCGCGCGCGAAAAGGAAACTCAAGAAGTAGAGCTCGGAAAACCAGCAGGACCTGCAGTAACAAACACGCACACTGCCACACACATGGCCATAAAAAAGCCAAGTAAAATTGTATTTTTTCTTGCACATGAAGCAAAAAAAAAGAAAAACGGTAGCAAACTGAAAGAAATACATTGCAGGCGTCGAGCAAAAAACGAAATAATAACAAAAAGTTGTAAAAGAAAAGCGAAACCGTGTGATGTCCTGGCACACACACACCCACACACATGTATAGACCACACAGATACCAACAAAGGAAAACGCCGCGACGACATATCGAAGAAAGGATAAAAACATTCTGCGCTGCCCGCGTCACAGTCAGCATCGACGTCAACAGAGCATCTGCTCTGCCAGCTCCAACCGAGCTACAGCTACAGCATCAGTTCTAGCTCAGCTCAGCGCCCTCCTGGCCCCGTTAACATTTCACGAGCGCCAATTTCTTTTCCTTCATTTTGTTTATATTATTTCCCTCCATTTTTTTTTCCTTGCTCACTATTTTTTCCGGCTGAAGCCCGATGTTGTGTTTGTTGCAGCTTGCCTTGCCATTTCTCTGAATGTTTTTCTATTATCTGCAGCCATTTTTTTCCTTTTAAATGGACCTGCGTCTGTGTGGCAAGGAGAATCATTCAAGAATTCCCACGACAAAATAAGATCGAGGTAGTATGCCACGAGGGAGGCTTGGAGTTTGTGTGGAACAGAATTTTAAATATAATTTTTTTGAGCTTTAAGTTCTAGTCCTTATAGTAAAAGGATCTTGACTTTTAAGTATATCCTCTTTAAGGTGCTTCAAGGATGTAAACCCTTAAGATGTTTGTAAATAAAAACAGCCCTTAAATAACAACTACCTTCAAGATATTCCTTTTCAATATTCTCAACCATTTGTAGCTTGTTTTTCTCCCCCCAATATTATACACATCTTAGAAGATTTTAAAACTATATCAAGATTACTTTCTTGCAATTTTGTTCTAAGCCGATTTGTTTAAAAAGAAATACGATGGACCTGCAGCAGCAGCTCGGTCGGACTCCCCTTTACATTATTTCGCAGTCGACTTGCAGCAGTTGCATGTGCAGCGCAGCTGACGTCGCTGCCGGCGTTGCGCGAACAGCAAGCAGCGCTTTAGCGAATGGGGACCCCCAACCTTAATCCTGTCCAGAAGCATATGTTTTTATGTGTGTATGTGTTGGTTGTGTCTTGTTTTCTTTTTATTTTCAAGGATTTCGAGCTGCCCTTTACTGGCGACCCACACTTTTTTTCACAAACATATACTGTTTGGTATCATGGTGTGGGTAAAATTTCCTTTTGTGGCACTGATAAGAGTAAGAAACGTGCTTCCATTTTGTATTGCAAAATGCAGACTAAGATACTTTAAAGATTTTTAAGGGAAATCTGCTAAAAACGTTGTTTTCTATAATAATTGAAATGCATTTCGAGCATTTTTGGGCCCACACGGCGTATGAGTGATATTCAAAGTTTTATTTTAAAACATTAACTATCCAAATTCAATCAAAATAATATTTATAATAGAGTTATCCTTAGTTTAAGATCTTATAATAAATATTACGTATACGCCAGAGTGGAGGAAAACCTCATTCTTGAACTTTTTAGATTAAAATCCTCATTAGAGCACAAAGTAATATCTTTAATCTTTGAAAAAAAAGTATATCCTATAAAATCCTTTTGCCCATCCTTCACAATTACCACCTGTTGCTTGGCCTCTAGTCCCTTTTAGCCACTTGAAGCCATCAAGTCAATGGCTATTAGCCTGCGAAAAAGCTCTGAAAGCCAAGCAATTATAGCATATCCTGTGCACAAACCAGACAGCAAAAAATATCCTTTGCCGCCCCATAAAAAGCCAAGGATAAGCTTGAGCGTTTACCACCAAAAAACGCTCGAAAGTCAGACCGCTCTTTCTCCGCTTCATGCTCTTACTTTCCCCCAAAAACAAGAGAGAGCGCGGGTGCTCTTGCACACGCTCTTCGTGTTGGGGGCGTGTTTGTTTTCGTGTTTTTTTTTACTGGCTTGCCACTTGTGTGTGTCGGGTTTTTGCCCCGGTTCAGATTTTAAGTGTTATTGGATGATTTTATGGAAATTGATTTGGAGCACGCCCCCTTTTCGGTGGTCGGGGAGGACGAAGAAAGGAAACAAGTGCAGCAGCTGCCCCAATGGGAATACCAACCACCAATTTGGCATAATAACATTATTCATGCACTTGAAAAAATTAACATTCATAGGTCATAGAGGTAGTGTGGTTAAATTTTCAATAAAGAAGATATTTATTATCAATATTTAATATTGATTTCTTTATAATAAAATTATTATTTTTCCTGGTAAGGATATCCACAGATATCTGTCTCTCTGTCTACCAAATAAATCCCAAGCCTTTTCTATTTAAATAGCAAATATTCTCCGTGTACTCACCCGAAATGTGTGCTCCACCGAACAGTCAAGGCTTAAGGAGTAGTCCTCGACAACGGATCCCAGGGCAGACGGCTCGCCAAAGACCTGCTCGATCTTAATGGGCGGACTGGACAGCAAGGGCGTGGCGCCTGGTCCTCCAACGGAGGCGACGGAAGCGGCAGCAGCAGCAGCGGCTGCAGCAGCGGCGGCGGCTGCAGCGGCAAAAGTGCCTTCAACGATTATTGGCGATCCCTCGCCGCCACTTGGACAGAGCGAGACTGGAACCGGACCGTTGCAGGACGTTGGCGTTGGTACAGAGGCAGGGGCCGGACAGGGAGTGGGCGTGGCCGGGCCCTGGACAAGACCATCATGGTAGGGGGTCACTACAAACGAGGGATACGAGCGGAACTGATGGTAGTCACTGTGACTGCTGCCGTGCGGATGCGTGTGAGGATGATGCGCCAACTGAGGTCCCTTGTACCAGGTACCATGCATAATCATTTAAGCTATAGTGCTATAGTGGGTCCAGTGGAGCTATTTTAGTATTTAAATTGTTTAAAAATTTATTTCACTTTGCATTGCAGTAGTTTATTGGTATTTAATTCACTTTTTCGATAACTATTTTTCAATCAAACTATGAAAGTACGTCAATTGGTTAACCATAGTCTGTTTAAATATTTTTCTATCGGTTACAAAGCTTTCTATATAAAATTGAAAAAATATTTGGATAAGTTGAATCTCCGTTTTAATTAGTATTTTAAAATATTTGCTTGTTTTCGAACTTAATGCTTGTTTTGTTTGAGTTAGAGCTTCGTTTCAGGTGACTTAAATTCATAAATATTTTTGCAGTTTTAAGAGACCATAAAAAAATGTTTGTAAAATCATTTTTATGGGCTAGATATATGATCGCATCCTTGATAAGTATTCATAAATTAAATTTAAATAAAAATCAAACATAAATTGTTATATTCAAACAGAGGCAAACGTAACTGGATCTAACTACAAATTTAAATTATTATTTTTGTGGTTTTGAAAAATAAATATTTAAAAAGACTTCTAGAAAACCAACTGGCATTTACTTTTATGTTTGAATAAATTCTTTTATGAATTTCACAGATCACTGGATGTTGTTTTTATTCACTTTTATTCACTTTATTCGCGCCCAGATGATTGCAATCATTATAATTACTCCACAATGCATCACCACTTGGCCAATTTTTTATTCGCGAGCGATCCCCTGATCGGGGCTTCCCGTTTTTTTTTTTTTTGTATTTATTCTTTGGGTTTTGTGAGGAGGACGTGTTGTGATAACAATTCGAAACTTCACTTTACTCGATTTTTAATTGCGAAACGAGCCGGGGAGCAGCTGCACTTGCGGAATGACGAAAATGCATTGCACTTTGCGACAGAATTCCTCACGGATTGGGTAGCGCGAGCAGGAGCTGGAGCTGGAGCTGGTGCAGGAGCAGGAGCTGGAGTGCACTTGGCTGGAACGCGCGCGAAAGTGGCTTGTGGACAGTGGCCAGCAAATTGGGCCTGGTCCGACCTGGCCTGGCCTGGTCTGGCTTAATTCGGCTTAGTCGCTGGGGCAGAAGCTCTGCTGTGCGGCGGGCAAAAAGTTGCTGCCAACTCGCAAGAATTCCGAACTCGAATGCTGAGGCGGCCACGAAAAAAAGCATTCAAATGCCTCGCACGGCTCGTAGCCGCCAAATCGCAGCGTCGTCGGCAGCTAACCCTCTCTCACTTCCTCGGTGCTGGCCTCTCGCTTGCTCCCACAGCGTGGAGCCCGTTTGGGGGCAACGGCGACGCCTGCGCAACAGCTTTTTACTCCTTTTGCTCTGTGGAGGCAAAAACTAGTTCGCCCGCTCTCTCACTCGCTGGCTCTCCCTCGCTCTGTCTCACACTCTCTGGCTGTCTGCCCCCAGATGGGGAGCTCTCCACAAAAAAATTGTTTGTGGTTTTTCCTTCGCTTTTTGCCGGGCCATCTCTTGAGCAACTTTGATTTGATTTTGGCCTTTTTGCCTGAGTGGCTTTGCTTTTCTCTTGACTTTGAGCATGAATGAGCATTTTGCATGTTGCACGGTGTACGTTGCACGTTGCACTCTGCTGTGGAACGGCTTCCTGTTTTTTTCATTGTTGCTATCTTTATGGAAAAAGGCGGGGGCGTTATAATGACTAAAAATGAAAGTTCAAGTCCATCAATGAAGCCCAAGATCATGAATCGGAAATATTTAGTTGAAGTCATGTCTTTTTTCTAGATAGGGCTTAAAACTCTTGGAGTTTTTGGTCACTTATGTATAAAATAATAGGCTTTCTAGTCTTTTAATTTAAGGTTTGGTAGTTAGGAATGAAATTTATTAGAGTAAAAAACTATCATAATGTATATTAAAATAATAACCAAAATAAAATAAATTCTTTGTTAAAATAAAAATTTTATTCCAAATATTTAAATAATAAATAAACCTACTTTATAATTATTTTAATAAAATCTCAAATTTCATAAATTTTTAAAACAAAAATAAAAATAAAACAAAAAAACATATAAAAATCCCCATCCGTCGTCCATTAGCCCATTGACCAACTTTGATGGCGTACCACGCGTAGTAATGAGTTTTTAATACATGTAATATTCAAATTAAAAATCGACAAAAACCACCAAAGTCGGTGGCAAAAACGAAATACACTTTTTTTGTGGCTAATAATCGCACATATTCATTTCAACCGGCGGCGAAGCGCTGCGGAAAAAATTTCACTCATACGCAATGTAAGCCAAGCTCAAGAGCAAGTCGGGGAAAAAGTGGCAGCGTAGCGCTCTTAAAAAAACCGTTTGGGCCCACATGAGAAAAAGCATGAGAGAGCTGTGTGCAACAGAGAGGGCGACAGTGTGCGAACAGAGCGGCATGCAGGCGAAGGCGGTGGAATTTTTATTGGAGCACTTGGCTTATTTCTTTTTTTGGGGCGACTGCTCGCCCCTGGATTGGCATCTTTTTTTGTTGGTTTTTTTTTTTTGGATTTGACAAGACATTTTTTATGGCCACGGGGACATGTGTCGCAGGCGGGTGGGAAACAGGCTGCAGATTTTTGGCTTGGCTGTGACAACTCCGACTGCAGCTCCGTTCCTTGGGGAAAAAGGTCCAAAATAAATGAAATGAAATTAAAATGCAAGTGCTGTATGGGAAGGACGTTTATTTAGTTAATCAATGCAATTGCTCCCTCCACCTGGGGGCCTCAGAGGATACCAGTTGGTATACCAATGGAGTATGTCAAACATGCCCTTCATATTGGCGACAATGTTGCAGAATTATCCATTTCTGAATCACTAGGAAATTGCTTCATTTAGCGGCCACCATTCAGGCAGCCGTCGGTGAACTTAATGTCCTGCAGTTTCCCTTTCAGCTTATCGGCTAATTTGATTATATCACCTAATTGCCACACGGAGAAATTACACATTTTTTTTATGGACATTTTTAAGCGCCTTTCGTGCTAGTTTTCATTTGGTCGAGTACATCGAGAATTTGTTATCGGCTTAGAACTGTCGCCGCCCTTGTTTGCATTGTCATCAGTGCCATTTTGTATTTGCATACGAGCGGCCATTTTGAACGATTCTGGAGAGATAACGGAGCTAACACCCTGCATTTACATTTCATTGAGTATTTCTTATCGCAGATATCTGTATTATGAAATATAATTTACTATATCAGAGTATTTCTCTCCGCAGATATCTGTACTATGAAGTATATGTAATTTACTATCTAGTATACTATTTTGCTTTTAGTCTATTTATTTCAGATACATGATGGTCGATTGAAAGCTATAATTACATTTTATTTCAAGTAATTATTCAATTCTAATAACAAAATGCAATTGAAAATGAATGGATTGTTTCTCCACCCGACCCAAAATCGTTAAATTAAAATCTTTAATAGTTTCAGAGGCTACATAAATACATATTTCTAAAATATTAAAATGTACGCCTTTTAGACTTCAGAATAATGAAAGAAAAAACTTAAAAAAAAAATTTCCAAATTAATATTGTTTTCTTAAGGAATCTTTTAAAAATTTTCCAAAATAATGTTTCTTTAAGCAAGGTGTTTTAAAATTTTTTAAGAATAAAGTTTCTTAAAGAAACATCTTTCAAAATTTTTAACTTTCTTATCATTCTTAAGAAAATGCCTATGAACTTTTTATGAACTTCAGAACTTCTTAAAAATCTAGAAATGTATAACAATTTAAAGCCGGTTAAATCTTTTATTAAAACTTTTTTTTTTTAAATAATTGCCGGCACTTTTGTTAGGAAAAAGTATTATATTTAGGAATATTTCCTCGTAAAAAGGTATAACCTTGCTCCTCCTAACTTAACTAACCACAAAATATGATAATAATTTGGACAATTTCTTTTTTTAAATGATAATCAAGTAAGGACAAACTAATTTTAGATATCCTGTTGCAAAAAATGGCAAAAATATAATTCGGAAAACACAAATACTACACGAAATGTTAACAGCAAAAGCCGCAAAATGCAAAATCCACACCCAGTTGCATGATGGGGCAGAATTTATCGCCACAAACCGCAACCGGACAGACACCGAGGCAGATAACTGATGTGGCTGCAGATGTTGCAGTGGCAACTGCAGTGCGGCGCCACCGACACCGCCGAGTCCGACTGCCTCCGCATTGGAGTCCGGACTCCAGAGCCTCGGAGCGAAATGTCAAAATGCCAGAATCGGGGCCCAGATAGCCGTCATGCTTGGTCATGGACGCCAAATGGTTGACAGACTCTCCCGACAGCGGCAATGGCGCAGGGGCAGGGTCTTGTGGGTCTTCTGGGTTTGAGTTTGGGCCCCGACTGAGGGCTCCCGACCCGGTTGCAACGCGGGGTCCGGTCCGCCAGAGAGGCTCCGCCTTTTTTTCAATGCGCACATGGCGCACTCGACCGCTTTTTGCCGATTGGCCGAAACGAGCTTGGCCCGACTCGACGAGCGAGACAACAGGACGCATGAGCTATGCTGCCAGTTGGAGCGAGCGAGAGGCCATAAAAGCCATGGTGTCGCGACGGAGATGGAATGCATACTGAGCTTAGAAGTGGAAGCGGGATGGGTGATGGCTTAAGAGCGGCTTCTGGGCCATGTGGCTCTCTTTTGGCCAATTCTGCAACACGTGTTGGCGTGTTGGCCTGCGTGCAAAATAACCGAGTTTTTGCCATTCGCACCATCGCTGTTCATCCGACGCGTATTTTGTTAATTTAATTAAACAAAAACGTTTTGTTTGTGTTTTTTTCATTAGTCGCTGGGCCAAATGGTTTTTGTCCTCCATTCGCAAAAGCACAAAATGAAATTGGAATCGCGCTCGTGCACAACTTTGAATATGTTGAGCTCTCTCAAATTGTTGTTTCTGGTTGTTATTGTTGTTGTTGCTGTTGTCCGTTCAATGTGACATTTGCAGTTTTTGCGGCTTCTTGTATCTTTCAGCTTGCTGTACATGTTGTATTTGTCTTTTAATGACTTGCGCCGTTAAATTTTAATTGAAATATCACACATTTGGTCACTGCAAGCTGAAAACTACAAACTGTCAGGCTTTAAATGAGGTTTTGGAATCAAATTTAATAATTTTTTAGGTATACAGTGATATATTATTTTTTAGTGGTGAATTTAAGATCTGCAATCCCAAATGTTTGATAATTATTATCAAAAATACAAATCATCAAGAAAAGAAAGTTAAATTCGGGAGGAGCAGATATCCTTGCTGTTTAATGGCGGTTTCTATTGCAAGATATATGTCCATATATACGTGTATTTCAAGTACTATGGTATATACATATGTATATACATATAATTTTACTATATAACTATATTCTAGTTAGGCGGTCCTCATGGGTATTTTAGTATAAGATCAATCCCAGTCTCAAACTTGTATCTAAAGACTTTAGAAATACCCAACTTTCTCACTTAAAAAACACCTGATTTATGAGAGATAATCGGAAATTCTTGTATCAACTCAAGAAGTGATCCTCTTCGAGAATGTACTTCAAAAGATAGAAAATGTGTCCCTTATTGTATTGGACACTTTTAGAAAATAGCTAATGCCTACAAAGAGAACCCTCAGGAGTATTATAAATATAAAAAACCCAACGGTTCTAAGTCCCCCATCTATATAAAATCAAATTTACTCGACCTACTTGACCTGCTTTTTTTTACAAAAGAAAATATAAACAAAAATTGCTCTTGAATCTAAAAAAATAAAGAAACTAGGTTTGCTTTTAAAAAAGAGAACATAACGGCTAATTTATAAACGGAAGTTTTAGTCTCTAATTTATAAGTCGCATGTTTGTCGGCCAACACTGAAACTGGGAAAGTTTTCAAAATTTCCGCACGTGACTTCCGCGGCAATTGTCGTTCAGACTCTGACTCTGATGAGACCTGTGGCAATTGAAGATGCTGCGAGCCACTCCGGATCATTCGGCTTCTTCGGCTGACAGCCTGAAAAGGTAACGATTGCAGCAGTAATTGGGGCCCAGACCCGTCAGTCGAGGCGTAGGCGATTAAAAGGTGATTATTTCAATTGTGGCGAGCTGGTCCAGGGAAATAATGATGGCAAGCGATGGATAGATCGCCTTGGGAAGATGCAGTCCAAGTCCCAAAGAGAAGCCATCAACTGTCAACGAATTCGGCTGAGCTGTTATGTTAATGCGCCAAAACCGTTGACATTTATTGGCAGTTATTTATGGCCAGCAGCACCTCGCGCGAACTCTTGGCGGGACACCATTTTGGAGTATTGCCATTTTGGTGACCAGCCCCGGCCGACTATGGAAAATTCTATAATTGTGCAGGTGACAACCTGAGTGGCACGCGCTTTTGACGCTGATTAGAGGCACCTGCAGCTGCAGAAGTAGAAACCGGGAGTTGCACCGGCACTGGCAGATACTTCCTCTCAAGTCACGCTCCGCGGTTGCCATAAATATATTATTAATTATGACAATATTGGAGTAAAAGTGTTTGCCCTCATACACTACCTTAAATGGAGCTGTGCGAATTTCCCATGAGATTATATGCGGGAATTCAGACTAGAATGAAAAGTACAGAGAAACAGATACACTGGTAAATGAATATTTTATTCTTCTAGAAAATAAATACTTTCAAAATTATTCACGTTTTGTATTTATCTTCCTGGGATGGAATAAACATTTGAAACTTTTGTAGAGTAATATTGTAATGAAATAATACCTTATGTGTACAAGTACGTTAGTTATTTTAAGTGGCTCTTAACTATGTGGCTTGCATGGCAAAACAATTTTTCACCTGTTGGATTTAGCAGCAAGATGCTTGACTAATGAGTTTATTAGTATTTATATGGAGTCGGTGAAGCGTATTCAAATGAAATCTTCAATGCTGTGTCAGCTTGCAGGAAACTTCCTGGAAATTTCTATACCAAGGCACGTGTCGTTTCTTGGTCTGGCCGATGAAGAAATGTCCATATTGGATGGGTGTCCGATTTGTCGCAACGTTCAGATTTGGGCATTGAATTCTAGACTAGCCTCGAATGGAGTTACGTAAATATTTTAAGCCTGAACGTTGGATACCTTGCATAGTCAATGATAAAAAACAATGTACATTGGAAGTAAAGAAAATTTTATTCAATTTATTCGAAAATATAGATGAAAGTTTCAGTAAGTGTTAACTCATAAAAATCTTTAGTATTTAATTTTTGTTTATAACTCATCCCGGGATCTATTGATTAGAGTATAACGATGCTTTGAAGGCAACAGTTCCTTAAATTTCGATTCGTGGGGCACAGGTGGAAAGTCTTCTGGATCTATATTTTTCACTTCATTTTCCTCAAAAGCTCTATGAAAGTCGATGTGCAATTTTCCGCTAAACAAATCATTAATAAACTGTTGCAGCTTTCCTGGCTGGTGGATGTCCTCGAAACGCGGAAAGCTGTACATGTGCCGGAAGGAATCTATGGCGATCAGGGGCAGATCCTCCAGGGTCTTGTCAATGTGATAGAGCGGGTGAATAAAGAGCTTTCCATTCGCGCTTAGGAAGTTGACCCTTTTCTCGTCCGCCAGGACTTTATGAACAACGGCCTTGAACTCCTGGATGGGTCCCGTATCATCCTCGTTGTAGAACAGAATCACAAAGGGAAGTCCCTCCTCGGAGAATTCCTCTGCGTTGTCGAATGTCAGCTCCCTTACCAGAGGCTTACACTTTTCTCTAATCCAGTGTACTAGATCTCTGAAGTCGTTCATGTTTCCCGAGTACTCACTGTAGTACTCCCTGTGGTTGGCTGTGGAAGCGTCAGCGCGGAAAATTATAAGGTTTTGCTTAGGTGGTCGTAAATTTTCAGTGATGTTACCGAAGCCCACCACGTATCTGGAATGGAGATGAAATATTACAATTTCTTGCCGAGCTCGAACGACAAAAACTTACTTGCAATCGTAGCGCAGAAGGCTTGCTGCTTTGCGAAAATTGTCATACTCCGGATGGAGCTTGTTTTCGAAGTATCCAACCACCAGACCTTCGCCTCCCTCGGCACTATTCAGCTCCGGAATCGAAGTGAATTCCTTGATCGGATCCGACAGCTCCTTTTCTACATATTGGACGAAGGCTTCTACGGAGCGCTGGCCCCGGTATTCCTTATTGGAAACAAAGCCATGCCTGGCCACCTTTAGTGTGGGGTACTTGGTAATGTCGAACATGTTGGACACATCTTCTTCCTCCTCGCATTCAACCCGGCCGAAAACCACTCGACCTGGCTCAGGGAACTTACGATGTACCTCCCTGGCTGCCGCCTCGAAAATTGGCTGCAAAAGCTGGCTAAAACGACACCAGTTTGTGTAAAAGCTGAGTAACACAAGTTCATTGGAATTGAGAATCTCGTGGATATTATGGAAGGTCACTACCACCGAGCCATTCCCAGCAGCGAGAACAACTTGGGACTTTTTCAAAAATAGGAACAAAACTAGGATATACCATCCAACGAATCCGGCCATTTTTACGTGACTGATCCACTTATCGAAAGCCATTCGAGAAGTACATTATTTATTTCATAAAATTTAATTTTCAATGGTATTATTAATGCATTTTCCGCACCCAGGCGAAACTCATATAAAATGTGATCCCTGTTATGCAAAAATTAAACATTATGAAGCTGTTGTTTTTGGTGATTACAGTTCTTCTAATAACGATAGCACTAGTGGACGCCGCTCCAAGAGATTCCGCTATAAAGGACGCCGATCCAAGAACCAAAAAGCGTCGAACTAACATTAAAGTCCCCAATCCGTATTGGTTGGGAAATCCGAGGCAAAAACCAATTTTTAAGTGAAAATAACATTAGGGAAGGCTAAAGTAAACGTTTAACTCAAAAAACTATGTATGATATTATTAATTATTATCTACTAAAAATTATTTTATCAGTAAAAAGAATTTTAACAAATTTCTTGAAACTGCAACCATGTCTTAAAGAATGTCTTTAGAGACATTCGTTTGAAAGAGTTAGGCAATTTTGGCAGTTCCAAATTGTAAAAAACCTACAAAAATATTTAATTGAATAATTAACTAATACTGGAAGCCCTACTGAAAGCCACTATAGAGGACCCCGATCCAAGAACCCGCAAGCATCGTTTTAGGGAAACTTTTTCTAAGCGATTTCTAATAATTATTTATATATTCTTCCTTTAGAGTGTTTTGATGTTAAAGATTGCGAGTTTAATATACCTACAAATAAATTCTTTCCATAAAATTGTAAATTTTATGGTCTTATTTATGCATTCGCTGTACCCTGAAGAAAGTGCATATATAATGTGTTCCGTTTCATGAAAAAGTTAAAAATCATGAAGGTTATATTTTTGGCGGTTACTATTTTGCTAATTATGACAGCCCTACTGGAAGCCTCTATAGAGGACCCCGATCCAAGAACCCACAAGCATCGTAGAGCACAGCGCCTCGATTCGTGGTGCAGACATCATTCAATGAAGAATTCGAGGTTGTGTCAAAACAGATTGCCAAAAAATTCATCTACCATTATAGAGAACAATTTGCAAGTAAATATTAAATCCGGGAAGGCTAAAGCAGATGACAGTAAACTTTTAAACTGAAACAACTATGTATAGTATTAAGTAATAACTACTAAAACAATTTTTATAAGTAATAGTAATTGTTATAAATTTTTTTAAAACTGAAATAAAGTCTTCGAAATACTAGTACTATTACTATTAGTACTATTAGTTTTAGAAACTAGTCAAGAAATAAAAAAGTTGCAAAATACAAAATTTTACCATAAAATTTTACATTTTATGGACTCACTAATGCATTCGCTCCACTTTGAAAAAGTTTATATATAATGTGTTCCGTTTTATGAAAAGTTTAAAATCATGAAGGTGATATTTCTGTGTGTTACCATTTTTCTAATCATGGCAGCGTTAGTGGATGCCAATCCAAGACGTCCAAAGGGTCCCCAGAGGGGTCGCACTAAAGTACCAGTACCAATACCAGTACCGTAATAAAAATGCAAAAAATGTACCAAATGTACAAAAATGTAAATGCAATGTTTGCACCAGAGACCATAAATAATGTCAATTGCTGTTTCTTTGAATAAAAAATCAATAACTTAGAACAGACGTTCCTAAAAAGTGTCAATTACAAAACTTAAAGGAGTTATTTTTGATAGTTAAGATTCTTCTAGAATCTAGATCCATGGTACTTCGCCACACCAAAGCTCCAACGTTGCAATGCTTTTAGGTTACTCGCCCTAATCGGAACAAAACCAAAAATCATGGTATTGATTTTGTAGAATATTATAAAATACCCCCTTCTAACCCATTAATTTATAAAATAAATAAAATTCTGTAATTCTTGTAAAATTACCAATTCTTTCCATAAATTGTAAAATTTTATGGTCTCGGTAATGCATTTGCTGCAGCCAGTCAAATGATATAAATTAGATTCGTCTTACGAAAAAACTGAAAACCATGAAGGTGTTATTTTTGGTAGTTACTATTTTCTGGGTCCATGGGGTTTCATCCCACAAAAAGTCCCATGACCTCAAAAAAGGGGCGAATCGCCCATTAGGTTCTTCGCCATAGTCGGAAAGTAACCAATCCGCCCAAGAAATCCGGACAACAATTTTTTGGTATATTTTAATCCAAACGATTAAAGATACACTTATCTACCTAAAATATGAATTACTTACTGAACTAAATATCTTAATTCTCTATGTATTTAAATCTTTAGAACTGATAAGTAAATTATTTTTTGCGTTGTTAATCCTAAGACATTTTTTCAGGCCTAACCATGAAAAATTAGCTTAAAAGATTTACATGCTTTTTCGAAAGAACCAACCTATGGATTAGTAGTACCTTATTAACAGATTTGTATAGATTATCGTTTATTTTTAAGTTTCCGCCATGCATTTACGTATCTGTTTTCTAATTTTATTTGTTTGGAAAAGTGTGGGAATTTTAGTGCCTCCTAGTTGTAAGAAACTAAAATTGATACGTAGTTCAAATAATAATAATGAACTGAATTTTAGGTGACCTGTTAATGGTGACAGTTCCCCCTGGTAAGAAAATCCAAAGGATGCAAATATTTAATAAATCATTATAAAAATCAATAGTTTGAATTATTTATGTTTATCTTTTAAGAGTGCTATGATGTCAAGAACTGCGAAGGTAAGTTTAAGAAGCATATAACATATATATTTTCAATCACAAACAATTTTATTGCTCCCAGCTTTTAGAAAATGCTTAAACCTTCCATATCGAAAGGACATTGCTCAATATTAAATTTAAATGTTTCAAAATGTATTCGAAATAAAACACAGTTACTATAGATAAGATACTTGGAGAAACTTTGATATTGGGATGCTAATGATGCGTCATGGCCGTGGGCCGAAAGTCTGATGCTTGAGACAAATATCAAGCAGACGATTTGGCAAGCTGTCAACGCCACTCACAGTTCAAGTGGGCGTGGCAGTTTCCAGAATTCGGGGCGGAGAACGAGAATCGACATTTCCCGGCTAATGATTGTCTGAGAAATGCTAGCCAGCAAAGACATCAATCAATCCGATGTTAAAGAGAAGCCACCCCCAGGGCGAGAACTCATCCCCTGACATTGGGCGCTGAGGGCCGCCTTAAATAAATAAACAAACTTATAAACTCATTCAAATCATATTTAAAAATCATCGCAAGTGTGGCCGGCACGGAGAGCAGCAGCAACAGCTTGGCCATTCATGAATTATTAGTTCAAGCTTATCAAACGTGACCAAAATCAGAACGAAAAAGTTAATAATAAAAAGCGGGCAGGAGCAGTTGGCCAGCTGTTGCTGCTGAAGGCTCAGGAGAGTGTGAAAAATCAGCAAAATCGAAGGTCCCAGAGAAACGGCTACTCCAGCCACCAGAAAGGGGAGTGAAAAAGTCCACAAGGACTTAGTACCAGCTCGCATGTGCCGCTGCGTGTCCTTCCCCGTTATTATCTTTCGGCCTGACCACAAGACGTGTCATCTTGCGGTTCCGTCTTCAGGCAATGCCACTACACATATAAATCAAGCTAAGAAAAACTTGTGGCCATGAGGGCATCGAAAGTTCCTTTTTGGCCAGCAAGCCGCTTATAAATTTTTCAGTAATATCTATTACACTTTAAATAATTATCAGGAGTAAGGAAAAAATAAACTTGCTTCCATTTTACTTCAGATTTTTGTAAACTAACTATTCAAAGTTAATTTTAAAAGGAAGTTATTTCCCTTCAAATATTTCTTGTGTAGCAAGCAGAAAAGCAGCTTATTGACAGGACATGTGGGTGTATATTTCCTCTAGCTGTGGTCAAAAGTCCTTGCAAGTAGACATCTTAAAGGCTAGGTCTTAAAGGTTTTCGCCGGCTTGGGCACCGCCCAAGTTGCTGGGCCATGACTGCCGCGGTAAGGTGACGTAATTATAGATGTACTGGTAAGTTGCCTGCCTTCGAGCCAAAGTGCAATGGACGCAGGACAAAGGAGCAGCAACCCCTGCGTGCAACGGACGGCTAACAAACGAACTCGCAACGGGAGCTGGTGTAGCTGCGAAATGTTAAATGCTGAAAGGCAAATGGATAACACACAGTCCAAGGTACGACCGACAACGGCAAAAGGGTTGACACGGCCAAAAAAAACCAAACAGCCAAGTGGGCGTAAACTTAAACCAACACGGAGCGATTGCCCCTTAATTTTCAATGGTGTGGGCCAAGAAACAGTGTTGCTATCATTTACAAAGGTGGCTAAATGGAATATTATTAATATTAAATTATACTCAGCCTTTAGTCTTACCTGACGGTACAAGAACATTTTAAAATAAAACAATTTTTTTTCTATATTTAATTTTATTTGAAAACCGGTTAACCCAAAATTTGGCTTAAAAGCCGCCAAATCCTTACCTCTAGCCTTAAGACGGGCCCATGTTGGCAAGAGTTGAGTTGTCGCAGTTCGGTATCTTGTAATCTGGCACTTACAAGACGCTGCGACACATTAGCATAAAATCATGATTAAGATAGGAAACTTCTCGAGGCAGTGCGTATCTGTATCTATGCTTTAATGAGAGTAAGTATCTTATGGGCAATTAACGCACACAGGACCAGCGTAAATCAAGGTTATCTTCCGTTTTGAGGATTGAAGCGACTGCCAAAGCCGCTGGTGAAAAATTGCAGTGCGGACATGAATCCTCTTAAAATGCAATTTGTAGATTTGAACCCGAGGAATCTTTTCTTTAAAACTTTTTTTTCATTCGACTAGACATTTCCGTTTGTCGCAGTTTCTGGATGGCTGCAGCTCAGCGGGAAAGTGTCATTAGCATTGATTAATTTGTCCCACGATTTACATGCGAAAACAATCAATCAACACGTCCTGCTCGTCCTCCATTAGTCAATCCGAAGATTGAGATTGAGATGCACAGCGCCACTTGAACTACGAGTGGATGTCAACGGGGCAGATCCATTCCAAGCTGTCTGTCCATACTCTGGGTTATCCGCATATCCTGGCATCCTATCCCAGCCTGGGACATTAGCCATCTCAATCGCCTGCACATCATTAACGGCTTTCCTTCGTGGGGGTGTGGCCACAGGCAGCCGGCTCATCAACAAGGCCGGGCCAAAATGTTTTTAAAGCTGTTGTTGCCAGTTTAGGTTTAATGAATTACCACGCTCCTACCTCGTGTGAGTGCAAAAGTTTCGACTTTGTCTGGGTATAATTAAAGTGCTTGCTGTGGCTCAGTTGTGGGTGAAAACAGTGGCTTAGACTTAAAGGGATTTCATTTTAGTTAAATTATTGAAAGAACTTTTCAATTTTTATTAAAAATTAGGACATGAAAATGAATATCTTTAAAACCTAAGCTAAATCCATCTTGACCTTCAAAACCTACTCCTCTGCTTTACGATACATAGCTCATCATAGGCATAATTAAGCCACATCAATGTCGTGTTAAGTAGCTGGCCGACTAATGATGGCAACATTTGCAACAAAAGCCAATTGTTGCGGGGTTGGAGCTTCGCCTAGACAAAAGCTTGGGACTTTAATTTTTATTCGTGAAAACACAGCCCAACAAAGGCCCATAAACAGGAAGAAAAAAACAAACAACAGCCACCACAGGCGGCACTTAAAATGCGGGACATCCATTTTTCTAGGACTGCGAAGGACAACAGGATGGGCGGAACGAGGCGGAAGGACACGAGAGTTCAGCCAGAGGAAATTCAATTAGCCTGAGAACTTTCGGGTTGGCTTCACCGTTTGGGCAACGTTTGCTTAGGTAATGTTTCAATTAATTCGTTTCTATCTGCGGCTGTGTCTCCCTGCATGGCTCCAACCCTGCTAATGATGATGCTGAAGGGTGCTGGGTGGTCCTGGCAAGGACAATCTCCCTGGATGATGCATGGCGATTTCCATTTGCCTCGAACGAAATCAATTCAATTGCCCGCAATTAATAACACCAATTCGGGCTCATTGATCCAGACTGCGACAGCATTTCATTATTTGTTATATGTTTCAAAGATATTTATTTGATAAACGCCGCCGACGTCGCCGTCAGACGCCAAAAATCTCATCGCTTTAAGTGGCTCATTTTGGGACGGGAATCCAAAGCCAGAGCTGGATCTCCGCAGCCATAGCCGCAGGCAACAAACCAACACCAGGCCCTGTACCCAAAAAAATGAGCAGGGCTCCCGGGCTACCGGGTAACATATCAAAACGCCGCAAATGGGCAAGAAAAAATAAAATCATACGAGCACAAAGTGCCAAAAAAAGGCAAACATGCGACGTCGTCCAAAGGATTTGCCCCATGGCAGGCCACGGCAAAGACAAAGTAGCTGAGGACCCCTAAAGCAACCCGAAAAAAAACCAACCAAGAACCCAAAAATGTGCTGAGCCAAGACCATGCTGTGGATATATATTTGAGAATTTATGCCGCGATTTAAAAATAAAAAAAAAGTCACAAAAAAACGTACAAATAAAAAAAAGGGACTTGCTTTGGCGGCGGCAAAAGTCAGAAGAGAATCGCGTATTCGGTAGCCCGCAAATGTCAACCAAATAAATATGATGTGATATAGTGTTTAAGGATATAATGAATATGGAATGCTCTTACTGTAATAATATATTTTATTATAATTTAATACAAAACTACGAATATTATAATATATAAAGTAAATTCTTTATATAACCATATTTGAGAATATTCAGTCTTAGGTAATAATAGGTAATAGGTAGGTAATAAATTGTAATTGGTTGCATTATTATTTCATTGATTATATTATATTTTTTATATCTATATAGCATTATTAAATTATCTTCATAGCAGTATATATTTAAAATCAATAGAGTATTCAACTTCGACAGACCATCTAAGCCCCTGAATGTGACTCACTTGTGGAACCCCCAAACCTTGGAAACTTCAAGCTGAAGTTCACACTAGGCTGCGTTAATCCAATATGTGATTACCAGTATTCTGACTTTAAGCATCTGTTGAATTGGCTTAATCTGGGCATCGGTGTGCGTGTGAGCCACCGTCTGAGCTGGCTCTGCAAGTATCTGTATCTCCCGCAGCCACTTTGTAACTGTTGTCATTTTTATTGCCCTGGGAATGTTTTTTGTCCACTCACTCGGCGCACACGCCCCTCAGGAAAAAAGTTTCTTCCCGGCCCCCCTCCAGCCCATATTTGCCTCTCTTTTTTTCGTGTATACTCTATCTCCCTCTCCTCCTTTGTGGCTCTGGGTGTCCTTTGTACTTGGCTAAATAAAAGTTTCGCCGATGATTTTATTGACCAATTTTTGGGCGCGTAAGTTCTGTATTTTTTTCTCAAAGTTTTTTGCATGCCTTCGGCCGAGAAACCAATGACAGACAGTCCCCACACGAGTTCGTTTATTTTGGATTTTCTTTTCTTAGAGTTTTTTTTATGGCTTTATTGCTTTATCTGCGGGGATTTAAAGTTTTATTGTGATTTAAACACTTGTTAATCGTGTGTGCATATGTCAATGGGCTGTCGCCTTGTTTTTGTTTCGAATATTCGTGGGGGTCATCCGAATTTGTGTTTTTATGCCTGGGGGATTAAGATGTCGAAGGATTTTATGGCCGAGTCTTGGAAGGGGATAGTTATATTAGTAAATATTGAGGGAAGTTGGTTGGATATTTGTTGGCTTTCTTGAAGTGTTCAGATTCGGATTAAATGGCAATGAAAGAAAAGTGCTGAGAAACTTTAATTCTGTTGTAAGTTAGGTTCTAATTCAAAGTTTCAGTACTTAATTTAAAAATTTAAATTTTTGTAATGTTAGCTACCATTGTAGCGGTGCCCACTCGCATCTGCCATCCATCGTTCCATTAATAAATTGTCCCAGTCCGAGGATATCTGGGCCAGTGGACATGTTAAGGCAATCACTTTGCTTCAATCTGCGGGTGCGACGGCTGTCTTGGCCAGCTCTGGCACTGCCACTGCCACATCTGCGCTCAGTTCTCAGTCAGTTAGCCTGGCCAACAAACGATTGTAATCAAAATACAACAAATTAAGGAGAGAGAGGAGCAGGGAAAATGTGCGTGCGAGGCAGGGGGAGCGACGGGCTGGCTGGATGGGCCTTTTTTAAAATATTTATTTATGCAATTATTTTGCAAGTAGCTCAAAATAAATAAATGAAATGAAATAAAATAGCAGACCCGGCTAACCGCGTACCTGGGACCGACCGGGTACCGGGCTTCCAAGCTTCCAAGTGCCCGGGCACGACTTCAATTGACGAGGCAGTAAATTAAAATTTAAATTTATGCCATTTGGCAGTGGAAACGCTGCCGAGTCCGGGCCATGTTAGTAGTGCCCCGAAAACAGGAGAGACAGGGCTCAATTAGGTGCAGCAAAAGGTGCGTCCCAGAAGTCTTCAGGTGGTGAATGGCCGCTGTATGGGAGGGTGTGTGTGGTGGGGCAACCAAATGGCCAAAAGCAAGGGCAAAGGAAGGGGCGACAGTATCGGCCATGTCATCACTTCTATTGTCGTCATCTCGCTTGCGTGCGTCAAGTCGTGTCATCTTTCTGTCAAAAATATATTTATTTATTTGTGAATTGCAAATGCAATGTGCTCGAACCGTAAGTGAAACGTCATTGCGGTCACTTTCGGCGCTCACCTGCCAACAGGTGCGCCAAACTGGGAACTCGGCTCCCTCTCGCTGAGACGCGGAGACGCGTTTTGACCCAATTAGTTTTAGTTGTTGCCGGCTACAATGTAAACCTGAGTTTATGGCTCGTAAACGTCGAGCCCGGCCGGTTTTCGTCATGTTGCATTTAATTACTGGCGCAACCGAGTCGTATACGTAATTTCTGGGGTCATATCTGGAGAAAAGCTTTTAGGGGAAGCTGGGTAACTAGTCCGTGTTTTGTCACTCGAAGAAAAAGGGCCTAAAAGAGGTATTTTTAAAGGATACTAAGAGATACAAGAAGTATTTTACATTGTTTAAAACAACGTACGATAACCCCTTTTTCCTCTGTGCAGGATCAACTAAATGTGTGAACCCATAACTCGTTTCACACAATTACAACCACAAATGATGGGCCGATCTTGGCAAACAATTCCAGATCCTGCCCCTCATTAGCTCAATCATAACTGTGAAGTTGTAAAACCACCAAAATTGAACAGAAAAAGAGGGAAAACGAGCGGAAACCACCCCGTTCCATTTGGATCTACAGAGACATCCCTGATCTCAGATCGCCAAAAGGGGGCAATAAATGGCAATCAACAGACAATCAATGGGTTAAACCCTTTTTGCTTTATGATCCGAAAACAATTTAAGCTTTTATTTGTTTTTGATGCCACCACAGCAAAGTAATCAGAAGCCGCCAACTTGTCTTTCAAATGGCAGCAAATCAAATTGCCCAACAGAGTACAGAACAGAACAGACTCATACTTAGGTTCAGACCAGAAAAGACTTGGGTGCAATGAGCATACATCATGGCCAACAGTTGCTTTTGGACGAGTCCGAGTCCAATTGATGGATCACCGAAAACCGACTGCTCCGACCGATGGGGTTGCTGTTGCAGTTGTTGTTGCCACAAACTGCTGCTGTTGCAGGTCCAAAGCCAAATGAGTTGAGAAGCAGTTGCGTAAAACGAAACCTGCGATAATGATCATGCCAAGCACAGAACGCGTTAAAGATTTCAACGTCGTCATCAGTGGCAAACAGAAGCGGCTAGCTACAGTGGAACCTCATTAAGATAGCCCCAGAAATGTGGCTAAGAAAAGTGTTCTTCGTTGGTAGTAATCACTATACTTTACATCTGTAGTCTTCTCCGGCTCCTGACCCATCGGCGACCGGACGTAGTCGCTGGCCAAGTGCGATTGCAAATGCACGGAATTCTCATTGAGAATAAGCCCTCCTCCCCGCCTGGCCACTGCCGGCCTGGCCATTAACGCGGCTTGCTAGCACTTGGCATCGGGTGATCGGCTACCGCTGCTACCGGTTGCCTCTTCTTGGCCATCTTCATCGCCATTTCCCCCAAGAAGCCCCCAGAAAGTGCCCATCTAAAAGCGCTTCCTCCGCTGATGAGTTTAGTGCCGCTCACTCGTCAATGATTTGTACTTTTTTCCTGGTCTCCGGTCCCAAGCCCCATGCCCGGTGCCCGCCGCCTGTCCAAAATCATAATAATCATAATAAAATGCAGCTATATCCATTTTAACACCAAAAATACGAGTATGTCTGGCTCCTGTTTTCGAGTCTCAGCTTGTGGGGATATTGGCCAGGAGGCAGGCGGTAAGGCCATTGAAGTATTGCCGTTGTCATGTCATTTTTGGAGCCGCAGACTTTGGTCTCAGGCCTCGGTCTTCGGGCCTAGCCCCCACAATGGCCTGTCGCATTAAAGTCGGTGATTTGTGTTAGGCATCCACGGTAGCCACTTCTGGGTGGTTCTGGTAATTAAGTCTGCTTAACGTGCTAAAATTGTATGTTGAATGCCATAGAAAATGAGAATGGAAGCTCCCTAATTCCAATGAGTTGTAAGATCGAAGTTTGGGTTTTAAAATCTCAAGTACAGACTCCCCTTGAGAGATTTCTCTGCCAGTATTTCCCCCCCAAAATTTGGCCAATAAACAAATAAACCAACAAACGTACACTTGCTGAACCGCAAAACAAATTTAGTTGCAACAATGACAACAGAGCCACCGCAGCAGAAACCGTTGCAGATCTGCATGTGAATCTGAGAATGTATCTGCGAACATTGATCTTGCAACGTCTTGCTGGCTGCCACGATTGATGTTGTCAATCAGAGCGGATTTAAACGAAGGTTAAGAGTTGCATACGTTTAATCCAGATTGGAGATGGAAACCGGAGACCACAGGCAAGCCATTGAAGCGCGTAAAATGCGGCAAGTCCAGGAGCAAGAGGCGCGCTACTCTCGACGCTGCTGCGGCTCGGCGGATGCTGCAACATCGAACCCCAATCCGAGTCATTGGTAATGATGCAAGTTGCTTCGCGATGCCAGATGCAATGCGATAGAGATGCGACGCCGTTGATTGCAATCGCAGCCGTTTACTGTTTGCATTTGTGTTGCAAATTTACAGCTCCATCAGTGGCAGTGGCAACAGTCTGCGGCCTACGGGCTGTGGCCGCATCATTAGCCACCACCAAGGTCACTGCAGACCGATGAGGCAACCAGTTCGAGGGGGCCAACAACAAACGGCCACAAATTAACCAAAGTGATGATGCGTTAAGTGCCGAAGTGGTGCGATTGCAGCACCAATGAGGAAATTACTTTTAGCGGTTTGCCTTTGAATGAGTGCGGCGCACAAGGGTTCTGGGCCTCGTCATATTGCGGTGACAGCTGCCCACACTCTAGGGTCCTGTGTCTTTGGCCAATTAAAATCAAATTTCAAAATGCTTCAAAATTTGTGAAACTGATGACAGTTTAATTGCCGCCCTGACAGCTGCTTTCACTTAGGCACGAGTATCATCATTTCAAAAGCCAGTTCATACGGGGCGAGAGTTAGATGTCCTCGTCGATAAGGACTCACTTTACTCTGCAAATTTTGACATTAATTACTCATCAAATTGTGGCACTTTAAAAGCCCTTTTCTCTTTTTGAAAGTCATTGTCATTTGCTTTTTTCAGAAGGGTGTAGCATTAATAACGAATGGAGATTAAATTAAATGATAGATAACTTTAATATTGAATATAATATTGAACAGCAGAATAAGCTAAACATCAATATTCCCAACTAAAAAATAAATATATTTTTAGTGTAATTTATGAAGGAGCTCCCCGATATATTCTTCAACTAATTGCCGATTAACCTTGAGTTTTGGCCAATTTGTTTTGATTTTGGTTTATAAGTAGCATATGCAAATTAGCCAGACAGATAAATACACATTCCCAGCTACCAATGGGCCGGCGCACTGAACTTGGCCAAAACGCATTACCGTTAGTAGCGCCAAATTGCCGCGAAGGGAAAAAAAGGAGATCGATTTGCATGTGAGGCCGACTGCCGCGGGCAAAAGCCAGTAGCTCCAATAATTTCAAATTATAAATCATAATGCGGCAGCGAGAAAAAATTAGAATATCAAAATTTTTTTGTCTGCCATTCGTTGGCTGCGACTACTGCAATTTTGTTAGCCAAAATCGAAATTGAGTCTAAACACGAAGGCCCCCGAAATTGGCGTCGTTCGTCGAGACTTCGGGAAACTAACTGTTCTTTTTGGATTTTTGCATAATCGCTGGAGCTCTTGGTATTTGCGATTCTCATGCAGATTGGGGGGATTGCATTAAATTGCAATTAACCTTAATTGATTGCACGATTATCGCAGCAGAGACTCACAGAGACGCAGACACATACACATTTCCTCACATCAAAATTTCACTTTCAGCATGCAATTGTGTGACTTCCGATTTGGATTACACCCATCGCATAGAACTAGTGGATCCGGCTCCAGCGTTGTCTATCATTAGCATCAAAAAGCTATCATCATCATTACCACAGCGAGCAGCCAGCAGCACGAGCTCCCACTTTGCACGCGATGAGGCTGCCCCGAAAGGTTGATGTTGCTGCTGTGCCTTTGGTGTTGGCTACCTCTGTTGCTGCTGTTAGATAGACACGGGCAATAATCATAGGCCAATCATAGTGGTTTCGAGGTGTTGCTTTGTAAAGTGCGCCATAATCAGCAGGTATCGTGTAAGCTATGCGTCATAATCTGTTCAAATCTTTGGATAAAAATTAAATTTCAATTCAAAGGCAACATCCCCTTAAGACTGAGGGCTTTCATTCGGACTGACATGAGTTGACAAACTTTTCCAGCAAAGACAACATGAATCGCTCAATCGACTGGCAACAGAGTGGGGCTCTAAATAGATATATCAGTAGCTTTAAATATAAATCAATAAGCGAGCAAATGGCAAACGCTGCATGTAAGCACTAAATCAAACTGTCAATACGGGTAACTGATACACTGGACCAAAGCGGAGTGGAGCGGAATGGAGTCGACTCGACTCCAGTTGAGTTGAGTTGGACGGCGGAAATTGAATTATGCCCCGTTGGACTTCAGCCTGGACATGCATGAATGAGCGTTTGACTGAATGGCTGCTTTGGCTTTGGCTCCAGCTTTTCCAGCCACTAAAGTGGCTAAAGTTGCTGCTGCCGAGTGACAGACGGTGGACAAGTGGTGCTCGAATCGAATCGGGTGCAACCACTTTCGTTCAGCAGCGGACATTGCCGATCGGCAACTGTGTGAATATAGCCAGATATATACATATATAGTTGGCCTGGAGTCGGACAAATCTAATGTCCATGTCTGAGCTGTTTCCTTTGCGAAACCCGTTTTAGCGGCATTAGATACGATACGCATAAGCGATACTGTGGTTTATGGTCCACAATTAAAATTGTGCGATAAGTTAATGGAAGCGACTGCAAAAGGGGTTTCTTAAAATATTTCCCAATAGTTTTTTATTTTTTCAATAGACAGAGTCTATCTCTAATATCCAAATTTAAAAACTCTCCATACTTTTCCTTATGTACCCCCTTTGTCCAAGCCCCTGGCAGAGGCAAACGCAGTAAATGAAAATTAGTTGCAATAACATGAAAATTCATAGCTTAATATGAGTCTGCCTCCAAGATACACACTAGCTGCTGACAAAAAAAACTTTTACTTATACATTCGCCGATTGTGGCAGATTGACATGGGAAAATGCTTATAAAAGGACTGAGCGAAGTGTTGAGTTATGATCTGAGTTTTTGTGGCGATCGAAACAATAAATAAACTGATTGATTGCTGGCGCAATTTAATTGAGATGATACATCGTGGTAGACGTTGACGAAACCCAATTAACAGGCAAATATTCCCATGATCTAGTATCGCAATCGTGACTGAAATCGAAAGTGTCGCCCATTTGAATATCTGGTTGTCTCTCCGCTCGGCTGGCTACTTTCAATTACCAGATACCGCGGGAAAAAAAGTGTTTTCCGAAACGGAAGTGGAAAGTGTTGCAATTACACAGGTGGTAAATAAACTTAGTCATGCAGCAATGTGCCAACAATATACAATATATACACCAAAGCCATATTGTTTTGATTTAATAAAACATAATGGGTTTAGGCCGAACTAAAGAGGCCCCAGAATCGTGTGGCCAATTAGGGGCAAATAGGGCAAATCCAAGGGCTGCCATTAGAGCTCGGATACCAAACATTCTCTGTTTCGATTATTTCTCCGCAGGCAGACCACATCCACCAGGCAGACCCTTAAGATTAGCGAACATTTCGGTTGACTAACGGCGTTTTGGGAGCCGACGCAGGAATCCATCAAAGGATCATCAAACTTGAAGTGACGTATTGCGTTTTTGGAGGAGGCCCAGACTCCAGGGCTCAGGAATGTGCGGATCCAGACCCCAAAAAATAATACCCAACTAAGAGGTAGATCGCGGAGAGACTGGCCGAAAAAAAGCCAATAAAACATCAACACGACCAGAATGATAACAACTAAGTAAACGTCTGTCACTCAGGCGACCTGGACAGAATTTTGATCAGCCAAAAAGTGGCGATCAGAGGAGATCAAAAGGTCTGGGAAGTTCCCGGGGACCGGGATCGATCAAAGGCCCCCAAACTTGATTGAAGGCTGAGGGACACTGACGATTGCAGTGCAAATG